TAGTTCCTTGCACTTTAATGTCAGGCGGGTTTGCTTTCTGATTGTCAAGTCAATTTCCAGGATAATGGCATTGGGGAGAAAGTATTATATTTTTCTATCGACCACGATCTACTGGCCAACTGACTGGCTTATTACACTATAAATTCACAGGACAAGAACAAGTTTGCCCAAACCCTGTGGGAATAAACCTTTTCTGCCTAAAATTTTCTCATCAACCTTGTTTTTCTAATTTGTATCAGATTAATCTTCCTAAAAAAATATTTAGAAATGTAAGGGCTTTTAAGCTTTTGAGCTTTTAAAACCTACAAGTTATGCTCAAAAGCAGCACATTCAAGTAATTAAACCTATGAAAAATAAAAGTGCAAATAACTAAAAATTAAACTCTGCATTTAATCATACCGGCATTTCAAAGGTTAATTCCACAGGGCACATGAAATTATCAGTCATCAACATGTGAACACAAGGGAATTACTGCTTAATGTGTCCATTCTTATCAAAATCTCATATCCAAAGATTCATTTCATTGTAGCACAGGCACTTGAACAAGAGTGAAAAACCTTGTGAAATTTCTGTCTAGCAGACATTTGATTGTGAGGTATTACAGTTAGGTGGGCAGAAGTATAACACGAAGTAAAACCGAGTGTACATGAAATGTTTCATTTAGTGAACATAATTAGGATAAGGCTAAGATTAAATCTGAATGTTGCATGTGTAAGTAAGGACTTTGGATAAATTTCAATCTTATGTTCTTGTTTTGGTCTGATACTGCTGGGGAAACCAATCAGACAAATCAATTTACATGTGTTTGTGTTTTTAACTGCAAATTAATCCAACTTTTCATCACACATAGTCAGTTTCAAGGTTAATAGTTTTTATCTGTAACAGAACATTATAAACAAAATTATTATCTACCAGTATATGGTCAGGCATGATGATCATTCACTATGACTGGTTGAATGTAATGTTAATGTCAAATAAAAGTGTTTATTGTGATCCAATCAGTTCTAGATATAATCAGTAAAGAATGGAGATAAAATCTCATACTGGACACTAACTTATTATATATGGTAGATGGTTTAGTACAGCTTTGAAATATTTTGATGCATTCATGACCAAAATTGCTCTTGATATCAGTTTACATTATAATTACCTCCGCCAAGGAGGTTATGTTTTCACCCCTGTTTGTCTGTCATCAACATAACTCTAAAAGTTATGGACCGATTTTGATGAAATTTTCAGGAACTGTCAGAAGTGGGCCAAGGAACAGATGATTAGGTTTTAGTGGTGATCCAGATCAATAATCAATCAATAATAATCAAAATTGCTGCCTTGGCAAAGATCTGCGCTCTTGGAGTGCTTTTCTAGTTCATATTGTAATTCAACCAATCGAACAATTTCAGGCATAAATGCCTCAAGATCTTTAGAAGCTGAACCATCCACCTGCCATTAGTGTCTGTACATAAGAGTAAATATGACATTTAATTTGAATTCTGAATTGATAACTACATTTAAGCATGCACTATGAAAATAGCATTGTGTTAGATATGGCATTGTGAGTGGTTGTGACAAATTCTTTAGGCAGATTTTACCAGTTGTTATTTTAACTTCAGACGTGGTTACCCCCCCCCCCCCCCCCCCCCTCAGTAAATTTATGTATTAATTTAAGTGATTGACATATATCTGTCAGACATGTCAGTTGTATCATACTGTTATGTCATATGTTATACTGGGAAGCTTTCCTGGAAATTTTTAAATAAGAAATTTAGAAAACCAAAACAGTTTTGGAATGGGTATATCTTGGTGTTTAAAACAACATTTTTTTTGTGAGTGTGTCAGTTAATCTTCAGGTTCAATATCCATTAATAATATTTATGACAGTGACTCATAAGTTAGAAATATAGAACTTGATAACAGGCTGACAGGACATAATTTCTCAATGGTTTAAGAGAGGCATATTATGTGATTGTGGAATGATAATCAATTTTTTAAGACAAACATTATTGCATTAGATAATCAAAATTGAATTTAGCTTAATATCTTATAGACAGTCTTGGAGGCTGTCAATTCTGACAGTGTTTCGTTTGGATTATAAAAATGGAGAAGTGGTCTTTTTTGTTGTTTAGTCCCATTGGAAATACTTATGATGCCTGTTTTTCTTTGAGGTTATTTTTAAGTCTTGGTGAGGATGTATTCTTACTTGTCAGTATATAAAAAACAAATGCTGCAGATCGTGCAGAGCCACTAAGCTCACTTCAAAAGTGTTGATTACCTTTAACCAAAAGAACAACATGTCAGTGTGACAACAACTTTGAACCAGGAAACTCAGCATGCTGTGCTTCTGAGCATAAAACAACTGCATGTTAACAACAATGGCTATCAAGGCCACAACCATATCTGTAATGTCATATCACTCAACTGCGCACCGTATGTTAATGCCATGCTCTAGAACTCAGGTAGTTAATTGATCATCTAGAAGCATCACAGAATGGCATTGTTGTTCATGAGCTGCAATGCTAAGCCATTAAAACCAACTCCCTATAGGGGAAATTGATCATGGCTATAGAAAAAAATAGAGAGAAAAAAAAAGACTTATGTGTGACTGTTGATGGCACAAATGCTGCCTGGATCTGTTTTGTCAGGGAATAAAGTCATTCATTCATGCAAAGAAATAATCTATGTAAAATGTTCTCTTAATTTTGAATAGAATGATTATAGTAATGATTATCAAGTTGCCATGCTTATTCTTTTGCAAATAATAAATGGTTGCTATAATGGACATAAATAAATGGCAAAATGTTATCGTTCTCATCATAAACATAATACAGTCAAGCAATTGCAAATCAGACCATTTCAATCTTATCCATCTTTTAATATCAATTGCCATATGCTAACTTTCTGGTATGCTTGACTTAATTTTCATTTTCTTTTTCCTTTCTACTATTTCAAGATTGTCATGGATCATTTCTGGATAATTTCCAGATAGTATTGTGTACAAAAATCACATTTGCCGTAATGACATATCCCCACAAATCTAAGGGAATATAAGCTAAGGGAAATGTACAGGTCTCTTGAGAAGGTCACATGACAATTATCAAAGCAATTGGGGGTAAGAGGTTTGGAAGTGGAATGTTTTTCGATTGGAAACCATCCACTTTGGAAGTAATCCTGGATCTATGAAAACAGCTCAATAGTGCAATGAGAGTTTTAAAGGACACCTTGAGGAAGACACACAATAATATAAAGATCTTGCACCCTCATCTTAGCAACAGTTTGATGGCCTATGGCTGACAAGATGGAAGTCAACTTCCATGCAGTTGGGCAAAAACCGCTGTGTCTCCATCTGGTTGAAGTATATATTATTAATGAATATAGACTGCATCAATAAAAGAATATTCACTTTGAGATAATTGCACACATTTTTGGCAGCCTATTTTTTTTTTGGCAAGTTACAAACAAATTATTGTTAAAAGCATATGAAAGCATGTATCAGCAGACCAAGTGCAGTAATGTGCAGTTACTTTTAACTTAGTATTTATAACACTGCAGCAGCATGCAGATATGAACAACACCAGAGATGAGGGAATTCAAAATTTAATTTTTTATTGTAATATGTGTACATTTGTGATACATCATAACATGGGGAGGGGGGGGGGAGCATCTCGTAAGTCCCCAGCCTTTAAACAGTATAAATGCAGCATTATTGGTCAGTAATTATTATTAGCTCATAGTACGCACATGTCAATATATATATTTACATATGATCTGCACATTCTGGTTGTTTCCACATATTTGTGTTAACCTTGGAAATGCATGGACTCACGTGTACTATTGCTTTATTAAAGTAGATTACACGTGGTACTCCATCATATTTTGTTACCAGTGTGGGTATAGTTGTGGTAGACCGCAATGATTAAGTCAACAATGCTGGATCAGAATCAGAGTGGGTATTCTGCAAGCATGATATTGTTGATAAAAAAATCATTTCATTGAAATATCATACACACACATGTTGGCAGTACTCATAATTTTATAGAGCTTAATGTAATTGGAATACGTATATAGTTCAGCATAAGTTGAATTCAAAATAAAGAAAGGGGTATGGTATGGTTTTGCTATATCACCAAATTAATTCAACTTGTATACTGAAAAAATATTAAGAGAAGTTGAAGATATAAAAGGTGTGAATATACATTGTAGGAGGAATCAATATAAATAATCTGAGATGTGCATATGATATAGCTTTGTTAACAGAAACTAATTCAGACTCACAAGAGTTAACAACGTCAGTCAATGAAAAAGAAAAACCATACCGAATGGAAATGAACATTATAAGGCAAAAGGAATGGGTGTGAGCAGAAAAAATCCAGTGCCATAGGTTACTATCAGCATAGAAGGAAAACCAATTCAACAAGTCAGCAGCATGGTATACTTGGGTTATATGGCAACAGACAATTGAAGAGAAATAAAAAGAATAGAAATTGCAAGCTCAGCTTTTGAAAGCTTAGCAAAAGTTATTAGCAAAATATTACCATCAATCTAAGGCTACAGATCATTAAATGTTACACTTTTATACAGCTCAGAGGCATGTACACTAACAAAAACAACAATAAAAAATGGAAATGTTTGAAATGTGGATACACAGAATTCAAAGGATGTTAAAAATATCATGGACTGAACACAAAAGTAATGAGAAAATGCTAAATAATCTAAAAATAAAAAGATCATTATTGAACACCATCAGAAAAAAAACGAAAATTGATTTACTTATACACATAATAAGAAAAGATAATTTGCAGCAGAAGAAAATGAAGGAAAGTTAATTGGGAAACCTGGGAAGGGAAGACCAAAAATAACATGGATGGGCTTTTTTTTCGGTATGTTGAAGCAGAAGAAAATGTTTCAAAGGATGTTAAAAATATCATGGACTGAACACAAAAGTAATGAGGAAATGCTAAATAATCTAAAAATAAAAAGATCATTATTGAACACCATCAAAAAAAAAAAAAAAAAAAAAAAAAACGAAAATTAATTTACTTTGGTCATATAATAAGAAAAGATAATTTGCAGCATAGGAAAATGAAGGAAACTTAATTGGGAAACCTGAGAAAGGAAGACCAAAAATAACATAAATGAACAACATAAAAGAATGATCTAAAAGTATAGGGAAAGACAAGATTAAGAGGCATGGCAATGCATAACAGCCAACCTGCTGAGAATGGATGGCACTCAATGATGATGATAAGTTGATGCAATCTAATTTTTCTGTTTCAAGAGGATATATATGACATTAATAAGTTGAAACATTTGGAGCCCTTGATTTCTGTGCTACAATCTTTATTAGACTTAATCTATAATTTATCAAGAATGCAAGAAGAAGAGTTAAGAAGCTTCCTTTTTCGACCAATAAACCAATGAAATGAATATTTCATATATTTTATAGTTATCAATGCTACATAAAATATACTACCCAGTAACACATGTTAACAAAGACAAAAATGTAATGGGTAGAAAGATAAATGGAGGTTTGACAGGATCTTATACTTTCATATTCTGTTGTTTTAGGTTACTAAAAGCATCCAGGTGCTCCGGAAAATCTCCAGGCATGGCAGAAAAATCGAAAAATGTGAGACTGAAGATAAAATTGTGTTATATTGTTTTGGTCACAGTGTAGATTTTTATCTAGTTTACAACAAAAATTAATTTAGGATATCATGCATAGATGGAGGAGCTTGTATCAGTCAAAATACTTAAGAGAAAATTTAGATGTAAACAAAATCTAGGGATCCAGGCATGTAAATTGACAAACAATAATGCCATACTAAGTGGACTTTTATGTATATTAATTTATATCTATTGTACCAAATAGACAAGCATTGGCCAGCAACAAGTCTCTGACCTGTCAACATCCTGCACATTGCATTGCATTGCAGGCATCTCAAAGAGAGTCACTAATTGAAATCATTAATTTTAATCACTAGCAGTGAAAACCTCACATGAACTTTTTCCTAGCATTCATTTCTTAGTACTCTTCGGGATTGAGTGACAGCTCTTAGTTACCACCTGATCCGACTCCTGGATTTACGTCTTGACTACAGATCCAGATTGCCTGGCTTCAGTGCCTTTGAAAGCTTGTGTGAAGTACGCTTTTCATGCATGTAGATGTGTAACAGGGAAGCAGTTTTTTTTTTCCTGCAGATTACCTTCAATAGATGCATTAACTCTGGTTTCACGTGTGGAGAGAGTTATTGGAAATCCATCTAGGAACCTACAGGAGTGAAAAGGCAAATACTGAAACCTTGCTGTTGTCTTCAATGAAACTTCCTGTTGGTTTGAAAGAGAAAAACTGACATTGTTTCTCTAGGTTTGAAATAAATTTATCTTCAGAGTTGGCGCAGTTATGGTAGCCAGCAACCATGACCAACTGGGTGGTGTCACAGCAGAGACAAAGGGGACAACTCGACAAGGTGACATCAACTCCATGATGACTGAGATGAAACCACCACCAACAGGTGAGTATACATGAAAGGGGTATCAAAGGTGAAAAAAATATTCTCTGAGCCTTGAGTCACAGTAACAGTGAATGCAAAGCAGGTGATAAGATATATCTGACTGAATGAGATACAGAGATCTAATGTACCTGTAACTATATCATGTTTCATTAATCAGGAAAAACGTAGTATGGGAACTTCTGTAGTAGCATGGGAAGTATGGTAAAATGGCCTAAAAATCATGTTTTTGAGTTTTTCGTGGGTTTACATTAATCAAAAAAGTATCTAACTTTGAATGAATTTTTTTTTTTTTGTAGTATAGATAAAAAGATGTGTCTTTTGATAAATTTTTTAACCACTACACTTTGATGACTAAGCCACGCCTATAAGGGTCGTTACCATGAGGGGGTGGTGCAAAGTTAATGAGTAATAAGCCGATTGTGGTTGCGGTAACAGGCCATAAGTCTTACATCAGCAAAGCAGTGAAGAAGTCAATTAAGCCCATGAGAAGAAAAAAGTTCATGTTAAAAGTTCATTGCTTACGTTGCTGCCAAGTTTCACATGTCCTCCGTTAACTTTCACTTGCCCCCAAAATGTGCATTTTTTTTTTTTTTTTTTGTCACTATTGAACCCTTTCGTTATGATGGAGGTACTAACTTAATAAGGAGAAGTGTTATATCTGGGCTGTGGCATCACGTCGTTCCCCTCATTTTGAGGCATGCTGCTTAGCTAAAGGTGCAAAATTTCAACAAAGTGCCCTTGAAATTTGGTTTAGAGGGCCTATCTAAATAAGAAAAATGAATATTTCACTTTTTCCCTTATTGATTACTCCACCAGAAAGAAGCCATGCATGATTTTTACTCGGTATGTGTTGTTAGGTGTTCTAAGACGTCTGTGAGTGTACACGCGTCATGGCTAGCTTTGAGTGGCTTGTTTGCAGGGTTTTGCGCAGTACAATGACTGTCACTTGGTTTTTTTTTTGGTTTTTTCTTTTCATGAAACTAGTTGTTCTAAGTTTTTGCTTTTCACATCAAGTCATGAGAAAACATGCAGATATGTATTTGCAACTTTTTCACAAATAACCTTGAAGACAAAGGAGGCTGCCATGAGTTCGACTCCACAGAGCATTAGCGCCAGAACTAGTACAAATAACATCAATCTTGTAACTTACTAGTATATAAGTGGAATGTACAGGAAAATGGAAACTTACAAGGACAAAAGTGAAACATGTTTTTTTCTTTGAAAGTACATACATAACTCTCTTGTTGCACTTATCTAAGAACGTGTAATATTAATTTTTTCACAAAAATACATAAATGAAATATTACCAATAAAAAAAATCCAAATTTATCGCCTCCTGACAAACCTTGCCACCAGTTTCAAACATCTTCACACAGTTTTGAGTCACAATCAAAATTGGAAGCCAGTGCTCAAAGTGATTGTGGACATAGATAAACCCACACTTAAGAGTGGGTTTAGTACTTATCATTTCTTCAGGTTGTTACAAAGTGATGGCTAGTGCCTGGTATAGTTGGAAAAAATACTGTTTAGCCAAAAAGAACTTGTTAAGTATGAGTTTTTTGTGGGAAAATCTTATTATGGGTACCTTAAACCTTGATCTTTATGTTCTTTATGACAGGACCAAACAAATTTTGCTTCATATTCTTACTTCTGTAGGAATAACTCAAAATGACCAATTCGAATTTATCTTTTCAGATCTCACCCTCATCATCACCATCATCCTTGTAGTTTGTGGAGTTCTCATTGCAATTATCATCATGGTGGTCTGCTGCAGACGCAAGGGAAAAACAATGTTGAATTTCAACAAAAATCAGTGGACATTTTCCAAGACACCTCTTGACACAACATATATTAAAATCAGCCACAGTTTACCCGATTTGGATAAGTCAGATGCTGGAAGTGACAGTGACACTAAGTCCATCCGCAGCAGTAAAGTTTTACGTCAGACTACTCTGCCGACAGTGCCCCAGCGACACTGGAGTTTTCAGCGTCAGATGGCGTGTCAAGTGGACCTGTCCAAAATTGAGTTCAGTGTACAAAGTGTGAAGCACAAAGAACAACCAACTCTAGGCAAACTTAAACCTGAACTGTACAGATATGCCATCTCTGAGAGTTCCTCCGGAGAAACAAGAGTGTGTGGACAGCTGACATTTTCCATGAAATATGAGCAGGAAAGGGAGGCACTTATTATCAATGTATTACGGGCACAAGGCCTACCAGCAAAGGATTTCTCTGGTACTTCAGACCCATATGTAAAAGTTTACTTGTTACCAGACAGAAAAAAGAAGTTTCAGACAAAAGTGCATCGCAAAACATTGGATCCAGAGTTTAATGAACTGTTTGTATTTCCCCTGCCATATTCTGATCTGGGCCAGAGGATGCTGCAATTTAGCATTTATGACTTTGATCGTTTTTCACGGCATGATTTGATAGGGCACGTGGTCGTGAAAGATCTCCTAGCAGAGTCGGATCTGTCTAAAGAAACAGAAATTACAAAAGATGTGCTGTATAACACACAGGTTGGTACACATATAACAATTTAAAGTTCCTGTTTCATGGTAGATTCCTAGTGAAACACATCTTTAGTTTAAAAAACAAGTAAGTTATATACTGTTGAACTGACCTGCAGTGGTACTCTGGAGTTCAAATTCAGCTCAGTAAATTAGATTTCAACACTCATGTATACCCTCAAAAGAGCATTAAATATCCCTGCAGAGAGCTTCATTATTAAATCACCTACGTCTGTAGTTATAATGGACTGCTTCCTCTAAAACATAACGTCCTTTGAGATTTTAATTTCGCTCAACAGTAACTGGTACAGAGCCTGTTCTCTTTCACGTACATGTAATTAATATCTATGACGCATGGCACTATGATGCTTAATGCTTTTACGGCATAATTAATTTTAAAACTTTCCACATTTCGTGCCCTTAAAGGAAGATGGGGATATTTTTTTTACTCAACACAGTCATACCAAGCACATAAATTGTCATTTCTAATGCTTATGAACATGCACACCATATCAGACCTATAATAATTCTCCAACCTCCAAAACAGATCTGTACCGTGTAGTGTTGGATTTACTTTCAGCTCTTTGGGCTTTCTTTCCTTTTTTCTGATGCAATTTTAATTGTAAATATTATAAACAATTAGGCTTTACTATATGATAAATCACAATCAAAGGTATTTACAGGTAATATCACAAGCCCTTTTAAGTATAATACCAAGTCCACCAAATAATTGCCAAGCATAATAGCTACATTCAGAACAGTGGACTAACAAATCCGCGAATCAAACATGGCCAACCCACTTGAATGCTTGTTCCATAATCCCCACAGGGAATCTATTCGGTGTCTAATCGGGAATTAAGCATCAAGCTTTTTAGTGGTTCCCCATATTTGATTCACGGATCTGGTAGTCTGCTGTTTTGAACGCAATCTAACACTACCTGTGTGAGTTTGCCATGCTTGAAACTCGGTAAAGGAGAAAGTCTACCTTTATGAGCACTGTCTTGTTCAGCTGTAACTAATATGTTATTTCAGGAGAAAGTGGACCTAGGTGAGTTGATGCTGTCCCTGTGTTACCTGCCAACAGCTGGCAGACTCACCGTCACCATGGTTAAGGCAAGAAATCTTAAGGCAATGGATGTCATGGGAGCCTCAGGTAATAACTGGCTAGCACATGTTCACATCTATGGCAATCTCACAATATACACAATGCCATCAATGATATCCCAAGTTACAAGTTTCCATACTATACAGCTTTCCAATAAAAAAGAGTGTATTAGGCAACCCAAGTGGTTCTTTCTAAATGACATGCATCTAAAATAAAATCATGTTTTTGATGTCAAATGTCACCAAAGTCCTTGAACTTAAAACTGAGAAAACGACATTGAATCCCACATTTCCACATATTCTATCAGCCCATACTAAAAAGTTGTAACCTTGCTGTTTGTTTCCCAGGCAAAATATACTAATGACTTTATTATCTATGGAAAATTTGATAACAGAACCGGCCAGTTTCATAAATACAAAATACCCAGTATTATGCTGATATGACATGTATGACCATGACACTTGGCTTTAAAACTCTCTTGAAACAGTGGCTGGATCCACCACAATACCCCAGGCTATAAATGACACAATGGATGCAATGTTAACCCTAACACATGGACACAACTGACACAGTTTGGTCAAAGTTGCCTCTTGTGTTATTATGATACTGTTCAAGTCAACAATATGCACCAAGTGTTTCCAAACACAGACAACAATAAAAATTGAATAGTGTACGTGACAAAATAGAGTAAACAAGATATGAGCTTCCTTATTTGATTAATATAAAGCTTCCAGTAAATTTAACATTATGCATCACAAATGTACTCAATTTACGCAACACAATAAAAATTTGAGTAACGACAGTGTCTGCACTCAAGTCTGTATGCCACTGCAGTGAAATAAAACCATCAATATAATCAAATTTATCATCATTAACTATATATATATTTGTTGTAGGCATAAGGGTTATTTATTTTCAGATCCCTATGTGAAAGTAGCTCTTATGTGCCAAGGTAAAAGGATCAAAAAGAAAAAGACATCAGTGAAGAAAAATACCCTTAACCCAGTATATAATGAAGCTTTGGTGTTTGATGTCCCACAAGAGAATGTTGAGGATGTCTCCCTTATCATCAAAGTCATTGATTATGACAGGTACAACTTGTTAATTTTTTCAGTGACTTTTTTGACATCATTTTTTTCAGAGAACATGCATTTTGTCTATTAAAAAATTAAATTGGTCTGCAATTTTTGTAAAAAATAAAATATTCATTAAAATAAGTATGACTGTATGCATGTTATACATTACAATGTACATCTTATTCATCATCTGAGAGGAGTCCACTTTTCATATGTATTAACACGTTTTTAAGGTTATAACAATATGAGTTAGTATATGTACAGAAATTCAACCCATTTCAGAGTTGGTAACAATGAACTGATAGGCTGTTGTGCTGTGGGTCCATGCTATGTAGGTCTGGGGTACGACCACTGGTACGAAATGCTGGAGAGTCCACGTAAACCAATTGCACGCTGGTATGTATTACAGGAGCATGTTCCAGGAGCATCAAACGACAAGACACCAAATGGAAAACATATTCTAGGCTGTTCACCAGGACAGAAAAATCTAATTCTAGGATGTTCTGGCAAATGATGTCACCCGTGAAATGTTTTTTGAACAGACTATGAATTTCTCTGAGATTTGGCACGGTGAGAGGAAAGGTTTGATGTCCAAATGGTTGAGAATGCCTGGTGTTGTGAAGTTACTGAGTAACAGAGCTTTTGGTAATCCTCTTCTTAGGCAACTTTTACCTTGCTGAAATGAATCTTTTTTGGAATGGAACTTTTTTTCTAAACAAAGGAAAGGCAAGGCATTTACTGGTATGATGTATGTAGGTTTACTGTAAAATACCAGGTGCACAGCCTTGTTGTCACAAAAAAAGGCATCATCACAGCTAACCAATTGTCATTGTCACAACCAACACATTGTCACAACCACTAAATTGTCACAACTAACATGTCACAACTAACACATTGTTACAAAGAATTATCTTGTCAAAAACACTCAACAAAGATATTAGTAACACAAATTTCTGCAAACTTTGTTTCACATGCACGTTCAGTAATTTTGGCTTTTAGAATGTCAAGGTCATGGCCATAGATTTAAAACAGCTAGGCATATTTTTCATCAAGTCTGCAATAACTGTTCTTTTGTTGAAAAAGAAGTAAGAGTTGGATATACTACTCATTCAGAAATGTTTCCATTCAACCATTCGCTGCTGCAGATCTTGTCATCCAGCAAAATATCTAAAATAACACCCACCAGAGGCAAAACCACATGGTGTGCATGTAGATATATATCTGATGATATACCACAAGTTGACTGAAAAAGAATTCCTTGAATTCAAACCAGCTCTCTGCCAAGAAATAGAGTACAGATAAGAGAATGACCCAGGTAGTTAGCTGTTCATTACTGTAGCAAGCTGTAAGAGTTGTGCCAGACAGTCCTTAGCACAGGAATAGTGAGCTAAAGCAACATTGTGCAGGGTCTGAAGTTTCCCGTGGGCTTTGAATAAAATGTCCTAGAATTCTTCCAAAGTGATGTCATGATTGGCTGCTTGATGTGTATCACCTCTGACAGAAAAAGCTCTAATTTTAGAACATTTAACGAAGACAAATCCACTTGTTGAAAAGATAAAAAATTCTAATTACATTTCTTTACCATTGGCGGCTTATCAAAATGCGATACCTAAAAATATAGCTCCAGCTGGATTAGCTAAAGACCTTATCAGTTTCAAGAAAAAATATTCTCAGAGGAACAACACTTTGTGAGTCACTGGCAATAAGAAACTGAAACTGAAACGAGGAGATGGCCTGAATTTTCTCTTTGGAGTAAGTAACTTCTGAAAAATCATGTATTAGTGATTTCTATATTGGTTAAGAACCTGGAATGCAGTCTTATGGAACATGGTGCTAAGCTGCATTAAGTTGAACAATATACCATCTATATGAGTTTTGTGTCAAAAAACAGTAGACTCTACTGATGACTTATAAACATGAAGTTTGCACTAACAGTAGCACTGTATATTCTGAATATGTCTTATCAGCTAAAAACAACCTTTTTTTACACTCAATGTACACTCACTTGTAACTATCACACCCAAAAACACTATACCATGCAAACCATGTTGAATGGTATATTGTGAGTTTATGTGCAATTACAGTACCATATTATCATGACTTTAAGTAGTTGAAATTCTTAGTTAGAATTCATTTTATTTATTATAAAGAAATGAATTTTTAAAAAGTTGCTTGTGTTTTTTATATTTCCAATTCATTTATTCATGGATTTATTGTATTGTTAAATTTTGATCATACTTCATCATGTTACATAATTCATATAAAAAGTTTTCTGGGTTGGCTGCTCCATTTAAAGACCAAATCTGTCACTAAGTAAAAAAAAAGTTATTCTATGGTTTATTCTGAATAAGAATTTCACAATTGAAACTTAGACTACATGTAGCATGGTACACTTATCTATATCAATACACTGTTCACTTGACATTGTTTTCTATGTTTTAAGTCATTTCATCAGTGCTTGTATATCATTTCATTTTAATTTATTTTGTATTTTGGGCTATACTTCAATGCCAAAATATGTCTACTGAATGGTCCATAATACTGAAAGAAAAACACTCAAATTATAAGATCAACATGGAGTATTATGATAAGCAACTATTTATTAAAAAAATTTATCTTGTTGAATTCATGAACAAACTATCATTTTAGCTCACAATGTTACAACAATTGATTAAGATGTTCTAGCTGTCATATTAAGCATATTATGAAGTATAATCATTTGAGATTTATCCTAATAATCATACAATCAACTGCCTTCAAAACATGAAATTTTAATGTTTAAAGAAAAAGTAAAGATTCACTGGTATGACAGCTCAATAGGCTGGTCATTCACTGGTCATTCACTGGTTTGAAAGTTTCTTTGTCTTATGTCATTTTGTTTTAAGTTGTTTGAGGGTGGAAATAGTTTTTTGTTCTTTTTAACATTATTATAGCTATTGCACCCAGAATTTCCAGTTTTTTCTGAAATACAGGGCGAGTAGGTCATTAAACCTGAGAACAAATATTAAAATAATGAACATTCCAACCACCAAAATGCACTAGTGTGTAACACTGCGTCCATGAAACACTCATAATTTAAGGTCACAAAGAAACAGTTATGAATGACTTTAATTAATAATTGAATATCCCTCAAAAGTATTACACGTTTAATACCAATAAAAACATTCCTAATTTATTATATACACCCTCAGTTCCTGTGTTATTTTACTGTCTGTTGTTTGTAGCTATGATATGTCACTATTGCTAAGAAGGAATGAGATTTTTCTTTGGGAACTGAAGGTTCAAAAGTGATAATGTTGTCTGATATGATGGTGCTACCTTCTGTAATTTTAACTCCTGCATTTTAGATATCTACTTTTAATTGTTACAAAAATTCTGTCTGCTATTTTTATACTGTTGTTTTAAGTATTAATGGATGAATTGAGTTGATGAAAGCAAAGTTGAGATACAGTGCAGAGAAAAAACACTTATATTCGGGCCTGTAGCCAGCAATTTCAAAAGAAGGGGTTCTTTTTCTGAAAAAGTGGACCATTTCCCATAAAAACCTCATGTACCTAGATCAAATTTTACCCAGAGTGGACCCTTCCCAGCAAAAGGGTGGTTCTTTCGAACCCCCCGAAACCCCCTGGCTACGGGCCTGAAATTTGAGTATTTCATTTCCACAGGAATGTTCCTACTGTCATTTATGACAACAATCTCTTTGAAATTACCTGGTTATAAAGAAATGAATTCCTGGCACTCAGTTTATTTGCAGTAAAATTATATCTTACAACAATGGTCACAGTTGAGCACTTATGTATCTTTTGTATCACTGTACCTAGTTTTATGTAACTTATAAACTTAACTGAATAAAATGTTTATTTCCTTAGATATTCTATATCATGAAGTTGCTCAGTTTTTTTCTTTGTTTAAAATATTCAAAGAACAACCTCGATCTGGACAAAATTGCCAACATCCACCTTCTTGTCACAATTAATCAATCAAAAACCAGACAAACTTTATTAATGATTCATCAACGAGATTTCAGCTGTTTATTTTGTTCTACCTATCTGGGCAATGTGGTTGAAGTTTACTATACCCAAGGGGCAAATATATAGCATAACAGACTTACTGCCATATGTACCATTATATGATATCAAAAGTGCAGTTACACATACAAAATTGTGCTGCACCATAATTTCATGTAAAGCCATAGCTTTAACCAGAATATCAAGCCGTCCAAACACCATTATCAAAGATATAACCAAATTAATTTCTTGTTTTCTTATTTGCTGTACATGTATTTGGGGTAATAATCACAAGCAGAGGCAGGGTGGGTTGAGGGAGGAGGGGGCACTTGGTGTCCACTGAAATTTCTCTGTAATACCCTGCATCTGTCAGTTCTAATCAACCATTGTGTTCAACAAAAAATTCTCAAAGCAAGGCCCCCTGAGCTGACATATTTGTCTGAGAGATGCTTCCTGTAAATGTATCTGAAACACTGGATCCCATGATACTTTAATCATAGGTCCAAGCTAAAAGCAATTAATTATTTCATGTACATTTCATATGGCAAAATTGTTAGAAAATATGAGAAACAAAAATAAGAATTTAAGCCACCTAAAATATCATGCCACTGATAAAGATACAGGTGATAAGATCTGCAAAAGCTCCACTCTGTAATTGCAAACAATCTCACAACATGCAGATTACAGTTATGTTTCCTGATTAACATCTGACTGGCCCAAAAATCTCAAACTCCCATCATCTGTTCTAAATGGAGCTATGTATAGCTGGATGTCTTGAGGGACTTGTGAGAAGTCATACACTACATTTTCTACACATAAACCAAGTGGAGAACCTTATGCTGACTGTGCATTTCTTCTTTTTTATGTCAGTCGCTTTTTTAAATGCAGAGCAGTTTGACGCATTGACAACCAACTTCTTGATATCATCACACATCAAATCAATTTACTGCATCCGCTTCCCCCAGGTGAATTCACAGAAGTGTCATACAGCTGCTCATCACCCAAGAAAACTTGTAAGAATAAGAATCGGAAATAATTTGTGAAAACTATTTGCAAAAGTGAAAAAGAAAAAATACTTGCATGACTATGGGAAGTTAAGAATTCCAATACAACATGATTAGGCTCTAAGCAATACCCAGGAACAACTAATCATACTTCCAAAAGGCTTTTATTTCTATTACTCTATATACCACAACTGATGTACATTTCTTACGACATACCATCTGGTAAATTATGGTGAGCCTCTTGGGACAGAGATAATGGAATTTGAGCACTAAATGGCCACAATTAAGCAAGTCAGCCTTATCAACTGAATGGGTTGTCCTCAAACTAAGGATACTTTATGCTGCATTACAGATATTTATACTTTAATTTTCAGTTAATGTGCAACTGACTGCAGCAATAGAAATGTGTCTACAGAAGAAATGTGGGTTCCACTTTTAAAGTACTGTTGCCAGACAAGTCTAATATAAAATAATAACAAAGTTCAATGGGAGTATTTTCTTTTTTCTATTTCAGTACAAGTGCTTTGTTTTTGATGGAAAAAATCATTAAATGTATACATTATATCACAGAATATGACTTGATATTTAATGACGCTTACCAAAATTACTCATAAAACAATCACTGGTCTGCACTCTGTGAACCCCATAGTGACTATGTACATGTGCAATTATAAACTTATTGTGTACCATTACTTAGGTCATCTTAGCAAATTTTTTGTTTTTAACATTAATAAAACAATACATCTGTTTAACCAAATCCAAATCACATAAAACTGTAAGTATTGGTTTGTTTTTCCATAATCCTGAGTCATTGTGATTCAGCATCAGGTGTTAATATTTGGTATATTTTGTATTTAGATAAGTATGCTAATGAATGCATGTGTTGTAGTTTTATATCACAAATTTGGTTCCATCTCATTTGCTTAGATGTTAAAAAATACTGATCAAATGTTAAATGGAAACTGGTAAAAAAAAAAAAGCCTTGTATTTTTCTTTCATTTTTTACTTTGATTTTTGCAAAAAAAAAAAAATTAGTTTTAAAATGTTAAACCCCCAAACTATCATTAATCAATTTGTGTATGTATAGTACAGGTGTATGTATTTGTTTCGTATAGCGTGCGCAGTGCACTTGAAGTTCCAAGTAAATTATCTAATTTCTTGGAATAAATTCAATTATTGAGGTAACAAGAAAAATTGCCCTACAATCTGCTGAACTGACATATAGGTTACACATGAAACCATTGAAACCCACATGATTCCAAGAATTTGGCAATGTTGTTATGTTTTATGCTTTCTGGCCACAACATTCATGAATACCCAATGTGTCTTTTTTGTCAGATAGTGGTTTGTTGTATTGAATGATCATAACCTAGTTTTCAGGGACACTCAATCTAACTTACAGAAACTGATTCACTTAACTGAGAAGATAGGAATTTCGCAGAAAACTAAATGGTGCTGTACTTTGATTGGAGTGACTGGGTCATAAACAGTATGGTTTATATACAAGTATGTAGTGTTCACAAATATAATTCCCGGACATGTAAATTAATTTGATTAGAGTCGATTGCTTGTGCACTCGACTCGTTTTATGGCCTTACCTGAAGTCATGTAACTTAAGTGGACGTGTGCAATTTGAATAATTTAAATTAGTATGTACCGCCAAATACTGCAGCACAGAATCCACCTAAAGATAAGAAATAGGTATAAAAGACGTATAGAATTAATATCGGGGAGCAGACTGAAGAATACTCGAAGGAGACCGCTCGACGGAGCTATGGGAGACGGCCTAGAGCTTGGAGGCTTCACGTATAGAACATGTAGTTAGGGATCATCAACTAATAAACCGTTAAACTGGTCATTATGTGGACTTGGGTTTTCTTTGCGCGACATCACGTAAATCTGACACGAACCGTGGAATTTCGAATTGCGTTATCCACTGAGTAAGTTTAAAACGTAATGTCCTATTTCGAGCCCACGCTTGAATTAAGCGTTCTAAATTACATAAGTTTAGGACATTCATCTCATATGTATATGTAAAGGTACATAACATATTTGGCCGAGCTTCGCCAGTTTACGTTCCAATGCGCACAAGGAAGACCTGACTAGACACAAAATGGCCAGACGGGGAGGTAAGTATAGAAAGGTTATGTCTTCGCGCAGCGAAGATCGGTCGGCCAGGCAGTATCACCTACCGGCCGGTAAGTATGAACTATTGTTTATATCTTGCAGTAACAAGTATTTTAATGTCGGATTTTGTGTAAAATTTTGTTAGTTTTTAACGGTTTTTCGTGCCGTGGTAGGGCCTGTTCATGTTAAGATTAATTAAAAACTTTCCAAATTCAGTGCAAAGTAGGGGTGACTTGCCGATTTTAAGTAAAATGTTGATAGTAAGGGAGGAATAAACGGCTCCTCCAGTTTTTAAGTCGTTTTTGTATGTAGGGTAAGTCGCAAAATTTCACGTTATTACGGCACATGAAATGTTTAGGCAGATTGCTTACATTTTTTTTTGTAAGACACAAGAGATCGTTAGTGCATGAAAAAATGCAATTTTCGGAAAAAGCTACGCACTGGTGTTACGTGGCAGTCGTAGACGTGTTCTTTTTCTTGATATATTCAGGATTGCGTGNTCTAAAGTACTGTTGCCAGACAAGTCTAATATAAAATAATAACAAAGTTCAATGGGAGTATTTTCTTTTTTCTATTTCAGTACAAGTGCTTTGTTTTTGATGGAAAAAAATCATAAAATGTATACATTATATCACAGAATATGACTTGATATTTAATGACGCTTACCAAAATTACTCATAAAACAATCACTGGTCTGCACTCTGTGAACCCCATAGTGACTATGTACATGTGCAATTATAAACTTATTGTGTACCATTACTTAGGTCAATACATCTGTTCAACCAAATCCAAATCACATAAAACTGTAAGTATTGGTTTGTTTTTCCATAATCTTGAGTATTTGTGATTCAGCATCAGGTGTTAATATTTGGTATATTTTGTATTTAGATAAGTATGCTATGAATGCACGTGTTGTAGTTTTATATCACAAAATTGGTTCCATCTCATTTGCTTAGATGTTAAAAAATACTAATCAAATGTTAAATGGAAACTGGTAAAAAAATAAAAGCCATGTATTTTTTTTTCATTTTTTACTTTGATTTTTGCAAAAAAAAATATATTAGTTTTTAAATGTTAAACCCCCAAACTATCATTAATCAAGCTGCAGCATTTGTATATGTATAGTACAGGTGTATGTATTTGTTTCGTATAGCGTGCGCAGTACACTTGAAGTTCCAAGTAAATTATCTGATTTCTTGGAATAAATTCAATTATTGAGGTAACAAGAAAAATTGCCCTACAATCTGCTGAACTGACATATAGGTTACACATGAAACCATTGAAACCCACATGATTCCAAGAACTTGGCAATGTTGTTATGTTTTATGCTTTCTGGCCACAACATTCATGAATACCCAATGTGTCTTTTTTGTCAGATAGTGGTTTGTTGTATTGAATGATCATAACCTAGTTTTCAGGGACACTCAATCTAACTTACAGAAACTGATTCACTTAACTGAGAAGATAGGAATTTCGCAGAAAACTAAATGGTGCTGTACTTTGATTGGAGTGACTGGGTCATAAACAGTATGTTTTATATACAAGTATGTTCTGTGTGGGATGATAATCCTCTTGTGCACAAATGTGGCTATTCATTCTGGTCTGGAAAAACAGATGAGACATAAATCAGTTCATCAAGATTAATGGGTAGCTATGCACACGCTGCATGAACACCCACAGTTAACAGCATTGTGTCTCTGAAAACATACTATCTATAAGCTTTCATCTGTTCTCTCCTGCTGTCTCTTTAAAAGACTTAAGCAAAGCAACACTAATTTCATGCATGGAATCGCATTCCCTTCCTGTTGCATTCAGGGTGGTCATCTGCCATATCAACCAGTGCAGCTTCATTGTGGAACACCTAACACAATTAAAATCAACCATTCTCACATCCGACCACCCAAAGTTTCAGAGATCACTGAAAACCCACAATTATTATCAGTGCACTGCAGTATATTGGGAATAATAGAGGCATGCTGATAATTGAAACAAATTTCCAAAGACTTTTGGAACTCATGCAGGGTGCATTAAACAGTACATTCAATCTGGTAGGCTCAGAACATAGATACGATGATTGTACCCAGTGAATGGTTACAAAGTGAAACAAACATTAGCCACGTTTTTCTAAAACAAAATGGTGTTATTCATACATTTTATGGAATACAATACTTGACACTTACCAGGCCAACAATGGCCTATAAAAGGTTACATCTGTCATGATCATTTACATGAAATAACCTTATACGGATGGCACACATATGTATACAATCAATCCTTTAACATACACAACTGACAACTGGCTCTAATCTGATAATAGACCAAGTGCGAAATATCACAATAGNCATGATCATTTACATGAAATAACCTTATACGGATGGCACACATATGTATACAATCAATCCTTTAACATACACAACTGACAACTGGCTCTAATCTGATGATAGACCAAGTGCGAAATATCACAATGATAAACTGTAAAAATTCAACACTTACACATTTAAACTTGCATTAAAAAACAAACAAAATATACATGTACCAATAAATATTAATTTGTAGTTCAACTTCATCCACCTTGTGAACACAAGTATCTTTAACATTTACAGAACATATACAAAATATTAATCTTAAAAATTATTATGTACATATTATATACATTCTAAGTACATGTACAGGAAGACATTTCACATGGAATCCTCTGAAAGCTGTCAAGGTTTGAGAACATACTTTTATATTGAATATCCACACATACAATTTCATCGAAATACTGTCCCAACATAATACGTCTTCACAACTTGGAAATACTATCAATGTTGCTGCCCTACCAGATGTTAGTAGATGGTCCAGGTCACTTGCTTCAGGTGGGCATCATGCTGGGACAGATCTTCAATGGCTTGTCTGGCACGGTCTGGAGTAGAACACAGCAAAGCATTGATACAAAATTAAATAATGACTCAGAAGGCGAGTTCAGGTTGTACTTTTTGTCCATTCAGCAACGGTGACTTTTAGCTACTAAATAATGTTTTACTATGGTATATTTCGAAAATGTGAAATTCTCCATACTGAAACCTATATGTCAAACAAGCATTGTGTGCTATAACAGTTACTGTTAAAGTTTCACAGTCATGTAGTTCTACCTGTGATATGTGGGCACCCATGAAACAGAAGGATATCAATAGCTGGACAGAAATTGGTCACTGCCTCCACTGCCTCATCTGTCAGCTGTACACAACCATCCATGTGGATTTCCTGGAATGTGTGGAAAGTTTCTCTGAAAATGTTTCTAACATTACTGCTTACTGAGAACTGTATATTTGCATCAATCCAGATACATGTACTTCACTTTACACTTCTTTTTAAAAATTTATCATACCCTGTCCATTATCTTAATTTGACATTTATCTTCCTTTAATTTAAAAGTTTTCAAAATCTCAAAGTCCTACAGATGGCATACTGGACATATGGCTTTAAAATTAAAGTTCAAAGAAAAGAGCAGGTACTCCACCTCTGCCAATTGCAACAAAATTTTTTTATCACATAATTTTATCACAATTTCAGAAAACTCCAAAAATTGTTAAAAACTGTCTAATGACATACATCAGTAAAAGATGTTACATTAAAAGGTACATGAGTAAACTGCATGCTGAAAACAGGAAATAATGGAGACCATAAATATTTTCAGAGGAAATGTCAAGTACTCTGTGACCATGCAAATGACACCATATGAAGTGACCTCTGTCAAATCTATCAAAATCAATGCTGTCACACCCAATACAAATGGCAATACTACACCAAATAAAACTCTGCATACCTTTAAAGTGGCTGAACAGACACCAGTGGCTAGGCTTATGACACCTTCATCTGTGACCTTCAAATAACAATGTCCAAATAATGTGAAAATAGCACATGATGATGAGTATTTCTAAAATAAAGAAAATCAAGCTATTTTACAACTAAAAAATTTATTTTGATAAAAATTAATTTGCAAAAANAAGAGGCTGAACAGACACCAGTGGCTAGGCTTATGACACCTTCATCTGTGACCTTCAAATAACAATGTCCAAATAATGTGAAAATAGCACATGATGATGAGTATTTCTAAAATAAAGAAAATCAAGCTATTTTAAAACTAAAAAATTTATTATGATAAAAATTAATTTGCAAAAATATAAGTTAAATGACCATACAGCTTTTTTTAAACTTCTTTTTAATAAATACACACACATCACTTATTTGACTAGACAGTTTTCCCTTTCACTAGTACTGCCAGTCAACTTACCCTTGTCTTTGAAAAGTTGACACTTTTTAGGAACCTAGAGTTCTCACCCAAAGCCTGCAGTGACTTGTCAGTGATGAGGTGACAGCCTCCAATATTGAGCTGCCTCAGCTGTGGACACTGCTGAGATATGGCAATAACAGCATCATCACTCACATTCAGACAGCGCCGTAGGTAAATAATCTGAAGCTGTCGACAACTGGTGACCACACTTATAATTCCTACAAAACAAAATGAAAAAAATAATAATAATAAATCAGGCAGTGAAAACACAGCACTAAAAACTGTGCAAACAAAAGTTGTAGTACATCAAAAAGGTACAAGCTATATTTTTTAGCACATCAACAGATGGAAATAAGAAACGGGTATCAACATTATAACAGTATTCCACAAAGTGAAAACTTTACTCACCAAATTCGAATTTGAACAACAGATATAGTCAAAGCAACAACAACACAACAGACATACTCAAAGCATCCCCTCAATAAGTATACTCATAAAAATTTTCTATATATAAAAAATTAAAAATAATGTCACTTTTTCACAGTGCATCTTTCATAGACCTGTATATTATAACACCATAACATATGCTGGTTGATGAATTAGACTGGCAGCACACACCTTCTGAGCTGATGTTGGTCCTGGACTGTTTGGCAGAGTTGAGATCAATCTTCTTCAAATCTTTACACTTTCTAACATACTGCAAGCCTTGGTCAGTGACATCAGACTCACTGAGGTCAAGCATCCGAACTCCAGAATGCACCACCTGGTATATTAATAAATCATTAATTAATTTTACAAAGTGTTTCAGAAAAATTCTTGACAAACAAATAAAATGTATACTCTAAGTCTCTGTGAATATCAAAATTATTCCACTTATCTGCAACTGTTATATGCATTAATACATGTATAAATTAAGCTAAAAAGACCTTTTACAGTGAACACCACAACTGGATAGGAACTATTATATTTTGTTATCAGTTTGTTTAATTATAGGCACTGTGAATTAGCTTTATCCAACGTTTAATATTACAGCCATTTTTACACCCAGCACAATTAATAACAACACCACCATACATGTAGCATTCACAGCAGTAAGACCTTACTTTCTGAATGTTCCCATCTGTAATCAATCCTCTTTTACTCATTAGATGCAGCAACTTATCTTTAAGATTCGGTGGTAGACCGTCCAATGCTTCCAAATAATCTGATAGGTGCCCCACCATGGACAAAACAGATCTGAAAATAGATAAATGCAAATTAAGGAAAAATTATGGTGAATAAAATTCCAAATCATCTGAGGATTGCTGAATAAAATTAAATTTTTGAATGAAGTTTAATATGTCACTAAAAGTACTAATCTAATCATAGACAATTAATCAATTTTTAATATATTCCACACTGTACTTTTGTTCCTGATATCTCATTTATCACATAAATTCTAGGCTGATGAATGTCATGGAGTTTTAAAGAATTTTTAACTATTTAGATATGGCTTCCCCTGAGTTTGACTGGTTGACAGAAGATGAAGTCTACATGATTGTGTGTGTTAGAGAGAGAGGGGGAGTGCTCTCACATGTAGTAGTAATCATGTACCTTGCATTTAAAATTGAAAAAAAAAAAACTTTTTGGTTACGGGGCTATACATCACCCTCAACACCACATTTTCATAGTTAATACATGTATATATACTAGTTCAATACTTAAAAAAGGTAAGTAAAAAACTAAGAGCTTTCAATCTTAATGCCACTTAATAATATTTAAAATTCATGTGTTTGGTTTATCATATTCTTATAACTTGAACTAACGTTAACTATAACGTGTCCTCATTCTTTTCATAATGGAGTTATCACTCCTGCTGTAATTTACAGTAATACAACACACAAATTCCACTACTGAGTACATATATGCCGAGAGCTTTACATTGTAAACTTGGACATAATATTCGAAATTTTGTCCATGTTGTAAACAATAAACACACAACAAGTGACAACAAAGCCTCCTGGTCAGTAGTTCCCTCAGTGGTGGGTTGAACTCCCTGAGGCAATCTGTTGACAAGTGTGAGGTACACCAGACGACACTGCTGGGGAGCTCACAAGGCTGGGGGCAGAGCATCTTTTAGATAACTGAAAGCCTTGTAATTAAGATATCTCTGAATTTCGTCTGTTTCGTTATTGTTTACTCTATGATCCACACCAGACTCACATGTTTAACAGGGTTGGCACTGTATTACATCCCGAAGTAAAATAATTCGCAGCCGCCGCTGCCATATTGTAAACTTTACTATGTTGTCCAATAAAAACCGTGTATTTTGTTTGTTGCGAACTTGCAGCCAACCTGTCGTTGACGTCACCGGTTGAGCGAAAATGGCAGACGTGCCGAGTAAGCAAGACATTCAGGCAATTTTCAAGCGTTTACGGTCACTTCCTACAAATAAAGTAAGTAGTAAAGCAAAAAGACAAGGAAAAGAATATATTGATCAAAGTAGTTACCAAAGATAACGTTTTGAGGTTATTTGTTTGAGAAATATTCCACAATCTGGGAAGTCAGAAAAAGTGTCATGTGGCAGTGGGAATCGGCAATTTCTGGTAGAAACTGGAATGCTGGAATGTTGATTGTAGTATTGTATTTTATTGTTTTGTTCTGACTTTACCTGTCAGAATCGTCAAAACGGTTATTGGTCTGTGACTGAACCAATGTGTGAGTACTCATCTCTCACCCTTAAGAAAAGTAAACGAATTGCGATGTTTATGTCGCGCAATCGGTTCGTTACAAAACTGGGTTCGGTCTTTTTTAGCCTATGGTTCTGGCAAAGCAAGAGGTTTATTGGTTTCAATCTTCAGCTTCTGGCCTGTTTAAGAATTTTCACTACTGGTGAAAATGAATTGTAATGTTTTGTCACTAAATCGGTTTCTTACAAAACTCTGTTCGGTCTATTTTAGATTAAGGCTGCGTTCACATGAAAAATCTATTTTCTGAAAATCTAAAAATCTATTTGCGGTATCTTGTGATCATGGTCTGTGCCCTGAATACCCCGCGGCGTAATTACTGGCAGCGCCGAGAATTAATTACAGTTTTGGAACTAACTGGCTCACGCTGCCCGTAATTGCGCCGTGGGGTATTCAGGGCACAGACTGTGATCACAAGATACCGCAAATAGATTTTTAGAGAATAGATTTTTCATGTGAACGCAGCCTAAGGTTCTGGTAAAGCAAGGGGTTTTATTTGGTTTCAATCTTCAGCTTTTGACACTTCTGTTTAAGTATTTTCACAACTGGTGAATATTGTGTTCTGCCATGAGTTCTCTTAATCTTATGTAGGATTATTTTCTCTTTCGAGTGTCTAATTTTTTTAGCGAGTATTTCAGGGTGGACTTGGTTAAGGGCATAACTGTTGTAATATGAATGAATAGACTAAAGTACCGTATGTCTTTTAGGGAAAGCAGATGTGACACTGTTGCACCAAGAAGCAGTTTGAAATGATATTGTATTGTTATTGAACTATTTTAAACCACTGGTTTGATTGCTATTTGTTATTTAGTATTATTTTAATGAAATTTTCAGTGTTCATGTGCTGTTATTATGTTTTGTTCTAGAAAGTTTTAAAATGTTTGGTGTACAGTTTCATTCCCATACAAATATAAATTCACTCTTTATTTGATTATTATTCCAGCAATGTTTTGACTGTGGTGCCATGAACCCCACATGGGCCAGTGTGACATATGGAGTGTTCCTGTGTATAGATTGCTCAGCAGTTCATAGATCACTTGGAGTCCATGTCACATTTATCCGGTCAACACAGTTGGACACGAGCTGGACATGGCTGCAACTGAGAGCTATGCAATGTGGAGGCAATGCTGCAGCTGTAAGGAAACTATATACTAACACAGTATTAAACAGTTGGGGTTAAATATATTAAAACCATTCAGTGGTATCAATTTTAATGTTTTTCTTTGCCTTTAAGTGGTACATATTTGAATTTAACAGTTATTACCTAATGTAGAAATATCATTTGTTTTTTAAAGTGAAATGTATGATGGCAATCTAATAGAGTACCTGCGCAAGTCTTAGTGGCTAAACATAAGATTTTTAAGTCATTTTTTTCCTGAATTATTTATAACTCGATTAAATAAAATGTTCAATGTTGAATATTTTCTTTTTTCAGAATTCTTTTTTCCAACAACATGGTAGTACCTCTAATGATGCCCAGCAGAAGTACCACAGCAGAGCAGCTACACTGTATAGAGAGAAATTACACTCCTTGGCTACAGCAGCTCAGAGACTGCATGGCACAAAGGTAAGGTGAAATATACCAAGAGGCTACTTAGCTTGCCTTGTGAAAAGGATAAACTTGTCATGAAACTTAGTATTGTTATAGATGTAAAATTTTTCTTCATATTTAAACATGATGTTATTGTTTTTTACAGAAGGTAAGCATCATCCATCCGAGTTTGTTTAAAGTCAGCCAAGAGCTTTCATTGCAAACATAAGTATAATTTATTGAGGATAAGGTTGAGCAATGTAATACAAACCCAGTGAAGAATAAAAAACACATAATAATATCATATTCTGCCTATTCAGCATGCATTGTGTGGTATTAGTTGTTCAGTCCTTCAACTTTTATATAGGTACTCCCTAGCTGCAAAACTGTTCTTGCCCTAAAACAAATGAAGCCTTTTAAAGTTCCAAGAAGAAGCATTTGATGTGAATTTACATCCAGTTTCTGAGAATAATTGAGAACTTATGGGATTTCCACTGTTCTTTTGAATGTATAGAGTTCCTTGGGCCTTGAACCAGGCACGTGATATTTCTTACAATAAATGTGTTAAAAGTGTGAATTTTCAACTTCTGTTCATTGAATTAGCCCCATTGGTGCTCTATAGGCAGAATACAATAATCTATGCTTAGGTCAAAAAGTATCCTACTGACATATGCATCAGTTCTAACACGGTCACTTTCCTCTTCTACAGCTATGGATTGATGATGGACATGACCATAAAAATCTGGCTCACTCCTTGGGCAAGGTCAGCTGACAAGTGTTAGCTTGCTTGTTATCTTACAAACCCAAAATACTTGTATACCATATAAATATTGCACTTTAGTAACTTGAATTGTATCACTTTCTCGATATCATTATAATTGTAATTAATCTAAAGGAATCCTGGCCTTGACAATGAACTATGCCTTATTCATTTCTAGTATTATTAAAGAGAACTAGAGTAGAATGAGACATGCATTGTCAATAAAATATTGATTTTTTCCAAAATGTATGTTTTCCAACCAGAAGAAAAATTTTAAAAAGAGTATTCAGGGTTTGTAAGCTTAATCTGTGTGCAACATACATTTTATTATCCAGGTTTACAAGGTGTTTGGTGTTGCTGTAACTGACATGCACTTTTCAGAAACACTTAAAAACAGCGTGACAAACTGTTTTTTAGCTGAACACCTAGTTTCTGAGCAGAACTAACATTTTATATATTTTTTGTAAACCATCCTTTCTTTACAGCTTACTGTTTTTTCTGGTATGGCTACTTATAAAATGTTGCTCAGTACTTTTACTACTAATTTGTTTTTGGGTTTCAGGGTGATCATGTGTATTCTTGTAAAATCCTGTTTCTTACCTTGGTAGTTTTGGTAATTTTTTTGTTTGGAAATGTTCACATTTGTTTGGAAATGTGGAGATATTTGTTTGCTGTAACATAAGTCAAAATGATCCATAGTTTTGGCTTTCTTGGAGTGGATTGGTTTATCTGCTCGGTTTTCAGTGGTATATGATGATAAATCTTGTTTTGTTCTTTTATGGGGAGGGGCTCCTGTTTAGTTATGATTTTATTAGAAAATATATAGTTTTTGCAATGGTTACAATAATCAGAGATATTCTGGTCTTGTTTATTGTTAAATGGTTTCAATGACAAAAACCAACTAGATTCTTCTACAATTAGCCATATCATTGCAGCTGTATAATATCTTTTGTTCAAGCCCCTTGTTCACAATGCATTGTGCATCAGAACATTGAGAAAAGGGTAGTTTATCATGATATATGGGGCTGTATCATATTAAGCCAGTGTTTTAGTAGACAAGGTAGATATATACAGATATAAGAATGTAAACTGTTATACAGAAGTATTTCTTATTTTCTGTTCAGCTCCATGTAGATGGTGGTCACCATGAAGCTGTCTCCCCCACCCACACTGATGTAGACTTCTTTAAGGAGCATGCTGCAGCCCAGTTGTCTCCACAGACCAGTGTAGTAGAGGACACTGCTACACAGCCTGTACCTATTAGAAATGGAAACTTAAACAAAGAGACTGGTGGGTTGATAAAAAGCTCTCATTTCTCATGAAACAAGAAAAGTTGAAAAGCAGTTGTTGTTACTTTACGTACTGTTTTTCTTGCAAATTACAGGGTATCATGAAATGGGTATTTTTAACCTTATTCTGCACAGGATAGAACAATGTTATTAGTATTTTTAGTTTTAATATGACTCAATCACATCCATTAAGATAATTTAGCATCTTCTATATCCTAAAATTATAGATTCGTCAGAGGGTCCTAGTGTGGAAGCTGCCCTTAGCATCTCACCCACCCAAGCCTTACAAACCGCAGAGCCCAGGAAATCTACTATAGGAAACAGAAAACCAGCTGCTGCAAAGAAAGGGGTATGTAGACAGCATTGGTGATATAACCATATCATTCAACTAGGTTACTTTGACTTTGTGTCATAAACAGTTATTTTCCAATAATTGTAGTTGCTAATAAAGCACCGTTATATCTTCCTATTTTGATTTTAGCTTGGTGCAAAAAAAGGCCTCGGTGCTCAGAAAGTGAGGACGAATTTCAAGGAGATTGAATCACAGGCATTGCAAAAAGATAAAGAAATTGAAGACATGAAGGCTGCAAGGGAAATGAAAGAGGCAAAGACAAAAGAAGAACAAGAAAAGCAAATGTAAAAAGAATTTATTGCTTTTTTTTCTTTATAATTAGAGAAATCATATTTCAAAATATAGGATGTGTACTTAAGTGCATGTGTGTAGCAGGTTTGTAATATTTTTCACATTTTCTTTTCAACAGGGCATCTATGAAATTAGCCTACAAAGACATGAGTATTCAGAGACAAAAGGAAGAGGAAAAAATCAGGATTAGTGATCCAAAGAAAGCTGAGCAGTTGGAGAGGTTGGGAATGGGCTTTGGCAATGTCAGGTAAAACTGTGTTAATTTGGTCATCAATATGATCATTATATAGATGTCGTGGACGTAATGAAGATATCTGTGACTTTCTCTCAGATGTGGAATTGCATTAAGTTGAACATTTTTCAGTGTGTTATAGATGCATAAAGAGAGATGTTTGGACATGTTGTCAGTAACATGTGAGTTCACACATATTTGGCATGCTTGTTGACAAGAAACGTACATTTCTTTTGTGCAAACCTTAACAGTTTTGTTATAAAATGTTAGGAGTACCATTTCATCACCTTAATCAAATAACTGCACAATTTTTTTCTTCCGTATAGGGGTGTGAGCCACTCTGCTCTGTCAGATATGCAGACAATAGAACAGGAGACGCCCACAAAGCAGCGTGAACCACGCCTGGACAAATATTCTTCAAGGGGAAGAGGGGATTTCTTTGAGGAGGAACTAGATTCTATGCTGGGATTCTCCTCTGGGCCCCCAAAGTAAGTGAAGTCGTCATGTTTTTACAAAAATGTATGTTGAATACCTATTTTTGGCAAGGAAGGACTGTCTAGTGTTGAGATGTCAAGAGATAATTTTAAAGATATATAAATTTATTATTTATTAATGTACATGTGATCATGTGAAGTGATGTTTATGTGGCGTAGCTGCATTGATTCCATGACAGAACACAAGATGATGAATTTTTATGCAATTTTCTTCCTTCAGATACAAGGACAGTCCATTTGGTTCCAAATTTGATGACTTTGGGAGTTCTTCCAAGTCCAGCTCATGGGATATGGACAGGTTTGAGACTAAGCAGTCCAGCTTTTCAGATGATATTATACCTTCCAAGGACAGGGATGATAGGTAATTGGAAGTAATCTTTTCTTCAGGTCATTGAATGTAATGATTAGCAGAAGTTGGCATTAATCTAGTATAGGAAGTTCTCAGAACTTCTGAGTGAAGAATTGATTAGAAAAATGTGCAGTTGAGTAATGTTAAGGGTTTTGTTGATTAAACTCTGATATATAAAGGTTGTGGTTTCACTTTCAGTTCAACAGCAAATGACAGTTATGGGTAAGCTGAGAGGGGCGCTGATTTCTGGCTTCATTTGGTCATTTAGCCTTTTAGTGAACATTTCTTTCATCTTTATATCAATTTTCTTGCAGTGAACTTTTCTGTGATTCTTTGAAATAGATTTGAAATGACATGTCAGTCATTATAGCATCATTGTGTACTTAATTTATGTTCAGATATTGAAATTTGTAGTAGTTACACGAATTTTTAAAATTAAAATCAGTAATATGCACTTGAGATAACATGTTAATAGATGAGCCAAAGCTTTGCTTCTTATTAGACAATATTGCACTTATCATAAATCACTTTTTAACAACATTGATAAATTTTCATGGCTTTTTGTTCAAGCAGTTTCAATCCTTTTCTCTTCAATTAAACATTGTGTGTGTTTGTGGTATAAGGTAACATAGATGTTGGCACAGGTAGTTGTATTAAGTGTGGTAGATGTGATAATGGGTGAGATAGAACACAATGATCATAAGTCACATGTATTACAGGGGAGGCCGTAGCAGACAGAAGACATATGATGCAGAACCTGTGTCAGATGATGCACAGAAGAAATTCGGCAATGCAAAAGGCATTTCTTCAGATATGTACTTTGGTGGTAGAGATTCTGATGTGAGTATTCATATTATCAAGGGTGGTTTCTTGCTAATGTTTTTATGAAACCATTTTTCAGTATTAAGCATGTTTGTTCCTTGTCTTATTTGAAATAAAAAGTATGCAACAAATGTATTTAAAGTTTGGTTTCTCTATCCTGAATGTCCTTTCTGTTACCTCTTACCCTGTTAACTTATGGTGTCAGGAGCAGTTCTTTTACCATAGTTTTGTTTCTTAATTCTTCTTTGGTTGCATACAAGCATTTAAAGATTATCTCAATTTTTGCTCAAATAAATATATAATTATATATCATAAATGGTTGATATTAGTTTGATAATTATATAATTATGAAATAGGGTGACACATTTTGAGATCCTGTAGATGTTTACAGCTTTTTCTTCCTTTTTTTTATTTCAGTTTGAAAGAAAACAAAATTTGAGCCGTTTCCAGGGTGCCAGTGGTATTTCTAGTTCAGACTATTTTGGTGATGGTCGCCCCTCCTCTGCCTCATCCAGCCAGGCGAGTTACTCTGGACCAGACATGCAGGACATTAAGGACAGTGTGAGGCAGGGGGTTTCCAAAGTAGCTGGAAAGCTCTCTAGTTTAGCTAATGGAGTTAGGAGCACTTTACAGGTGGGTTTATTTTTCTTCTCAGTCTTGAATTCTAACACTGCAAATACCCGAAAATTAATTTTGTTCTAACATGCAAAATTAAATAATGGTGCCAAATAAAATGAACAGATTACACTAGTGAGGTTTCAGAGTGAAGACCTTTGTTAGCCATGTTCCATTCCACTTATATCAGTTGCGTTTATTAACCATGTGTGCATTGTTCTCACAGAGAAAATGACTGATGTCAAACACATGTTGGTAAGCAAGCCTTGGTGAACTGGGGTTTGGTGGACTCTTGTTGTGTGCTTTGCAAAATTGAACAAATATTGAATGTGAAAAAGCTTTTGTGACACTAGGTGTTCTCACGTAACGGCAAAAATTCCTCAAGGTCTATATGCAGAAAACAGACTTGTTACAGATTAATCAACTTTTCCTTTTTTTTTTCTACCTTTTCTCTCTGAAATGTGGTACATCTCTCTGTTCAAACTGTTACTTGAACAATGTGGGGGATGGTTATTTCTGAAGCTTGGTTAACGTCGCTTTTAATGGCCTGCTATACCTTCATAATTTGCAACTGTTATCAGCAGTGTTGTTGTTAAAATTGAAATAAAAGAAATTGATATATGATTAAGATATTTTGACTAAGCATTTGTCTTCCCCTTTGTAGATATTTTGTCTCATGAATAATTAGCATGATTTTAATATGTGTGTTGCTGAAGGTTGGTCACTGTCAAAATTCAAATTTTGTAAGCTTCAGTCTCACTAGTTACTTTTTATATTTTCCAGGAACGTTACAATTAGGAAATTGGACTCTTCTCCCCATCCTTGGGTTCATGCCTAGCAATACACACATGGGATTTGGTGGATTATTAATCACACAGAACAGTTAATTTTATTATGTAGAGTAGCACAGACATTTGGGAGAAAAATAACCCACACTGCATATTGACAATGCCAATGGACATTTTGACCTGGGTTATGGTTCTGTCCTGCTGCGGCAAGTGTTCATGACGGTTTATTTGTGATACAGGGGTCTGATATAACTACCAAATCTTTATCCAAGTGTAAATATTTTACTGCCATTATGATAAAAAGTAAATGGAAGTGCAAGTCTATAAGTATACCATGTCTATATCTATGAGAAAGAAGACCATTTTCATATTTTTCTGTTCATTATGCTTTCTGTAATATTCTTCTTTGTATGAAAACCAACTACTTGTTATTATCTTTATTACTGAGCTTGGGTTTTTGTTTTGTTGGCAACTAAATACTTGATTACCAACTTTAGTGCTTTTTATGTTCTCTTAAGGCAAAAGCCATACATTCTTTTTTGGACAGTCTCGATATAAATATAGTAAAGGGCTTACATCATACTTGTTACAAAGGTAAATTAACAATTAATTTCTTATTTTACCTCCAGTTCAATCCCTTTTGAAAAACTTATTTTACCTTGACATTCCTTAATGTTTTAAAATCAAAATGCAACCATGGTTGATGAGTCAAATGTTCAGTGCTTAACTAAGGTCTTTTGTGTATGTTCATTTGCTTCTATAAGGAAACTTAGTCTGTGTCATATATTTTTCTTGTGTTGCAATGTAAATGGTCTTAACAAGATCTCAAACGAACTGTTATCTAAAAGAAAGCAAAATAGCTGCATTATTGTATGAAAAAAGTTTGCATGCCGCAATATTGATATTTAACTGTATTGAATAAATTAAAAAGATTTTATCTGAATCATTTACTTGAAGGTTTCTTAAAATAAAGAGGGATAAGTGGAAGAAATAGTTTGTTGTTCATGACCTAACAAAAAAGTTTATTGAATGGTGGCTTAGTCATTCTGTTATCCCAGTGTAACAAAACAGCTATCTCGAAATTTCAAGATAATTTTTTTGTCCAAATTTCAAAATACTACCTCGAAATTTGTAGCATCTTGAAATTTGAACAAAATTGCAAGATACTACCTCGAAATTTCTAGATAATATTTTTTGTCCAAATTTCAAGATAATTTTTTTAACATGACACCTGTCGGCTTCCGTAATATACTTATTGAAAACTACATTCATATGCCTCAAGAATATTTAAAACGACAAGCATTGTAAAAACCTTGTTGGCCTTTTTTCAGGGCACCTGAGAAAACCTTTCGGGATAGCGATGTCAGCGACCAGTTATTAATTAGAAAGGACCAGTCTTATACAATCCAATACTATTAGATTTATTAAGTACTTATTAGAGCGAGCGGAACTACTTTTTACGTCACAAAAACGCATTATTCAGTTATAACTTTAAAAATATTATTTTTGAAAAATAAATCATGGGACTCTTTATAAAATTTTAGCCTTTTTTCTCCTATATTCGTCAGTAGGCATCTTAGCTGAGTACCACAGGAGATAGGCCTCTAAATAACTAGATACTACCGTAGGTCTTCCATTGCATCCACTCCCACTCCTACCCTCTACCAGGGCGACAGATTGATTTTCCACAGATATTCACAGATATTCTGTTGACAACAGACCAAAATGACCTTCTATGTATCTAGAGATATATCTGTGGAAAATCAATCTGTCGCCCTAGTAGAGGGTATCCCACTCCCACCCTCACCCTCCACACACGTACACACTCACACAGTGTGACACACACACACACACCTACCCCAAAGCCCTGTTCTCTGCTTACAGTCCTGACATATTAGACAGAAGGTGAGAAAAAGCACTATATGATTTTAGAAAAAAATACTTTTTCGAACAACTAGGCACTGATTTTGACAATTTGTGTCCACTAACCCACTCTATGAAATTGGTGTAACTTTAATGATAGATTCGTGGGTTAATTGAGACATTGTATCTATCGGTGGGTGGTTCATATTGAGACGTGGATTAATCAGTGGAGAACTTGTTCATTTTTTTTTATCTAGCGGCTGCCGGGCACTTAGATTTAACGATCCCATTATGTCTCTATCGACGACGACGGGATTATTGTGGTAGGTAGATTTATCGGTAAAAAGAATTATCAACATTCCCCCTCCTCCCTTATTGTTGAGTTTTGTGGAAGTGATGTATCACGGGAAATTTGGTTTATTATACTGCATGGTGGAAAACTCACGTTATTTTTTTCCTATAATAAAGCAGTGTATTCCAATAACTAGTGAACTTCAGTCACAATCTACTTACGTCTTTTGACTGTGAACATACGTAAACAGTTTCAGTCACAATCACTCACCTAAACTGAGCCATACCTGTCGTAATTTGCATAACAATAAGTTGTTCATCGAACTGCGAGCTGTCTTCCAGAATTCTCACTTGGCAGTGGAACACAGTTGCGTGAAGACGCACTAGTAGGTCCTACATGTGGTGCAGTCGCAAGGCCAGCTGTTATAAGCAAATACATGTTTTGTAAGTATTACTTCTTCTTCAATAACCTACAACAAATATTTACAACACGATTCTTGTTAATATTATTATTATGTCCATTTTTTACTTGTATGTCTCTCAGAATATTAGAATGTATTTATTAAGTGTAACATTGCTTTGGGGCTGCAAAAGAACGAGAGGAACGGCGCGCCTGGCTGACTTGGAAGAAAGATTGGTTATAGTCTTTTAGAACTGTACTTAGTTTACTTCTGTGTGACCATTTTGTACTACGTACCCTGGACAACTTAAAAATTCTATTTGTGACAATCTTTTATGTAAATGTAATCTAAACCACAAAGAACACCGACTTATGTCGATTATATAGGCCTAATGCTTGTTTATGATCAAAATGTACGGCCGCATTCTATCAACAATTCAGACGTCTCTCTTGCCGACAATGACTTAAGTTTTAAGAGAACTTTTAAAACTTTGAAAGCTGAGCAATCTTATAATTATTTTGTCTTTGAAGATCCATTTTTATAGATTGTAAAATTTAAATTATTTTAGGTTTTATAAATGTAATTTTGTAAGGGGGTGCTTGCTGATTATGAACTTCGGAAATGCCAATAAACATACACATCATTCCATTTATAAGTGCCCTCTTTCCTGTGCTATTGATTGCCCTAAAATAGGCATGTTTATGCCTATTCGTTATATTTGACGTTAACCGTTTTTCCTCATTTCAGAAGCCGGCAGCCGCACACGATGCGCCTTCAAGCAACCTAGCCTTTGGTTTACACCCAGGAGCCCTTCAACATTCTTGAATTTATATCATTAAAACTGAATAAATACTTTTGTAATTCAATGTTTTTTTATTATGATATAAATTTATGAAATAAAGACAATAGAGCTGACAGATAAACGGAAAAGAAAAAGATACTACAGATATTTGAATGCAGGCGGTTAAAACTGATCAGTAAAAAGTCTTTTGGATTATCAATTTTCTAGGGTGCCCGAAAATATCTAAAATTAAAGTGGTTTAAAAACTGTACATAAACTGTCAAAATTTGCACCAAATTTTATATTCTGATTGTATTAAGCTGGTGACATTACCAGTTGAACTATTTCAAATGATATTTGAAATATAATTGTGCTTCGTTTGTGTATTTTTGTGAACAATTTTATATTCAAATAAGTAAATTGTCACATTTTGGTTGAAATCATCTATTGCCATGGCACTGGCCACTGGCATTATAATGTACTTTTGGTATAATTCTATTTGCAAAGGTCTGTCAAATGGAATAGATTTGTTACGCTTTTCACCCCTCAAAATTAATGGATTCTCCCCACCCGCCACCATTTTAAAACAAATGGACTCGTCCAACCTGTCACCCCTCAAAACAAATGGACTCGCCCCACCTGGCACCCCTCAAAAACAAATGGACTCGTCTAACCTGTCACCCCTTCTAAATAAATGGACTCGCCCCACCTGTCAACCCTCAAAACAAATGGACTCGTCCCACCTGCCATCCCTCAAAAACAAATGGAATCGTCCCACCTGTCACCTCTTGAAACAAATGGATTCGCCCCACCTGTCATCCCTCAAAAACAAATGGAATCGTCCCACCTGTCATCCCTTCAAAAAAAATGGACTCGCCCCACCTGTCACCCATTCAAAACAAATGGAATTGCCCCACCTGTCACCCCTTCAACACAATAGACTCGCCCCATCTGTCATCCCTCAAAAACAAATGGAATCGTCCCACCTGTCACCCCTTCAATACAATAGATTCGCTCCACCTGTCATCCCTTCAAAACAAATGGACACGCCCCACCTGTCACCCCTCAAAACAAATGGAATCACCCCACCCCTTACCACTCAAATTAAATAAATTCTCCAAAATAGTCACCCATCAAACGGAATAGACTAATGTCACCATAAGCAGTGCAATTACATAAAGCGCAAACTATAGGACAAAGACCATGATTAGACCTATGTTATTTATTATTACAGGCCAGTACCAACAACAGACAACGATAGTAAAGAGAATATATATATATATATATATATATATATATATATATATATATATATATATATATATATATATATATATATATAGGTCCGTATACACTCCTGTATTTGAACGGAAATAATACAGGAAAATTCCGTACCTTTTTATTTATCAATATTACTATTATAGTGTACTCGGGTTAATTTAAGATCAAATCTAAAGTAAAGACTGTCCCAAAAAGCGTATTTACTTAAATAAACTGTTCTTTTTTTCTCAATTGTCAGGAAATAACACTTACAAATGGTGGAGGAAAACTGACTTCTACAATGTAGATTACAAAAGCAAATGACAGGTAGCTGATTGACTAAATAAATTAAAATCTTACTCGAGTTTCAACTCATAATATTACGAAAAATTGCACCTTAATCTTCGTCCGAATGGACTTAAAAGTTACGATATGCAAACAGTTAAAATTTACATTACGTTTATGAATTACAATACTGCAAAATAAAATTAGAGAGAAATTGAATAGGGCCCCAAAAGAGTTAGATACATCTTAGCTGGCCCTGAGGTTTAACTTGAAAACAACATTGATCGACTTCAGGGTAAAATTTGGAAAGGGAACATGGTCAATCTTAGTACACCAATCGTCATCAAACTTTATTAATATGTACACCTAAATGTTTCCAAAATAACAGTAAAAAATTTGTACAATTTCATCACATTGCATGTGTGCACAAGCTTGTCTGTTATGTGTCCAGTTCCAAAGTACGATCGGAAGACAAAGGCAGCCCCTATCAGACGCACATGGACTTCGCTGCAAAGGAGTTGGAAATTCTGAAAGATCAAAATGGCGTTATTACAACTATATTAAAAGTATATTCCAATGCAATGAAATTTGAACTGAGATCGAATTTATTGGAAAAGTTAGGGCTTATGCTCATGTTGAAAAAAAAGCTGAACATCAAATTGAAAGAATCGACTGCGCAGATAACCAAGTTTAGAATTATAACCTAAAAAATACTCTAAAAACATAAAAAAGATGTTTTAGGAAACACCATTACAGGTGCAAAGAACACCTGAATTATAAACGGCAAAGAGCCTATACTGCCCAATTCAATTAAAACAAACTAAGCTGACAAACACTGAGCTATAACTGGGTAGAAGTAAGAAAATTATTCTGACAAAGACTACCACAATATTAAATTATGCACGTTAGACGTAACTTATGTCCACTATTAAACGCTCGTAGAAAAAATTACTCACAAGATATACTGTATATATTTGGCTCTGTGACTTCACTTTTCCTGCGTCCTCTCCGTACAGGGTCCAGCTGTCAAGTGACCAGTCAAGAAGATAGCACTGCGATGAGCGAATTATTGTTATGCAAATCACAACAGGTATGGTCCATTTAGATTGGATAGTTTGTGTCGAAACCATTCTCATAGATCGGCGAATCTATATGTTGTTACATATTACTTGATAAAATTAATTTTTTGTGAGCTCTTGATGGATACATATAATTTCGCCATTCGTTCATAAATGCTTGAAACCCCTCTTTGTAGAATGCGTCGATACTATGTATTCCCACTCAACCCATTCGGTTGGTTATTGGTTGAGTCAGATGCAGTTCTCTCACCTGCCTATTGTCATGTTAATACAGTGGTACGGTTTATTCGGAGCAAGGAGATATACAGTAGCTGTCACCACTACAGACTTTTTGACAAATGTTGTAAAATGCTCAAATCCTCCGAATCTGAAAAGAGCTGTCAAATGTACAGACCAAAAGCAGGAAATAATAATGCACAAAATAGGTTACTATCAATTCTGATGCAATAAAACATTATGCTTAACTGCAAAGTCAACATCAAATCTTAATTATGCACAACAGGTAATACCGATGTAAGTAAAGTGTGTAACAAGCATAAGGCTTCATGAGAGTGCAAGTTCACACTTTGAAAATGCCAGAATGAGAAAAATGAAAATTTCACAAATGAATTCAAGAAAAAATGATAATCCAATCAAGCAGGTTTTCCAATTTGAGCTGTATGTCAATCCTAATAATCATTCTTGTAAGTTAAAAAATAATAAGTAACATGTTTTTTTTTTCATGATGTTTGTAATGGTAATACACAAAGTAGGGTTTTTGTCAATTTTTATGCAATATTACATGATTAACAGCATAATCACCACCATTTTTTTTATTACGCTTATCTACTACACATAACATGGACATTAAGAAAATTTATTATCATTCGGCTTCATGCCCATGGCAGTTCTAGGTCCCACGTTGAAAATGCAAATATGTGAGAAATGAAAATTTCATAAAGAACTGCACTGCTTCCAGAAGACAATGCAATCAGATTGGTTTTCCAACACATAAAGCTGCATTTTAGTCCTATGAATCTTTTCAGTGAATTTGAGAACCATACGTAACATAACTTTCGTTTAATGGTCATTATGTGCCCAAAATAGTTTTTTTTTTTCAATTTTAATGCAATATATTACATTATGTTTGACAGCATAATGCATTGGTGGATTTAGGGGGGCTGTCAGGGGGGGGGTGTCCTGACCACCCCCCTTCGATTTCTGAAGAAAATCACGTGCATCAATGGTTCCCTCTTGAAATTAGAATTTTAATTGACTAGCTGAATCATAGTTCTAAAACGTACCAAATAGTACCGTTCGCCTTCTAAAATGCCAACATTTTTTTCGGGGCCCTTCAGCGGGCCCCGAACCCCACGAACGCCAAGGACGGGGTGGGGTGGGGGAGAGGGTCGGCTTCGCATTCGCGGCCTGTCATTCCTAAAAACTGGACCTCCTTCAAATAATCCTGGATCTGCCCCTGTAATGACCATCAATTTTTAATAATGAAATAAAATGAAGTATCATGGACATTCAGAAAATGTGACTAGCAAAGGTATTCAAACTCACGGAGGTTCAAAGTCACACCTTGAAAATGTCAATATCTTAAAAATAAGTTTGAAGACAAAAGGTAAAACATTTTCACCTTATGGTGTTATCACTGAAAGTGCACGGCGACGTTGGTGACGGCTGTATGTAGGGGAGACCGGGGCTAGTTGGACCCCGGGGTAATTAAGTTGGTCCCCCATCATATTTATGACAAACTACATGTAACTATGGGGTAAAAGAATTCACATCATTTTGTAAAGTGACCGTATCCAATAGTGCTACTTAAAGAAAGCGTCGGCAGTGAGTCCAAATGAAATAATTTAGCATCTTAAAGTAACTTTATTAAAAAGACTTAATGGGGGGCCAACTTACCCCGGGGTCCAACTAGCCCCGGTCTCCCCTACAGACACATCTGTGTCTGTACATAAAAAGGGATGATAATCAAATGGGAATTCCCTCAGCCTCGTTTTCGCACGTATATAGCAATGATAGTGTAGTATGGCGGACGGAACGTCGCCATTCGTAAAATACACACCCTCACGCTTTGACAGTCAGTGTGCTTGTACTTAAGAGCACTTTTCATAGTGTAATTATATTAACGAAGGTTTTACCATGGTTGCGGCCAAGCTTAGTGTTCTCACGCTAAATTGCTGGTAAGTTTTTGAGGTTCCACGTATGCCGTCTCGGTGCCCGAGACGTACGTAGGTTGAAATGCAAGATCTAACCTTTAAACCTTTACCATTAGGGTTAAAAATGTTTTCCCAGTGCCTATTTTCAGCTTTTGTCTTTTACTTTGGATTTAAGGCCTTTCCGCAGCGTTCCATTCTAATGTAAAATTGATCGATGGACAAATAATGCAGTTAAAGCCTAGAGTATGGGAAGCATGTGATGTTAGACACTACAAAATAAACATAATGGCACGTACAGAATTTAATTCTTACAATGAAAAAAATCCATACGTTAAATCACCAGTAGATTATTTTGTTCTAGGGGTATTCCAATCCCAGGTCTTGGCAGCAAAGACAGAGAGCAGAGAATGAAGGCTATAGCAGACAAAATTGCAGAGGGAATGCATGACATTGTGATGTTGCAGGAGGTAAATACATGTATGCTCATGTCAGTTTTTTTTTAAATAGTTGAATAAGTGCATTGTACATGTAACAGTTTATATATCATGTTATAATTAGTGGACACTATTAACATTTTTTGTAAGTGCTTAATGGATTTTATCAATTTAACTTGATATTTTTTCTTTTTTCAGATTTGGGATGAGAAAGACTTTAAAAGTATACAGCTCAGAGTTTCTTCTGTTCTGCCATATAGCCACTATTTTCATAGGTACATTACATGTTAATTAGTTACCCATTTCTGATACTGGTACATTTATTCATTTTTATTGTCATTAGGTTTTGCCTTTAAAGTTTATATATTTATAAAGTCATTGCAGAAAGTGATTTCTATATTTAAAAATATGTATTATTAAAGTTTGAAAATGTGCTATATATAAGTAGTAAAAAAAGACACCAAGGTGAACAAAGAGTAGAATTTATGGTTGAATTTTGTTTGTGATCTTTTGTTTTCATATATGTTTTACTTTAATGAACAAAAGGTTGGTGTACCAATGTTTATATTCCAGTGGATTTGTTGGAAGTGGTGTCTGTGTGTTCTCAAAAGGTGAAATAGTTGAAGCTTTCAACCACCGCTATTACTTGAATGGCTATGCGCACAAGATATGGCATGGAGATTGGTTTGGAGGAAAACTGGTTGGGATGAATAAGATAGTGTACCAGGGACTTGAAATAGCACTTTATACTACACATGTAAGTTGTTTAAAGTTGGTTGGTAAATGAGTAGTCGTTTAAAAGTATATTGAATTTAGGGATGTATATATATTTTAAGTTTTTTTTACATTCTTGATATGAGTGACATACATCAGAATAAACTATTCCTATTCTTTGTGCCTACATTCCGAGTGGTGCAAGAATAGTGTCCAAAAAGAACATAAAGGGCAGTATCCAATAGCAAATATGTTAGCTGTAGAATTGCATCTCTTATTTCCGATGTTCATTCTGACAGAATGCACCATCCTGGACTCTGAATCATTTTCTTAAGCACTTAATGGTGAATACATAATTTTATTTTCAAAATAATAAAGAAAATTCAGAAGTTTGTTTTCCATAGGTCCATGCAGAATCCTACCCCAAAACTATTGAATGCCTTGATTTCTTTTAAAGATTTAAAAAGATTCTCTTTTAATTCCAAAGGTCCATGCCGAGTACTGCCGCGACAATGATGAGTACCTTGCCCACAGAGTCAGCCAGGCCTACGAACTGAGTCAGTTTATCAAGCACACCAGCGGTGGCAGTGACCTGGTCATCTTGGGCGGAGATCTCAACTATGAGCCAGTAGATATAGGGTACAGGATTGTCAGGACCAATGCCAATATGCTGGATGCTTGGTTAGAAAAGGTGTGAAATGAAACTGCAGTATTTATTAATGAGTTGTTTTCCTGAAAAGATTAATTTGTTAAGAAGCTAGCTAAGGGACACATATACTTATGTAAACAGGCATGTGTTTTGGATTTCAACTTTACTTACATTATTTGAGATGTCTGACCTTCTTAACAGTAAGATCATGCCTTCCTATCCAGCTATATCCCATAGTGTTTTTGTGAAGGTCATAAATGTTATTTTTCAGTATTAAGTATTTTATTCAGTCGTTCATTGGTCTGCTGTTTTGTAGCTAACTTAAGAGAGAAATGGACGTTGTCTCTTTGAAATAGCAGAATTATTTAAATCATTTTCTGTCATGCTTTTCCTTTTGCCCCCTGTTTCAGAAAGAGTGGAATGCTGATGATGAGGGTTATACATGTGATGTGCCTTCCAACTGTTACACTAGTAAAGCATGTCTTAAACTGGCACCAAAGGGGAAAAGGATTGATTATATAATGTTCAAAAGCAAGTCAGGTTTGTCAAACTTATTTGTTTTGAAATATTCTATGTCTGTAAATAACTCTTTCTATCATAATAGATTGTCAACAATATTGGCACTATGATGCTTAAATATGTCATGTTTAAAACAAAAACCCAATTAGTTGGAAAAAATTGAAATTCAAGAACACCCAGAGGCTTGTTATGGCAATAATTAATGATTTATTTACCTACCATAGACGGAAAACTACCTAGATTTTAAATTAACCTATACACAGAAGCAAAGCCAGAAAACAGTTTTTTTTTTTTGTAAATATTTTAATAAATGTAGAAAAATTAAAATCTCCATTACCTGTGTTACTAGGTGTGGTGATGACCTGTGACAGGTGTTATACCACTTTGGGACACATTCCAAACACAAAGATCAACTATTCTGACCATGAAGCTTTAGCTGCAGATTTCACCATTCACAAGTCTTCTAAAGGTAATTCAACCTAAAACCTTTAAAGAAAAGAAATAATATGCATCAAATAGAGTCCATGAAGGTGTTGTTGTTGTAATTTTCAAGATTTTAAAAAGAAAAAGCAGTGCAATTTAGATCTCAGAGTGAACATGGGACAGGAAAGTATAATTAGCATACCTTGAAGGCATTTAATTTGGACAGTGACGTATATTTGATGATAATCAATCAATCTGGTGAATATTTAGGGGCAACTATCAAAATTAAATGTAAAAGAAGTTAATAATACATATTGCAGACTCCCCAGGGGCCACTTCTCCAGGCTATGACAAAGAACAACTGTTAAGAGAGGCTGTCCATGCTCTGGACCGTGGCATGGACAAAGTGAAACAAGATAAGAAAATATGGATATTGGTTGGAGCAATTTGCATTGCATTACTATTTGTTACTGCTGAATTCAATGCTGACATAGGGTATGGTATCCACACAGCCATTATTTTGCTACGGGTTGCACTTGTCTTAGCCATGGGGTTCTGTGGATGGATGGCATTTATTATGGACACCGTGGAAATGAAAGGGCTGATAGAATCTAGACAGTCTATTCTTTATGTTATGAAAAAATGAAGTAAGATTTAGTTTAACTGAAAATTAGATAATTAGAAAATGTAATGAACTTTTTTCTGTGTTCTGTAAGAGAACAATGTGTAGTCTCAAATGAAATAATTATTGTGCAAAAATGTCTAAATGTGTTTCCAAAATCAATTATTTTATTCCTTACATTTAATAAATTTTATAATTGATGTATAGCCTCACTTAAAATCCCCATTATGTTGTATGGACCTTACCAGGACTTGCAGGTTTTGCGATCAACTTACACAGTGAAAGCAGCAGTTACTCAATCTTGGTACATGTTGTCATAATTCCATAATTTGTGTATTGTGTATTGTCACGGCTTTAATTCAGAGGGCTACTTATGTGTAACAAATGTTGATTTGAATAATTTATTTGACTAATTGTGCAATACGGAATTTTTTTTTTTTTTTTTTGAAATCGATTAATTGCTCACATTTATGTATTCATTTATAGATGTTGAAAAGTATAGCTTAAAAATATTTGTTACATTTGTTTTATTTAGTCCTAAAGAAGTAACTTGAGTTTGTAAAACAGAACAAGGATCTGAAAGAAACAAAATTTATTGAGATTGCTGAGACTTGATGCATTGTATCATTATATACAGATATCACATGAATTTTTGTCCACACAATATATATTACTATATATAAAACTGAGACTATCCATGTGTTTATATATAAAAATTGACCTACCATGGCACTCAAAAAAGGACAGAGGATAAAGCTTACTACTGGTGCTTATATACTAGAGGATCCAGTATTTACAATAGAGGAACCTCTTCAATCAAAAACTGATTCAAAATACATAAACAAAATATTTAATTATACACTTTTATAATTTCTAACCAAGCTTAATTATCCTCATATCATATTTATGGCATACTGCTCTGTATTATGTGAACTACCGTGGCATGTTGTGGAGATCAAAGATTTGGGATAACATTTGGTTGCAACCTGAACCCTTATGATTTGGATGACTGTCCCATATGTTGTCATTATATACCTACTGGCAAAGGTAAATATGATCCTCAATCCTACACATTATACATCACAAAAAGGTTAAGTATATTATCAAGCAACCCTACAAGATCTAATGCTCATACAGCAAAAATGGGAAAATTTGTTTATCATCCACATTGCACCTCATCTCTCACAACCAAGATGTGGTCATAATTCATCTCATAGGAAATGTGATAAAATAACAAACCCCAACCCTTCCATAAACCAGAGTAAACGATATGTACATCACAGGACATTATCAAGCTTAGTACCTGACCCTCAAAAATATTACATCCTACATACATACCATTAAATCACATTTTCAGTTTTCCTTCAAAATCTGAGAAGTAGAAACAGTTTTGGCAGATATGTAATTTCACATTTAACATAAAAAATCTAGTGAGAAATTGTGCAATAAAAACAAGAGCCACTTACTGAACAATGGTATTTCTGGACTTTTCCACAAAAAAGATGCAGAATGTTGTTATATACAGCAGATGATTACATTTGGGTAGTAAGACCAAATGTATCAGTTTAGTTCAGAGTCCAACAATTCAGTGACCTGTCACCTTACAGATAACTGCTGTAACCAGGAGTTAACCCAACTTTATTTGAAGCACAGATTATACATATTATTTTAAATACTTGTAGCTTTAGGTGAGGATGACAATGTGATCTAAATTCACAGATGTTACATAGTTTGTGCAGGTTTTAACTTTTTGCTATAACTGATAGGAGATAATGCAAAGCCTTTTGTCTTCATCATTTCTTGAAGGTCCTGGTCCTCTTCTTGCTCTCTGGAATAATCCAATTTTTAAAGAGGTAAAAAGCTGCTTAAATTTCTAAAATATTACCTAAATTCATATCAAACATAGGAAAATACTTGAAGTACACCGGTACTTTCCTACGCTATCACTACATGCTGCAAATTTTTCACTTTAATGTGCAGTGCAGAACAGAGGACTTGTGAGCCTATTTTAATTGTGGAAATGGGGATATATAAAACAAGGCAATGCAATTCTATTTCTGTTTTTGCTTTAAAATTCAACATTAAGGCTACCTTAACTTTATTTTCACAAATCAGTTGCAAATAAAAATGATAGCAGAGAAAGGAACCATTCAACATTGTTCCATATATATATTCTGAGTAAACCAAAAGCAAATAATGTGGCATACCTAAGTCTATCCTCTTCCAGTAGTGCCACCAAGGCATCTCTCTGTTCAACCACTTCCAAAAGTTCATCAAGAATCTTCTTCTCTGCTTCAATTTCCTCTGTGGTTTTCCTCATGTCTGCAAATTCAAACCAGAATTCAACTTCAAAGCAGTTAAAGTAAAACCTCAAAGATTTTTGACAAAAATCTGACGAAAACAAGTGATTCATCAAATTCCTTATTCCTTGTTATTTATTCCTATTCAAAACCACTCCTTTCCGGATCTACTGTGGCTAAACATACTTAAATTAATTGCTAGTCATACCATCAATGGCCATTTTCTCTCTAAGAGCCTGCTCCAACCTTCCATGCCTATCCTCCAGCTCCAGTTCCTTGGCCCTAAAATGGAACAGGATAGGATAAAATCAGCCTCGGAACATATGTAGCTAAAATTGTGAATGACTACATTTTCTACAGTTGCAATAGTACACAAAAACTTGGGTTTATTTTAAAATAAAATATTTTATAACACTCTCGAAGCAAAAATAATTCAGATTCTATATCTTTCAGTTTATTTTTGTATTTTCTGGATTATTCGTTCACTATTGCAGATTAGCTTGACTGCTTACCTGACCATGAGCTCAGACTCGTATCTAACCAGGACATTTTTCTCATGGACCAGATTGAACCATTCCTGCATCAGTTCCTTTTCATCACGCCTTGCTTCTGAAACAACAATTCAACAAAAGTAAACACACAGGTATGACAGGCTAGCATGTGCTTTAAGGTACATTATACAATGTTTTTCTCCTCCGTAACATTCATCTTTCATAAAACATTTTTTCAAGGCTACAGCTGCAAGTTTGAGTTAATAGATAAGGTGCAAGTGCCTGCTTTTTTTTTCCTCATTAAAAAAGGAAAACAAAGGTTCACTGCCGAGTAAAGATGTTGAGGAGAGGAAAACACATGGAATGATAAGCTACATGTATTATATATATATATATATATATATATATATATGTTAATGTGATACATTTGTACGTGGTTGCTATACCATGCATCATATCATTGTTAAATATGTTTGCTTTATTTTGCACATAGCTGTGGCATTGTGCATGCTTAGTAATGGTGATTGTCATATTGCGCAAGGTTCATCATGTTACATGCTGCATGGTTAATATTGGTGCCAATAGATAAAAGACTTTGTGCACTGTAATACATATTTCATGCTGGTTTGAAAGCAACAGCAAAAATAGCTGTGATATTTTCCTTTATCTGTTTTAGAAACATTGCATTAAGTCTAGTATGTCAATAATACTAAATATGTGTACCTACTAATTTTTTTCTACTGTTTGTTACTTAAATCTATGCTAATTGTTACTTAAATCTATTTAAAGAAAACATTTAAATCACATGAGAAGTTAATGTCCCATGAGAAGGTTTAGATGGGAGGTTTACAATGATATTATTAGTATTGTCAACATTGCTAGCTACAGCATAAGGTTCAATCATTAATTGAATTTCACATGTAAAACTCAACTTCATCAATTAGTTAGAATTTTTTATCAATAGTAGTTAATATGGTGAGATTGTTAGCACAAAATATGGGTGAAAAAAAAACATTTGAATGCAAGATATTCAAGGCAGCACTGCAACAGAGGAAGCCCATTCTGAAATCGGCATACCTTTAGACAGTTTGCGGTACAACTTGCCTAGAATACAAGAATAAAGGCAAAATCCACTACTGCATCTCAAGCTTTTAAACCACTTCAATTATCCTTTCGTTATTGATATAAAATAATAATCCATTCCCATTATATAGTCATACTGCAAACAAAATCCACAAAATGCAAACAAGATGCAAGAAAAAAAGCATTACAGATCATATCAATCTCAGAAGGGATGCTTGGAATAAAAGTGTATTGTAACTGACATGGAGCTGGGATCATATTGTTTTAACAGTGAGAATGTTGGATACACTGGTGGTAGATGATCTTGTATGTTGGAATCTGTACTATCAATAGCATTGTGTTAGAGACGTAAAAATTCTGTTGGACCCTGATTGTGACATTGTGTTAGCTAAGTCACAGTTACAGGCATGACATTTTCTTACCTGGGCCCTCCCCTCTCAGTGCTTTCTCCACCATGACTCCTCTGTCCTCCAGCTCTCTTTGCTTCACCTCCACCTCTTCTAGCTGCCTCTGAATCTCTTGAGCCATGCGGAGACGCTTCAACTCGCGACTGCGCTGCTGCTGGCGGGCAGCTTTCTGGACACGCCTGGCCACCTTGGCACTGAACTCTTCCTCTGTGAGGGGAGCACGGTGCTGTAGGGAGAAAATTAAGACACTTATGATTAACTCTCATCTCATTTAATGTAAGATTTCTTGACAATGAAATTTTCCTGTGTGTGCATATGGTGCACCCTGCTGTTAGCAAAAATAAAATTTCTGTGGCAAAGCACCTGGAGAGAAATTATCTCAGCAGCGCACTATTATTTAATTTTAGATATTTCATTACATTTTTTACAGATCTAGAAAGATATTACAACTAAACATCAGTTTTTAGACCACTTACATTAGATCTGCCTGTAGTTTCGTAGTCCATTTCACTATCTGTTTCACTGAAGTCATCCTCTGAAAACAAGGCATGGTAATGATAGAATACAAAAACAAAACAGCAACCACCATGTATTCTACATTGTTTTAAAAGCATTCCTTAATGCAGCCTTGCTATCAAATAACAGACTGAAATCACCAAATCAAAGAAGATCATATTTTGCATCCTACTGAACCCGAATCTTATAAAGCCTTTTACTTTGAAATAAAACATGGCTTTTGATCCTACCGTCTGCTGTGGGTGCCACAACTTTCTCTTCCACAGAGCCTCCACTGGAAAGCAGACCAGCTCTGGTGTACGTCTTGTCTCCATGGACAAACACCTCTTCCTGCAGGGTCATGTCCTTCACTTTGGAGCTCAAAGCCCCTTCCTCATCCATAACATCCTTCAATTTCTTCCCCTTCTTTTTGTCCTTGCCTTTGGACTTGGTTTTACCTCTAGGGGTTTCAGAGTCTGGTGTTTTTGCTTTGTCTTTGTTCTTTCTGAACCGTAGTTTGGATGATTTGTCTTTCATGGAGACTTCAAGTTCAGAGTCTGGAGTCTGAGGAGTTTGTGGTTCTGAAGAACTTTCTGGAACTTTATACTTGGATTTACGATCCTTGGATTTATCTTTACCTTCACCAGATTTACTAGAAGGCAAAATAAGTGAAAATATAGATTTTCTGTCTTTCTTTTTATCTTTCTTCTCCTCTGTGGAATCAACTTCTCCATTTTCATGTCTCGGGGTTTTAATTTTCTTTTCCTTTTCTTTTTTCTCCTTCTTCTTCTTTTTCTTTGATTTCTTTCCATTTTGTTGAGCAATGTGATCGGCAGAATCCAGCTCTCCTGTGGAGCCGAGACCCCCTGTGGAGCCCAAATCCCCTGCAGACTCTGGCTTTCCACACGAGCCATTCTCCCCTGTGTGCTCAGGTTCAGATGAGATTGTCCTTGCTAACCCTGGCTTGTCATCCACAAACCAAGTTGCACCACTGCTGGTTTGAGATTCCTGCAAGAGGCCTCTGTCTGTCTCATCATCTGTGTCCCCTATGGTAATGTCATCAAGTGACACTGGACTAGTGGCAAACACATCATCCTGTTCAAGAGGGGACTGAGTCCTACCCAACTTCTCTTCAATCTTAGTGAGGCCTGGTATACCTCCAGTCTCAGCATGCATTTCCTGTATGGATGAAATGTCTTTTGTGGGTGACATGCTTTCTGCCCCTGAGCTGTCACTGGAGCGAATTCTGCCACCAGATTTCCGGGGTGTATAACCTTCCCTCAGACCCAGCTCTTCGTTGCTCTTCAACCTGGCACGCAGACGTGCTTGTGCACGAAGCTTTTCTCTTTCTGCTTCACCAGATCGCTTGATTCGTTCCAGGGTACTTGTTCCCAACTGACTGGGTGATTTGATATTGGCTGGAATGGCAGGCAGAACTCGTCTTGTCTTGGGAACCTCAGACTGTGAATCCGCAGGTTTTTTCTTCATTGATGTGTCGGGAGTATGAAACACGTCCTGTGGTTTTTTATGCTCAGGACTCTGGTCTGCAAAAGGTATTGCAGTTTCATCAATAGGGGTTGGAGTGTTAGGAACGTAACTCATATCCTTAAGTAAAGTGTCTGCCTTAATTTTCTTTCGTCCAACCTCTGCTTCATATGTGGAATTGGAAGGATACTTTTCTTCTTCATCAGAATCAGACTTCAAAAGAGATGAATCAAGTTCCAGCTTAAGCTTTTGTTTCCTCTGATTCATGGGCAAATCCATCTTTGTTTCAGTGTTTTTGGTAAATTCATTGTCAATAAGTTTCTGTGTTGGTGATTTGACAGGACTAGAGCTGCCAGACCTTGAACCCGACCTTGAACTTGACCTACCAGATGTCTTCTTGGTATGAGTGGGACTCTTCTCCACATTATTAGGAGTCAAGTACACACTGTCACCAGATGTGTCCATTTTACCCTCATTTTCAACACTTTGGAAACTAGTATTTAAGCTTTCCTCTGCAAGATTTCTTTCTAAAGTACGGCTAAGAGTCAAGTTTTGGGTGTCAACATCCAATAAGCGTTTATTATATTCCACTAAATCTGTATCAAGTGAGCTTGAAGATGAATGAATAGATCCACTGGGAGTAGAGATAGTGAGACTAGAGTCTGATGCTTTATTTTTCTTCACTTTTTTCTGCCTCCTCTCTCTCCCAGTTATGAACACCTCACTAACTGGAGTCACTGGAGATTTCTTTGGAGATGGAGTTTTCTTTGGGGATGGAGTTTTTCCTTTAGATTTATCAGAATTTGGTGTTTTTACAGGTGATTGTTTCTTATTTTCCTTTACTTTTCTATGACTGCTGTCATCCCCAACCATGACCTCTTCGGTTTTACCATCAAACAACTTGTTGACATCACTGTCTGTATCACAGTACACACTCAGAGGAGCAAAAGCAGGGGGTGGTGGGGAGGAGGGAGCGTTGAACACTTTGTTTGGGTCAAGCCTCACTGGTTTGGGAGCCTCCATCAGGAATGCTGCTTTGGCCTTCATTTTGGCTGCCAGTGATTTCTTGCCATCATCAACTGGGGATTGCTTAGTGACTGGGGGTACTTCCTCTTCTAAAATGAAATACACACAACCATGGGTCATAACAATGAATTTTACTTAAGAGTGAGGTAAATTTTGCAAGCGATCTTATGTTATTCTAGCTTCAAAATGTGACATATTAAAACTTAGCCATTACAGTATTGCTTTAAAGCTTCTGTTGAACTTTTACGAGCATCTATAACTGCACAAATTCTCTTAATTTTACATAAGTTAATTTTGAAATTTATGTGAAATTCCATAAGACAACCATTTGGCTACCTTCTTCACTTTCAGATTCTGTCTCTTCTTCCTCACTTTCCTCCTCAGTCTCATCGTCTACTTCCTCATCCCCTTCCTCCTCCTCCTCCTCCTCAGCATCCATCTTCTCCAGCAAATTCTCCATGGAATGCCTCAAATTCCAAGTATCAGCAAGTTTGTATGTCTCATTCATGGACCGCTGTAATTCATCCTCCTCTTCTTCCTCCTCTTCCTCTTCTTTATTTCTATACACTTCATCTTCAAGTTCACTCTCTGACCTAAGGATAGAAAACACCACATGTTAATCAATCTTCTGTTGCACTGTAGGAATCATTCTATTGTTGCATGTCACAACCTCAAGAAATGGACAGAAATAGCTGACAATTTCTATTAGCTGCCAATTTCTGAAAATAACTGCAATTTTAACATAATTTAATAATCAAAATGTTGAAATATTGAGATAGGCGAGAATATGGCATAGACTGTTTGAACAGAAATCTTATAGCAAAACTCAAGAATTCAGTATGTCACACTTGAACAATTCATTGGCATGAAAAACACTTTCATCAGCAAAATATCAACAATCCCTGAAAAGTATTACCATTAAATAAATCAGCCATACATATGAAATATATCATTTTAAATCAGACAAAAAATATAAAACATACAATCACAAAACTGTAAGGCAAAAATTTAAATATGTGCACAAATTGGGATATAAATGAATGTTTTTGATTTATGAAAACAAAATCAACGAATAGCACAACAGATGTGCCAAAGAAATAAACTAAACTGAGGAAAAATATCCTACTACATATCCTGTGTAGTGGTCTTCTGCGAATTCCTTGTTATCACTGCTCTGTCCTGGAATATCCACATATATAAAGTAAGATATCAGAAAAAACTCAATTTCTAAACTACATGCATCTGCCAGCAAACTATCAATTTGTATTAGGAACAAATACTGCTGGTCTTACAAACTTAATGCACACTTCTATGTGAAAAAGTCAAAACACTTCAAGAACAAATCTACAAGCCCTCAACCAGCGAATCTGCCATGAAATAACCCATCAAAAGTTCTAACCACAGAAACATGCTTTGAACAGGTTCAATAATAAAGTGTTTTTCTTTATGTACACTGCAACTGTGAACCCATCCTACTGCTGACATGCTCTGAGTGACAGCACTGGATAACTTTTATCATTTTTTCTTAAAATCCATGCATTTGATAACTGTAGTAAAAAGGAAGTGTGACAGGTGTACACAGGTCACTGTGTTAGATGTACCTCTAGATTGTGTTGGGTGTGACTAGTAATTGTTTGTATGACACAGCTCACACTTTACATACCCCAGCCCAAGGAAGTCGAGGACTGCATTATCTGACATAGATTCGCTACTATGAAGACTAGATAGACTCAGTCTACAACAAAGAAAGCAAAGAAATGGAAGCTAACATAATACAGAACAGGACGCAGAAAGTACTGATAAAGAGAAGCACAGCAAGGAAAAGAAGCTTATATTATCTGAAATTACCTTGAGAAAAATTCAAAACATTGCTATTTGACAACAATTGTTTTCTTATACTTTCTACATTTTTAACATTTTAAATTCTGAACCTATTGCATGCTATTTATTCACAACATCACTCACTGGTCTGAGTCAGAGCCACATATTTCCTGAATCAAAGCCTGTTCATCCTCTCCTTCCACCTCCACCTTATCTATCAACAAACAGTCCAGCAATAAATCAGTATTCTTATCTCTATCAACAGCTGAGTCAATCATGTTCTTTTTTTCGTCACAAACTTTAGGTTCAATCTCCAGATGCTGTTCATCTTGTACATGAACTTCTCCCTGTGACACTTCATCCTGGCCATGAAGAAACTTATCTCCTTCAAAAGCAACATCTGCAGATTCAGCAGATTCTAAGGTTGCGGAAAGAGTTGAAGGCAATGTGGCATCCCCACAGACTGTTTCTTCTGTTCCCTGCTGTTCATGTGTCAGAGACATTGAGTCAACTTTTAGTTCAAGTGGAATAGCCGTTTCTCCTCCATTAGAACAGTTCAGGCATGGTATTTCTGTGCAGACGTGAACGTCTTCACCACATTTTCCTAATTCCTCTGTGATCTGTTCAGACAAGGGACTAAAATCCTCTGAAGTGTTCACTTCAACAGTTTTTTCTGAACTGGTAATAGACATTTCAATCCCATCTAATGGTGTATCTGGCATATCTTTACAAGGGGCTGTTTCTTCCTCAGCTTTCATGGGCTCCTTTGGCTGTAGATCAGGCAGGAAGTTTTTGGGATCAAAGCTGACCCCCTCAGAGGGAGAGAAAAAGAAAGCTCTCCTGGCATTAGCCATTGCTGCACTGGTTGGAGAAACTACCTGAGAGGTTTGGGGTGGTGGAGTGGTAGACCACAATGAAGTTGGGGGTTGTCCAGGTCTCCTGACTGACCGGTCAAGTCCAGGTGTATAATACAGACTGTCAAGGTACTGACCACTGGTGGACACGTTGTCCTCAACATCCCTGACACATTGAGCAAAAACCAAATTATTTCTTCATTTACAGAAGTACAAAGTAAGACTTCAACTTACTTATAAAATGAAGTTCATTTGGTCACAGAAAATAAAATAGATGCATTGGTAAGGAAAGGAGGCAAAAGGTTACTGTATAATTCTTAACATTCTTGCTTAAAGAGAATACATATTTAAAAACTTCTAAACAGGAAAAATGATGCCATTTAAAAAGGAATATGCTACATACTATTTTTTGCATTTAATTAACCAGAATTCTAAAGGCATTCCTCAAAGAAACCTAACACAATGTAAAAAACTGGTCATTCATGCATAAAACAACGCCACTCATTGGCCATGCTAAGTCAAAAAAGAGAGAGATGTGCTATGGGCTTTCAAAGCTTCAAATACTGCACAAAAAATGCCACGTACAATTACATCTGCTCACTATGAAACTTTCAGTTTGGAAATGAGATGCTGAACTAAAGCAGTGCTTCATGTAGGGCAAACCTATCTTTCAATAGATGCAAAAGCAACACATACCTCCGCAATGGAAATTCATCAAGGAAATATGCATCAGAAAAAGTCTTCTCATTATGATGTGAATACTACTATAGAATATAAACAAAGGAAAGTTACTCTCTGTCTTAGAAAATGTAAACCAACACCACAAGTCCATGGATTCTTCATCAACAACAGAATACTATGCAGATATCTAAAATGCTAAATAAAATGTGCGTTGTGACACTGGTTGTTAACTTGTACTTGACAAAACTAAATAAGTGCTATTTTCAATGTTCTGCATGCAGCTTACTTTAAATAACTTAAAGCTCAAATCCAGGAAACCCATCAGTATTTAACTGGATTCATAAATTCAATGGAGAACTTAGTAGATAATTTGTTAGTAGAAATTCTAGGAGAAATAAACACTGCATCTTCTCCACAAAAACTGATAATGCTTCTACCCCATACCTATAGACAACCTACAAGATGCACAAATACCTCACTTAAAAATTGTATGATGTTTAGATGTTAGCAGTCAATATTCAACGGGGAACTAAGGCATCACCACACTTCATTCCCGTACCCACCCATAATATGAAGACCAGAGTTCGTCCTCGGTCAAAGATTCTAAGTTATCCCTGGAGAGCCTAAAACACAGTAGCATAAACTGATGTACTAATTCTCTCAACCACAAGATATTCTGATTCAGCAAGATGACTTCCTAAATTTTTATGTTTGATTGACTGTCGCACATTTTGTACAGACAATTTCAAAATCTGTTCAATTCTTCAATGTCGATATATATTATTGAAAACACTGAGAACTGGGTTGTAGCTATTAAGACCCCTCTTTTTATTGCAGAGTGCGCACAGAAGTGAGAGAACAAGGTTCACTTACGTAAAACTAGAGAGGTCACTCTCATGATCTTCTTCATCATCCCTGCGAGGTCTAACTTTAAACTCGTGCATGAGAACAGTGGCGGGGAAGGCACTGGGACGTAAAAGAGACTCCACCTTCCTGGCTAAGTAATCTATCCATTCATGACCCGAACTCGTCACATCATTAAGGAGGAAAACGGCCTCTTCGCGCTCTTTATTGAGCTCGGGAGGAGATGGTGATTCAGAATCATGTTTTGGAATAGTTATTTCGACTGGATATGTGAATTTCTTTTGCTCTACAGCTAAATCTGATTTATCAGATGATACTGCAACAACCTCATCAATACTCTGATTTCCCTGATCTATGACATCAATATTCTCAGAAACCTGACTAACTAAAGCAGATTTCTGTAATTCTGGGATATTGTCAGTAGTTTGACACTGGGAGTTATCATTTGGCACTATAACTGGATATGGGGAGACATTTTGTTTTATATCTGCTGTCAGTTCCACATCACTCTGCACTGCAGCAGTTCGATCTGTAGTTTCAGGTACTTCATTTGTTTCTCTAATATTCTCAGTTATGTGATTCTGGGAGTCTTTTTTGGGAATTACGCATTTTATTGGATATATGAATGCATTTTGATTGACAACTGACTCTAATTCATTACTGAAAGAAATTGGGGTGAGCACATTATTCCCAGTATCTTTATATATCTCATGATCATCAAGAGTCTCCTTCATTTCTGAGTGCAATTCAGCATTGGGACAGTCCTCGATCTCAGCATCTGAGCTTATATGCAATTCTGTGCCAGAACTTGCACACGACTCCAAGCTTGAAGAAGGATCCAACCCTAAACAAGGCCCGGGGTCCACTGCAACATCAGAATTATCAAGAACTTCCATATCAGAGAGAACTTCTGTCCCTAAATCAGGTTTGACCACTACGTGTGAGTTTGTATTAGAGTGCATCTCTATCTCTACACCAGATCTGTCTGCTAACTCTGCATTAGAATTCACCACTATTTCTTTGACAGATGTGCCAGTTAAGTCTGGATTAAAAGCAGTTTCACAGTTAGCATCAATTCCTAATTCTGCATTAGGATCTAGTTTCGCCTCAGCATCGGAACCACAAGTGTTTAAGGCCTCTGCACACCCGGTGCTACCATCAGAGGCATTGCTATCAACATCGACATGTTCCAACATAAAGTCAGTCATGGACAAGACCATCTCCTCAGCGTAGGTCAGACCCAACTCCTCACTCTCACTGCTACTTAATAAGGAAAGGGGGGAGGGGGGGGGGGTTAAAGGAAGGGAAAAGAAAAAGAGAAGATTACATTAAAGTAAATTAAAAATAAAGATTTACTTAATTTTAGATTATATACTACCTACAAATTGTTTAAAGAGAAAAAAATATCATACTTACTGTGAGTTACTTTTTAAATTAACCTGTCAAGCAAGATATTTGCATAAAAAGCTTTTAAAGCTAATAAGTAAGCTTAGGGACAATAAAAATGTATATATTATATATAGAAGTTGAGTATTTTGTATAACAGTTTTGGATCATGAGAAGCTTACAATCTCATTTGGTCTTATTTACAACATAAATGACTATAGTAACCTTTCAAAAACTATAACTAGTGATACTTTCTTACAGTGCAACAAAGCAACAGTATTGGAAATCCATGCATTCAATGTCTCATTATGAACATTCATGTTCCAACAAGCAAAGAGGTTGGTACTTTTTAATGCCTCATCTGATATTAAAATCGCAATTGCCCAATCAAGGTCTTTCACTGTGCTGAAAGAATCTATAATCACCTTGAACAAAATCTGGTTCATATGGCAGAACCAGTTTTGGACTGAAAGGGCATAGCCAGCATAAGAAGAAAGCAACAATTTCAACCTTCAGAAGATTACATGCTGAGATTTGGAGCTGAAAATTGAAAAGCACAATTCATGGCAGGCCAGCAGGGGCAAGCTTTGTCGTGATTGTTTTAGGTGTGAGTGTATGCTTGTTGTGGCATTGTGTTGGGTGTGACAGCATGTACATACCCTAAGAATTCCCAGAGTTCATCCTCTGAGAGGTGCTCACCAGTGTGAATACTAGACAGCTCAGAGACGGTACTACACATGCAAGAAGAAACAGTGGGTTAAATACGAAAAGACCTGTTAGTCTAATAAAAGTAAAGAACTATAAAGAGAAACAATCAAGTGGTATGAAAGAGTTAAAGAAAAGAAATTGAACTGTAAGTCCCCAAAAAATGGATTATTAAAGAGTATTTTTTTTCTATTAAAAGTATCCACTAAAACAGCTTTTCATTGCTATCAATATTGTCTACAGGTTAAGGTATCCCTACAAATACAGTTTCCATCAAAGCACCCCACTAATAAAGTATTGGGCAGGCTCTGGTAATGCACCCAATTACTCCTACATCATGCTGAGGTGTGTGAGGAGTCAGAGAGGGTGGTGCTGTCACTTACTCCTCATCCTCAGAGCTGACAACCTCTTTCAGCTCCTCATCCTCATCCTCAGACAGCTCCCCTTCTTCATCTATGTCATCCATGCTTTCAGTGCGACTTAGCATGGCACCTAAATTGTATGATGTCTGCTCCTCCTCTCCTTCTTCTACATCAGTCTCTCCCATACTGTATTCATATTCTATACGCTCTGGTATAATAGTTGTAGTCACAGGGGTCCACCTGTAACTGTCCTCTATACTGAATACATAAAGTGGGTATACAGTTACAGAAAATTTCTACACTTTTCTATTCTAGTATTTGGGAAAATGTGTAATTCTTCTCTTAAAACTGAAGATAGAAATCCAGAATATAATAACCACTCAGTTATTGCATGTTTTTCCAAAGTCAAGTTCATGTAACAGCTGCTTAAAATGATTTTTCTTTTTCAAAACATATCTATTAAGTTATGTGAATACGTTGACTGAATATGCACTATGTGAATCATTTGTGGCAATCGTACCAAAAATATGTGGAATGCATATGGATCATGCTGTTACTACACCAATCATAATGTCACACGCGACTAAATCTTTGAGTATTATATCACATACAAATCAATGTGAGGTAGCATATATAGATATGTGATGGGCTAATTAATGCATCTGCCCATCACTTTGTCTAAGAAAATGTTCCTGAAAAACTATGGCAAGCTCTGTTAAAATTAAGTTACTGAAAACTTCATCGCAATCATTTGGTAGCTGAAATTGTTAAACAAAATGACCTTAATATAAAATTTGGTACCAGATATGGTTCACCTGAAAGATGCAGATTTGTGTTAAAATTAGTATTATAATATGCAAACAATTATGTATGTCAACACAAAAAGTATAAATAAAAAAACAACACAGGAGTAAAATATTGCTTCAGTATTAAGCAAGCAGCTGGATCACAACATTTCAGCTGTTTTTTGCTGAAAGATGGGCAAAAGTAAGCTTTTGGAATTATACATTTTTCAACAGATCACATTACTTAAATGGTAGATAAAAATTTAGAGGAAAAGCAGTGATAAATGGGTGCAAAAGGCAGGGCAAGGGTGCTAATCAGAGTCAATGAGAAATTGCCACAGTGACAGTGACAGTGTGATCATCTGGGAAAAAAACCACTGAAACATTTTTACAGTGATCAACAGTAAAAATGAAAAGTGACAACAATAAAAGCATGCAAGGGAGGAAAATCTAGATACAATCAAACACATTATCAGAATCGATTATAAACCATGCTGATTATAAATGATCAAAATAATCAATGGATTTAAGTCCATGCTTGCTGCTACAGAACCAAAACCAAAGGAGGATGCATTGTAGCACACATGGACAGGAAAGCAACACTGCTTCCTTGACAACAGCAAGTGGCGCCACCTAAGCTTATTACCCACCCCAAAAAGGCGTTGATTTCATCCTGTGACATGTAGTCACTTTCATGCTCACTGGAAAGTTCATCACTGAAAACAGGAAATATTAACTTCATCATTTTATCCAGAACGAAAGAACTGCAAAAGAAATCTTGGTCAAGATTGTGCTTTTAAGAGAAGAGTTGGTTTACTTTTACTTGAATATTTTCAAAGTGACTCATTACTGTAACTTAAAATTTATGAAACCAGCTGAAAGTTAAAATATCATGAAATATTCTGCAAAACAGATGTCATCCAGTCAATGTGCTCTTCACATAAGTTGAACCCTGAGTAGAACTGTAGGCTGCTATGACTGGAACTAACTTGTAAGCTTCTTTCATACTGGAAACAAAGACATTGAAAATGTTGGCTATTTATAGACCCATACACTGCATCAACTTTGAACTTTGATCAGAAATAAGTGTACAGACTATTCCATTTTAAATCAAGTCCATCATATTATGTCACAGAAACTTACTCTTCACTCTCTGACTCATCCCCCTCTTCTAACAGACACTCTGCACTAAGTGATGCTCTGAGGTTGTGTTCCGTCTGCCTTTCTTCATCTTCCTCCAGGTTATCAATGCTGTACTCAAACTCTATCCTCTCTGGTGTCTGGGTGTTCTTCACTGCATCAGGGTCTAAACCTAAAATATACATAGCACGTATACATTAGTATCTTTAAGTACATAGTATGTAAGTATATCATGTTGAGTTACAATTTAGTTTATACTTAGTTTATCCTCTCTAAATAATGTGCATACAACATATTTGGATCTCCTTAGCTAAACACTAATATATATATATATATATGTATATATGTATATCTCCTTCTAAAAAGAATCAGTTTTGAATAACAGACAACGCTTACCTTTTATTGACATTTTCTTTTCCATCTTTGGCAGCTCTTCCTCCTTCACAAGAAAATAAAATCACATTTAAACTAATCATAATATTATTGCAAATTCAATGTCTATATAGCCCATTATTAAACACAGTTTTAAACTGATGTTTTATGTTTAATTAAAGTAGACACCTAAAGCATGAGACTGAAAACATTTGGCATTCATACACTGAGTATAAATCTGTGATGTTCAAACAATTACACATTTCATGCTTATCACATAACAGTAGCAACTGCAAAAAGTATGTCAATATTGGACAAAACGATTACCTCTGTAAAACTTCGCTTCCTTCTCTCTCTCTTCTTCATTCCTAAATGCTGGTAACAGTAAAACTTGGCTGAAAGCAAAAGAAAATACATCATGAAGTCAGACAGCCAAAATGCATTCAACAAAGCAATACTTTCCATACTGTAACAAATTGTACTGACACACACTTTAATTTTTAATATTTAAAATATAGTTTTTTATAACTTTAACTTTAATATACATGCACATGTGCACACTTACATTCTCCTTCAGGGGTTTTCTCAAAAGCATAGTTTCCTATTCGAAGACTAAAGCCACAGTAAGCACACTTGAGACAGCCCCTGTGGAAGAAGATGCCCTCTGCACTTTGCCGCTCCATCAGGTACACCCGCTTCTGGCAGAAGTAGCAGAAATCGCTGGTTGTATTGTTATGGTTGATTGGAAGCCCAGAAACCTGCAAACAAGTCACACCTCCAGCATTATATCATTCCATTTTATTAATTATCTTATAATTACATTAACATTGTACAAAATCACTATTTCTGTGGTGTATGTGAGTTAAATGGGGCTGCATTTCATTACAATATACTAATTGAAACAAGTTGATTTTTTCTCAAACCTTGTTACTCTAACAAAAAATTTACACTACTTTTAAATTATCTCCCTATCTTAATTTGAATTTCAACAAAATGGTTTATTCAAATGGTTCATACCTGTTTCTTATATTCTGGTCTGCCTGGCATCTCATTGGCTGCTTGGACATTTTTAAATAACTTGTCTGCCAGGGCACTGACTTTATTATTGCCCTTCACGCCCACATCCAGGTTTGCCAGATTTCCTTTTGCAAGGTGCTTAGAGGCGTCATGTAGTTGTTTATCCACATTGTCAAACTTGTTGAATTTTTTCAGTGCAACTTCTCCATCCTGGAATAATACATTATTATTATTATTGTTTTTTAGTGCTGACAGTGTAATCCGTGAAACAACTCCTGGGCACAGCAATCTTTCGCCAAGTCACAACAAAAACTTTGCCTTTTGTTTTTTAAAATAATGCCAATTTTTACAATGTCTCACTGTTGTAAGAGTTTAGACTAAGTATGGACTGGTTGCAAACACATTAAGCTCAGCTACAAAGAAAACCAGTAATGTATTATTCACAATTCTTCACTACATGGTGTCAAGTGTAGACTTACTGTAGTGTCTTTTGTATCTCTGGATCTTTTCTTGCTCTGACCAAAGGTTAGAGATTCTTCTCCAGTTTCTTTGTTTTCCTTTTCTTCTTTCCTTTCCTGTTAAAATATACATATTGATGAGAAGACAAGTTAACACAAACAGCAGGATGAAGTTATATTTCCCTATCTCTCCACAAAAATATCTTACTTTCCTTGTAATTTGTATGATTTCTTCTCTAAATCCTACTCTAAAAATGTTATGTTCAATGCATTTCCAGCTTTCGAATCTAAAAATAATAATTTTCCAATATCATGATAAGTTTCAGTTGTACTTCTACTGTCACAGTACTGATTATGTAGCAGTGTCACTTACATGTTTTTTCCTGGAAAGTTTCTGTCCCAGTCTTGAGAAGAAAGACATCCTCTGAGTGGGAGATTTAATCCTTGGTGGAGGAGCGGACTCTTGAGTGGTGGTGAACGGACTGGGTTTGCTTTTTTCTGGGCCAGGTGCTGAGATGATGAGAATAAAATATACATCAGACATTGATCTAGAACATCTCACTTATATTCAAAAATTGTTCAGAGTTGATAAATTCATACTCGGTCAGTATTGATACAACTGGACATGTCTCTTATACTTACATTTGACAGACTTTTCTTTCTTGAAGAGCCCATAGAATTGAGATATGTAAGAGACCATGCTGAGTTTGTCAGGAATGTCACAGCTGGCCATGTCCTGTCCAGTCATAACAGGGAGGATACCCAGCTCCTTCTCTGCTATATCAAATGCCTGTAAGATAGGCAGAACACTCAACTTTTACATCACACAATAACTATATAAGAACAAAATAACAGTATCAAACTGGAAATAAGACAGTTGGATCAATTTATAGAGTAAAAACTTGGTTAATAATTTCACATTAAACATCTGCCATATTATTACTAAATGTTCATTTAAAAATTGGACAATCATGAAATCTAGTTTTGAATCTAGAAATTAAGATATAAAAACATAACAAAAAACCCTTACCAACTGGTTATTTTCAGCAGCATTTTCTGGATTCAAAGAGTAAACATCGCTGTAAAGAAAAGATTTTTGTTGCATCACATCAAAGTGTCATACAATGTACAAAACGCACTTAACAGAAATTCGTCTGATGATGAATTCACTTTACAAAAAAATTAATGAGAACTGGACAAGTGCTGGCAACATTAGCAAAGTTGCTCCAAAATTTACATTGGAGTCAATGGCAAAACTGAAATCCTCATGACGTGCTTTATTTAACACAAATCTATTATAAAGACTTACACTATGGCCAGGACGAAGAACCAATGACCCAGACATGTCTCACACATACATGACTTGAATAATTGTGAGATATACCAAATCTGGGTCTTTGGTTCTCATCATCCAACATAGTATAAGCCAGATGCTCCAAATATCAGCAAGGTGTATGTGTCATCCACAGCTACTTGTGCCTGCTCTCTCTCTCACACACATGCATGCACACACGCGCACACGCACATAACTTACATCAACTGTGGCCTGTAGTGGTGTATTAGTATACACAGGGCCATGCCATTCTTCCAGGAGGTGGTCAGATCAGTGACCTGGACCAACTCTTTATAGTGCTCCAGCTTCTTCTGGCACCACTTCAACAAACGCTCACTGTCTATCACAAAATCTGAAACAGTCATGGCATCCATGAAATAAGTTTAATCATTGACTTGGAGCTTTCGTCGGAATCAGGCATGTGATCAAGGCACTCTGATGAAGGGTCAAAACATTGTGCATGTAGAAAACATATTCTGGCTCTTTAGAAACAACTTACTTTTTAACAATCATCATATACTTTTGACAGTATGCCACCCACAAGATAAATCTGTAATTGTTCTTCAAAAAAAAATTCAAAAAAGCATTTTAACAAACCCCGGCTTGTCACGAAATCTAAAACAATCATTATTATTTGGCTGTAAGATATGCATGCTACAAAGATTAATCAGAAACAGTTACAGTCTTTACAAATTAAGTGTCCTTTTTATCTTAATTCACAGATAGTATATATATTTTTTTTACAAAATCATTTTCAGTCCTCAATGTGCACAATATGTACTTCCTCATCTACCAGAGACATTTTTAACCTTACTTTTCATTTGCACTCTTCACTTACCATACGTTTTGGTTCTCTTGTGTGGGACCTCTACCACTTCATCTTTATAGGTGGAGTCCAAGCAATCATACAGGTTGCGTACTTGGTATGGCTTCTGGGTGATGTTCAATTTGGGGTATCTAGCAGATAAAGTTACAGGTTCTACTTCAACAATTACAAATTCAAAAGTAACTTTGAATTAAATTCTTTTATAGCATATAAAATAATACTGGCATGGACTATTTGTTCTGCATATGATATGCCATGTTTCATATTATACTCTTAGAAGAAAACTACATTCACACAGATGTATTTTCTGATACTGACCATAACAATTCATTTACAAATCTAATTTAGAAGCCATGAAAAACTTCTTCGTAGGAACTCATACACAGAAGAATTTTAATTAAATTTCTTTAAAGTCGAAACATTTTCTCAAGCCATACCTTGTGGTAGGATCGATGCTGTATGCATTGAAGTTTTTATTCAGATTTTCTGGCGTTGTCTGTGACAACAGCTGATAAATAGTTTCCCTCTCAGCTAGGACTTCTAGTGGAGTCTTTCTGCCAGAAGCCCAGCTTCTTATCATCCATGCAGCATCCAGACATCCCAAGAAGCCACGGGCACAGCCAGAGCCTATAGGCCAGAATGGCTGAAAAGCAAAGTTGGCAAAACTATAATTTAGAGAACTGTTTAAGAAATAAGATTTAAGGCATAAGGATAGGTAATTTTAACGATAACATTTTAAGTTATTTAAGCAATTTAATCAAAATACAATTGCAAATTTAATTCATCAACAAAATCCATTTTAGGATTTAAAATTTATCTAAAGATGTTACTGCCATTTATTGAAAGCTATGATCTGAAAAGCCAAAATGTCACATAGTAGTTATAAAAGCTGGTACTCATACTGTTTCAAATAGGAATTGCCTTCTGTTTACCTCTAGCAAGCTGTCTCCCACTATTCCAATAAGTAACTTGTGACCTTGCCTTTCTATTACTTTGGAGGAATGCTCAGCAGCAAACATCGATGTAAAATCAAAGATGGCCACATCTGGTTGTCCATAATGGTTATGTGCAAACTCCAAGTTAGGGAGCTTGTAATTGGTGGATACATTGGCAGCCTCTGTGGCATAGGCCAATAGTTTGCTCTGATCTATATTCTCTCTAGACAACAGCTGTATGGTATCGTTGTGATCCTGGAATTGTATTTGATAATATACTTACAATAAACCATAAACTTTTCTACTAGAAATTGAATTCACAAGTAATATTTCAATCTCTTGCAAAAAATCAACAAGGATATAATTTTAATGTTTTAAGTATAACAAAATAAATGCTTGCACATACAACAGACAAATATTACGGTATTAATGTTTTGTTAAAATAATAATAGAAACATTTACAAAATCACATACATTTAAACTGAAAACCCCATACCTGTCTCAGCACCCCCTTGTCTAACAGACTCTGCTTTTTTGCTGTCATAACAAAGTAATGTGTGTCATCTTTGTAATACACTATATTCTCCAGGTCTATGCCAGTGTTTGACTTGAGATCAAGAAAGAATTTCTGGTTGAATATGAAGGCCACGCCACTGATCTCCTCCACACTGGCCTCTTGCTGGGTGTGCCTATTGATGAAGTTGGCTGTGATAGCAATGGCCAGCTTGCCACGGAATTCTTTTCTTTTAAAACCTGACATGCAATTAAAAGAACAATTTGTATTTTAACCAGGTGAATACATTTACTATTCAAATACGAAGAAGCAATAAAAATGAAAATTAAACAAATAAGTGCCTTTATTTTACCTTTCTTCTGAACAATCTATTCAACTTAATTAATAATACAAAGATGAGGTCTGATACAACTGGATCAAGCATGGCAGAAATATATGCAAAAATCCCATGAAAAGTGCCACTGATTTTGTGAAAAATACTGCTGAATCATTCAACTTGAACTGCAAATTTACACAATAAAACCTCACAAAATCTTAAGCATGGCAAAAATACAGCTGTCAGTAATAGGGTGAAGAATGTGTAAGACAGTGATCAGAACATATGCTATGTGTCTGTATAAAAGTGCAATAACCTTTTTCATTTCACACCCAAATGGCCCATTTTTCTATTATGTTTACATCTTACACAATGTGTTTCTTGCAATGAACAGCTTTTGTCCAAATGATAACCAAATCAAAAGTTCAGACCTACCTTGCACTGTGTTCCTCTTCCCATCTGCTCCAATAAGGACATCAAATTCAAACACAGACACGGGGTCATCTTTGGGAGTGACCTCAGCACGCCAGCCAGTTTCTGAAATAAATCAAATATGTTGTGAATTTGAACAGTTTAAGACTGAATTTTGATTGATGAATATTTGTAAGAATACCTGTTACACATCTTTTAAGAAATGTTACTCTCGGAAATGCAATTTTTCTAAAATAATCTTTACAATGCATTTCTAGTCTGCTATGGCTATTCTTGGGAATGTATTCCTTTTTCATAATCTTTACATTTTACTATATCGATTGTAGTCTGTTTTATCTTAAAATAAATCCTTACTTTCTGTTTGATCTTCTGGTGGCTCAACCAAGCGTTCAAAGCCAACATTGACATGTATTTGAACACCAAAGATGAGAGCAACTTTCATTAATATACACTGTAGCTGCCTGATACCTAAAAACAGAAACAGTAACATTAAAACATGTGGTTGAGGAAAGATCACCCATATCTAAAAAAATCAAAAACACTTGTTCCTCAAGCAAACGCTATCTTGAGATTCAGAAAATCGCTCTATTATTAGCATGCTTCCGCCATTTCCAGAATCCCTGCTATGTGTTGGATAACAGAATCAGCATAGGCATGCAGATAAAAAGGATCAGTTTCTAGTGACAGAGACCCTTGAAACTAAGGGCAACAGACCTCATTAACATTATCTGATAGGTCTGCAGATAGTTATACTTACTGATATGATCTAGGGATCCAGCACAGAATTTTCCAAAGAATTTCTTGGCTCCCAGGGCTCTGAGATCATGGATAACAAATGGCCAAAGATGGAGCACATTGTTCCTAGAGAACCTGTCTCTCTTCTCTACTATCACAGTTGTCGCTCCTAGCAAGGCTGCTTCAATTCCAACGCGCAGGCCACAGGGCCCGCCGCCAATGATCAGAACCTGGAAAAATACATAACTCGACTGAACAGCAACTTCGGTGTATTGGAGAGGAACAAGAAATGCTGTGAAAATTTTCTGAATGACTGTATCATGTTCGCTTCTTTAACAGACATTGCAAGGAGAGCAATATGGCATGCAAAGCATTTTAACACAACTAATTTACTTATTATAATATTATTGCAAAAGGACGGAGCGTATCAAATAAAATATATTCTAGTGCATTGCCCACACAATTTATTGATGAAAGAATCATACTGAAAGATATCCACTCATTCCCCTTATTTTTTAAGACTCTAGTTTGTTCTCTCAAACCATAAATATTTTCACAAAGATCTGTAGCAAAAAATACCCATACTAGTACTGCATTGAACAACCTATTCCATCATAATATTGACATTGCAATCCACTTTCCCTGCATTCACTCACTAAGTACATGATGAAGATGTCTTAGTTTATAGCATTGGAAATACATCCTCATTTCCCTTCCGTTGCAACCGTCAGGGGGATTATTGATTTTTAAGGTAACACATCTTCCTGTTACTTGTAAGCAGTAAATGTTCAAAAAGATCTGGATCTAGAGTGATTAAATTGCTTAATGCTCTGGTGAATAAGTGCAAGAATAACTCCATGCCATAGGAACAGCAAGTTTGTGCTTTCTCATTCACATAGATGGCATTCTACAAATTCTCTTGTATTGAATATGTGTCAGGAGTTGTTTGTTGATTCAAAAAGAATGTACAGAAAAAATGTTTATAACTTGTGATCTAGCAACAATTCTTTTTCATCAGACTCATACATAACCCTTGCTTATAAGTTTCTGGGAGTTACAAAAACGCCATTTTTTTTCATTCATTCTTAGTTAATTTCCAAAGATGTTTTGTTTTATCATTTTTCATTCCAAGCACCCAAGCAGCAATGACATTTAAACATTCCTGTTGTGTATTTAAACAAGGGTGTTTTTCAACTTCAATCTGTCTGCATACTAACTTTTTGATAACAGTTAAAAATGTCACTGTGTACATCACAAAGATGACATATAGAGCTCAGTTGGCAAGCAGTTGATATTTTCGCCACCAAAGAAAGTCTAGCCCCTTGTCTGTCTGTCTGCTGTGTGTGCAGCTGAGTGTACTGAAAACAGTTCCTAGCTCACAGGCAGGTGAATCATACCTCACAAACACTGCATGTATTCATTAGCACAACACTGAGGATAAAATGTGTACATGGTTCCAACCTATGTCTAATATTGTATACCGTAGGTCATTTTCAATATGGATCTCTCCTGGAAAACTAAATGATTATGATTGAGTGTACGCTTATTGCAACAAACTCAAAAACTAATTATGATTCGCATTCATGTATAAAGCTTTTTTACCATCATCATCAAGCTTTGATTTACAGTACAATCTCTAAATTATCATAATGACTAGAAAAGTTTTACATAATTTTAACTGGCTGAGAAAAAGAGAGACTTTACAAAAATCATTTGTCCTGAGGAGTGAGGGAATGAATATCAAGTTCAACTGCATGTAGTGCAGTATAAGCGGCCAAGACGGCATCTCAAAACCATGGGAGAAATTGATAACATTTTTAGGGTGAAAATGAGTCATTTCCTTAGCCTAAAACTAAAAAAAGGGGATTGACCTGACTCAACTAATAATGATCAATCTAAGCACAGTCTATGTAGAGGGAATTAAGTCCACAGGACTCTGGTTCAACTACATTTAATTAAGAAGAATGACAAAGTGTGCCTGACAGATGTAATCATTTTTAACAGTCAACTGTGTAATCACCTACAAGATGAGTGACGTGTATTACCTGCTGGCTTGATGTTAGCTCATTCTAAATCACAATTCTCACAGACCTCAGGTGCAACAAACCTGTAACTATACTCATAAACTTTGCATTTTGTAGCCCTTAATATAACAAACTTAATGCCATGGATCTTTGCAATACAAATGCATCCACATTTTTTAGTTTTAAATTTTATCTGAATTCCTTCCTTTTAGTGTTAAAGACTGTGCTGAAGCAGTGGAAAAACTTTTATGTACTTATGTACACATGTTAAGAATACAAATGTATCTCAGTTATAGTCACTACAGTATACTGTTTAAGAGCACTTCTAGAATACACAGTATAGGGACTGTCAACTTAAATAGAGACAAACAGCTAAAATACATTATCATGTTCTCCTAGGAAAGCTGCATTGTCAAATTTCCTGGTTTGAAATGGCCACTCTTGCCAGTGCTCTTCATTAATTGGACAGGGTATCAGTTAGAACTTCTAAGTGCCATATCACACAGGAAAAGAGTTTCTTAGAAACTGGTACGATTTTGAGATTAAGGAGAAAAGAGTTAATGTAATCAGGGGCCTTTATAAATTCACACACACACACACACACACGCACGCACGCACACACATATCTTGCACCTCTTTAAATACATATATGTAAACAAACACATGTGAAGCATCCAACACATGTTCACTTATATGATTAAAATTTGAGCTCCTTTATAAACTTACCCTAGTGTTAGCACATGCTTGACCATTCTTGTAATCTTTATGGCTGGCTCTCTTGTCCAGTTTGGCCCAGAGTGACTGTGCTTTCCATGACTTCACCTTGGCCTTCAACCTCGTGTAGAAATCCTTGTGTTCTGATGGCTTGAGATCACACAGCTCACACAGCTGTTGAAATGTGTTCATAATGGCATTACAGGTGTTTGCGTTGACAAACTGATCAAACAGTTTTGACACTTGGTCAGCTGTTTCATCCTGGTTGTGGGGATGGTAGCTGTGGTGATTCATGGCTGGTTAACGCAATGTCACAACTAACACAATTTGCCACAGCTAACGCAATTGTTCCTTATCTACACAATGGAAATTCCAATCTGTGTCCCTCATAGTGATGAAACTGTTTCATCACTGCTGCTATGAATGTGGTAACATCATCTGAAATTACAGAGCAAAAAATTTAACAAGATACTTTCAGAAGATATTCCCAACATTACTGAGCACTATTTAAAACATGAAAGTACTAAATATTCAAAACAGTCAAAAATAAAAAATGTTTATACCTAAATTAAGAAAGTTACATAAAAGAAAAAGGAAACCTAACCATAGCTAGCTTACAGTTTTCATAACAAGCATTCTTCACCATATAAACCTGTGTGTATATATATAAGAAACTGTGAAGTAGAAAATAAAACCCTTGTGAGATGGGAAAGACTGTATGAACAAAAGATTGATAATATAATGATAAAACAATAATTTTGACAAACTGTTTCCTTTATGCATTCCCTTAGTTTTATTTCCCAGGTGATGTTGAAACTGACTATTCAATTCTGATTATAGCATGAAGTAAAATACACTTAAATCCAAACACTAGTTAATCTAATTATTGTCAAAAAAATCAACAACATAAACTTTGCTTAATGCTTTTTGTTACCCAACTGCAACAGTGTTCTGTGCAATGAAATATACAAAAAAATATAAAACAATAAGAAATATAAGAATGTTTTTAAAACATAGCATGCTTTTTGAAGAAGATTACTGAATAACAGTCTTATACGAGTAAGAATATGAAGAATAAAATATAAAGGTCAGTTTTAACACACACACACACACACATACACACACACACACTCAAATACCAGAACCATGTATATTGATCTTTGTTCACCTTGTCTACAAATATGTAACCCCTAATATTGAATCAACAATGAGACATGCAGGGGATTGCCCCTATGGAGATATTGACTTATATAGATAGTGGATAATACTATTTTTACAAAGCATGAGAGACAAACATTTGTAACCATCAAACTGTCACAGATATACCTCAAGATATATATAACTGTAATACAATATGACCATCATCAGTTGGCGGAATTGTTTCGTCTCCCCAAGTTAAATGATCAAGCAACTTTTGTTATGTCAGACCACTACTACTACTACTACTGGATGCAATTTCTTGTGTTAACACTAGATCAAAAAGTATTTAACTATTATAGTCACTAAATGCAGTTACATCAACAAAAGATGCTGTTTGATTCATACCATCACTGCAACCCGAGGTAACGGACTATAAATAATCCCCACTAAAATAGCACACATAAATCCAATGACTGCATATTATCATTTTATGGGATTAGAACTTGTCACATATCACTATGCCATCCAGTATGTGTGTGATAAGACACTGTCAACCAAGCATTAAAGAACATCTCGAGCATTAGTACAGGCCTACCCAACTACCAGACTCGGCACATAAGGATCCTGAATAAACCGGTATATCGGACCACACTACCCGTTTTCAAGGTGTGTGTCAGATCGCATTTCAGAGTATCATACCCCAGAACAAATTTTGTAGCACGACTGCGGGCTCATCCACGCTCGGCTGAACAACCTTTAACTGAACTCTTACTTTAGAGTACTCTATTTTATTGTCTCTATGGGGGTATATGGGGACTTTACGACATTCGGTTTGAATGTTTTAACCACTTTTGATAGGGCTTTTTTTGCATTGTATTAGATTAATGTGGCAGTCTAAGGTTCATCTAGGTGGCTTTCAAATTTATGCACCCGGATTTAAAATCGATTTTACGACAATCGTTTTCTATCCAATCAAGGTGACAGCCGAGCGTGGGCTCATCCTGTCGGTGTTCTGACTGATACTCCGAAATGCGATCTGACACACACCTTGAAAAAGGGTAGTGTGGTCCGATATACCGGTTAATTCAGGATCCTTATGTGCCGAGTCTGGTAGTTGGGTAGGCCTGTAGTAGAGGTGTTCCAGGCACATATCCTGAGACAGTGGCAGCATATTGTTTGACATGGATATCAAGAGAAAGTTCTAGCATTTCACCAAAAAACACCCCTAAAACTGAATAAATCACATAGCGAAACGCTCACATAAGATCTTTAGGTATGAATGAGGAAATGGCATAATCCATTGAATATTAAAGGGATAATAACTCTTCGTATGAGATCTATATTTCACAATAAAAACAATGTGAATAACTCATAGAAATATAATATATTCTGTTTTACCACAAAAACGGCAGTTATAACTATTATTCTGATATCTGAGCTTGTCTTTAGACCACGTGACCTCCATTGATGGCTATACTCTGTTAAAATCTCTTAAGAGATTTTAACAAAAAACCAAACTTTTTGGAAAAAAAACAGGGACTAACTTTGAATGTAAAAATGGATTCATTAACCATTGGTAAGAATGGGAAAATTGTTGTTTACTCCAGGAAAATTCATTTTTTGGCCGAAACGAAGAGTTATTATCCCTTTAAGTGTCACTTAAAACTGTGGGTATTAATAACCCACCACTTGAAGCATTTCTATATTAGCATGCAAAGCTACAGTAAGAGCACTTAACTGCAAAGCTTCTGTATGTGATGTGCCAGTGTTGACAAACATCAGGACCATGTAGATAACAGTGACCCGCTAACACAGAATCTATAGCTTATTGTCCAAACAGCAATAATGCACTTATCTGGCTATCAACATCTTATCTTATTATAGCCACTCCCAATATGGTAGCCCTTTTAGGTAATACCAGTAAATTCTGCACAAGATATGTGTCAAAAAAGCATGACTTTTAATGTGCATAAGTATGAATTATTTTTTCGTTATATTTTATAAAACTATGCTATCTGATATAGACTGGCCATTTATAACTTCCACAGAAATATGCCAGGTGGTTCAAACACATGCTATAGGGCTGTCTTCCATAGTAAAAGAGGCAGAATTGCCTCCAGTAATTTATACAGGGGTTTTATATGCATGCAATATACCTGTGGGACATTTATCAGCAGTTAATTCTGTGCCTGGTTATCTATGCTTTAATAAAACACATCTGATGCAGCCACATAGACCAGCCTCTGGGTAGACAAGTTTATCTTTTCTTTTTTTTTTTTTTTTTTTTACATTCTGCAAGTTTATCTTATCATCTGAAAGAGATACTGTTTGAAAATATTTATATTAATTCCTTTTAATTGTTGCAGTTGGCAGACGTTGGAGAAAGCACCACTTTTGACTGACAGCTCTGCTGCACAGCTGATTTTTTTTCCTTCAGAACAAATTCTTGTCCATCTTGAACTAAAGGCCCTTGACCAAAGCAACATTATATTTAGAATGATATACAATTTAATTCAATCAATAGTGCAACCGTTTACCCTTTATTGATTCAAGTACTAATGCACCTATTGGCTGAACTGTATGTTCAAACATATATAAGCTCAAGGTTTCATGTTAAAACCTGTGCCCTCCAAAGTCAGAGTCAACAGACATGGAGATGCATTAATTGCACTACCTCATGCAGTGTCCACAATATGCATGTGGTGGTCACATTTGGCTTTGGTCATTGCTAAGTAGACATGTTTTATTTTATGCTTAAACACAGGTTAATGTATGCTACATGAAGTTAGCAGGAGTCTAGCTGAAGGCTGATTTCCATCTTGTATATATGGACATAACAATGCAATGGCTCACTTTGTCAGATAACCAACAACACAAACTCTCTTCTATTGCTGAGGCTATCACATACACAACGCATACAGGCAACGAACCGGTTTTCATTCAACGGACAATAAAAATATGTCCCAAGTTAAAAACTGGCAGCTTTTTCACCTGTTAAATATGTGCAACACACCTGTGCACCTCTGAGGTCAATGTTTTCTTTAGAACAGTTTATATATATCAGCCATAATTTCTTACACCTGGGGGGCATTGTTCTATAACTTGCACAGAGTTGTTATGTATGCCCAATACCACATGTAACATGTAGCACTTATCTCAACATTCTCTAAATTTCTTTACTTTGAGACTCGACTTTAAAAGCCCATATCATATACACGTATTCATGCATTACAGCCAGTTGCAGCTTACAGAATATGAATCACTGTCATAATAAGATCACTATGCTATCTTCTCTTTGAGATCTGACTTTAGACCCTGTATCAACATCTGTAAATAAATGTCTGCTTACACAACCGCTGTCATTCTGGATCTCATGGCCCCAGCACCAGAATGTCAAATGTCATGTGTATGAAGACATGACAGTGTAAAATAACCCCCATGCACTCAATTAGCATAACATACACATTTTTTTAACTTTTCTCATATTGTTCTTATTATGTTTATATGTTGTTTCAGTTTTTGGAAACTCTCACCTGTCTCAGTTTTCACTGCATCACAGCCACAAATTTCCACATATCAGTTACATGCTTCCTTATTAGGGAATATATTTTGAAAGGTAAAACATGGCGACTCACCGCCAGAGCACACAGTAAAACCTTCACCTTAAATGTGTGTTCTAATATGATTATGACCAGGCATGAAGTAAATAAACAAATCATTTTATCTTCTTGCTGGTGAAAACAGTACCTAAAAATATTTAAGACATAAGCCATCAAATATATATTCATCTCGAGTCTGATAATTGAATATATCAGTGGCTTCAAAGCAAAAGGCTATGTAACATTCTAAGTATTCATTCATTGATTTAAACAGATACATATTAATGGCCAGCATTTTACTTAGAGAGCAATACTTACTTACAGATTAATAAACCATGACATGTCATCCCTCAACCATTTTTGGCAGTTATAAAAAGCAAAATGAAAAAAAAAATTATTTAATAGAATGAAGTCTAAATAGTTACAGTCACATTTCTCTGAGGGATATTTTCTACTTCAAAGATCAATCATCCCCACATCTGGTTAAATGATGGAAGTGAGACAAGAGGACATGTCAGGAGTAAAGATATGTTTTGTTAACTTCATGGTTATGTGTGAAATATCGTAATTTATATCAACATTTTCAAACTTGAAATAAAGTCATCTCAGTCAATATATCATAGCACTGCAATAAATAAGGAGAGATAGTTCAATAAATAAATCAGATAAATGTAGCATAAATATCATATATCAGTAGTCAAGGCCTTATTCTGTAAAATGTGTATCAACATTTTTCAGTCCCTAATGATCCTTAGCTGATCTTCACCATGTACATAATGCAGCCGGGTTCAGACTTCAAGTGGATCAATAACTATAGATTAGTGTTAAATCAATATCTTAATGACTTAACCCTTGGTTATGTGATACATACCTTCACTATATACACTAAGCAAGAAATTGGCTCGTAAATGATTGTGGTAAGTTTTAATATACCAGAAATGAGATAACAGATTGGGTATAGTAAGTTAAATAATCAATTTCCCCCCAAGAGCAAAATATATGGTTACCCAGACCAGTTCCATTAAATAGTCTGTCTAACACACTTTACTAGTACATCAATTAACCATACATCAGTAACGTGTAGGCACATTCACGGCAGAATTTATTCATGAAGCCAATTTATCAAACTGATATCAAGAAAATATATAGAGAGCTCTACGGAATATTATAGTAATTTACTAAAGATCAAGTACCAGTCTGGGCAATTTATTAATAAAACAAATAACCTTAAAAACCTGCAATACATGAATGTATAATTGGACAGGTCTAGTTTTGTAAATGGTATCTTAGTTAAGTTGACCAACTAGAGTTGTTGTGCATTGTACAGAATAATAATAACTTGCATATGATCTAAAATCAATCTTTATAAATTCATATGTGATTATAAACTAATATTGCATTCATTTTCTTTCAGCATGGGACGCAGAAACGCACTTCAATCTAATATGTCCACAGTTAATTTTTCAAATATTTGGTTCAACCATATGGTTTAACGGTTAAAGACATTTTCAGATAAACTGCTAAGCAAATATATATCAAATTTATATGCTATCAATACTTGACCTACAAAAAGGGGAGAGAGCAAAGGATAACTGCTACTTAAATTTCATTCTTTATCCATTTGCCCTTAATTTTAGTTTAATTGAAACAATTTATTGTAGAAAAGTGACTGTGGTTGACTGGTTTATAATTCCTGTTCATGAATTCAGGATTAGGATTACCTGAAGCATGTTTTCTAAAATTGCAGATTCTATACCAGTTGTATGGAGTGTACCCTAAAGATAAAAAATCCTGACATTAATGGTCTTTTTATCATGTGTCATGCCAGGACACATGAATGTGGCATGAAAGTTGTCAACAGCAGCAAACAAAATGTGATGCATAAGTTTAAGAAATCAATCAAGGCCTAAAACACACATATTTTACACTTTTAGTAATTAAGCATTTCTAAAAAAAATTGAGGTTTCAGTTTCCACTTTTTTTCCAATTTATCTTTCTACTATCTTTTATCTTTTGAATGATCCAGTCTTGAAAATCTATCCAGAAAATTTATCAACCCACCACAATTTGATTTGAGTTTCAAGACAGATGCTTTGAAGTACACTGTACTTAAATTATTACTCACATGATTTCCTTCATTGGATGCACACACAAAAAATATACACATACTGTGAAGTGTATCAAATACTGGTCACTATATGAGTCACACTCATTTATTAGTATACATGTACATGGCAGTCACTGCATGAATTCTGAGCTGCAAAATTATGCATGCATGTCATCCAAGCATCCTGGCCATATATTGTTCAAACTGGGAAATCATGACATCATAACAATGATAACACTGAAGTAAATGTTTCAATAAGAAATTTTTTTAACAGTTCATTTTTTATACATCTCAATTAATTAGCAGTCCCCTTGATTATATTTTTAATATTATCTTAATAATTGTTTGCCTTCATAAAAATTAGGTGCTGACCACTATAATATGATTGAATAACCCATGGGTAAGATGAACGCAGACAAAGGACATGACTCATTATGACTCTGGATTTTTACTGAACCTGCTTTAGCCAAAAACCACTCACACTCACAGGCAATACGCTGTGGGTTGTCAATTTCAAGACTGCCCACGCGTAATTTACCTTACGAAACAAGCGCGCCGGTTTGAAAACAAATAATACTTACATATTATTGCTTCATTTATATCCTTGTTACAAGGGTAATTGCATTCTTGTCTGTGGCATTAATGTGTTTTCCCAGAAAAGCTGTAGCGTTAAATGTAAATAACGTTACAACACTCCCAATACACCGCGCCATGTACAGAGCTGCCACAATGTAATGATCAACAGATGTCAGCACTTGTTGGCTCGTCAAGACAGTACCAAAAACGCAATCTTTTTAAAGACATTTTATCTTCGTTTTGAGAAAAGGAAATGTAATTTATTATCAGTATACCATAAAATGATATGAGGCGATTCTGCCTGGCGTGAATTTATGTAATAAAATAGTGTCAAGTAAGTAGCGTTAACGTTAACATCGTTGAATAGTAATTTCCTTTCCAGGTAATGTCACTTTCAAAGAGGGACCTTCACAGATAAAGGACAGATAAGACAGACGTGTGTGGCATTGTGGGTTGGTTTGATTGGCTAAAGTCATGTCTGGATCACAATATATGACTCAAATATCTACGAGTGCAGGAAGAGGAATAGGAAGAGGGTCTTTGCGTCCACCACAAACATTGCCGAAATGTCTTCAAATGTTTGATTCTCAACCAGGGAAACTTGCTGATGAATGCAGTTCCACAAGCAACGCACACTCCATGTTTTACGCAACGCAGAGAGCACAACAACCAGTTAAGAAGCCCCAGACGACCCAAGTGCAACAACAAAAATATATACCTGGTCTTTCTTTACCATCTGGGGATAATCGGGGCGCCATACTAGGTACATGATATAGCATTAATATTTACTGATGCAGTGTCTGTCTCTCTTGGCCTCCACTCCTACTGAGTTTGACACAGCCTTTGTGATTTTTTAAATTTGATGTCAACTTGTGAATTAATCTGTTAAGCCTTAGGGATGAAGCTTTCCGTAGTAATCATTTTTGAAGGAATTCTCAAATTACCAAAATTCATGCTAGTCTGTCAAAATATATAGATTAATTAATTAATCTTATTGCTTCTTTATATATCATGTAATGGATATGACTAACTCTTAAATGTATGTTATCATGTATGTTAAAAAGAGCATTTGTACTCCAAAAAATTTAAGCTGTAAAACATATATTTTTTTCTTCATTTTTTTCAACCTCAGCAACACCCCAGGTAGTGCAGAATGTACAACAGCAGCAACAGAACCTAGACAGTGCTTTCCTAAAGAGAAAATCTCCCAAAAAGGTTCCACCAGAACTTATCCAAGCTTTCACAAATGGCACAAAGAATCCAGTTAGTGCACTGATGGAGTACTGCTCCATGACTAGAATGACTGCAGTGTTTGAAGAGGCTGCAGTAGAAACACCTTCCATTGTGGCCAAGTTTGCCAATGTTTGTAAGATTGATGGCCGCCCTTTTCCACAGGGTGTCGGAAAAACTAAAAAAGAGGCCAAGGTGAATGCTGCAAAGATTGCTTTTACAGCCATGCTTGGCATGGAAGAGGATGACATCGAGGATGAAAGTGGTTGGTATATAAAGAATATGACAGAAGTAATGTTGTCTAGGTTGAGATCATTTGGCATAACCGTTCCAAAAGTTGTGATGTGACAGGGAGGCTGATTTAATGTCTACTTTAGTGCTACAGAAAAAAATATTCCAATGACATAAGTAATTTACTAAAGCTTCAATAATATAGGTTTTGATCAGAGTCTAGATTTTCCATTACCATATTTTTTAACTGCTTTATTTTTCTGTAGAACACACTGGGATATACAACCATTAATATCTGATGTATTATTCACAGAAACGGGACGTGTGATGTATGATGTCATGGGCAGAAAACTCATGCTGCCGAAAGAAGAATTTCCAGTTGAAGAAACAATTGACAGTGAAAATGCCCCTTATGATGCAGGTATGAACAGATGCCTGTCATAATCCCAATATTAAATTAACACATTTATGTTTTGTAATATTGAGAGAATACTTTGATTCACCATTCACTTGACATATGTTATCATAATAATTTTTTAACTCAAAATACTGACAACACTTGAACACAAAATATGTATGCAGTCGACTAGTGTACTTTAAATGGTAGTCTATTATTATTTTACTTTCTGTCCTCAGGTTCACAACCTGTTGCATATGGTAGAAATCCTGTTGGTGAGCTACAGGAATACTGTGTCAAAAAAAGAATACCTTTTCTTATTGAAATCGGTGATACACCTGGTCCTAAAGGGTAAATTGTGTTGCAAATTGTGGTTACTGTTTTGTTAGGTGGGATTTTGTATTCATAGATATACCTAGAAATTGAAAGTAACATAGCATTATGAAAATGTCATATATTGCAGGAGAAGAAAGATTTGAAATTCATGAGGTTTTCTACAAAATTATTTTTATGCTATGAATTAGGTACCTAATTTTAATAAGTAATCTCATTTAGCAATGGTAAAATTTGTTAACTTACTCACTTTCAAGTTTTGTCTCTTTCCCATGTTGGTCTTGACAATAGCATGGTACCACACTGTATTTCATTGCTAGTTCTTTTTTAACATAGCTTTGTAGCCACAGTAACAGTAGATGATGAGCCATTTGCCACAGCAACAGGACCAAGCAAGAAAGATGCTAAAAGACAAGCAGCAGATGCAGCCTTGAGTCTTCTGCTGGAATTTGATGAGGTACATGTATTATTGGTGTATAAAGTTATATTTTGCATTTAACTTATTTCTTTTCTGTGCAGTACTCACTGAATCTGATTTTATATTTGTTTGTTTATTTAATTATTCAGCAGAACTGTGGAATCTTAAGAGATTATTACAGCAGGTAGCCATCTAGAAGGTCCACGTGGTCCATTGGCAAGCAGAGATTTCAGGATAATTGCAATAACCACTGTTTTCATGGTAAAATGGAATTTTTTACATTTCCATGTGTTGCTTATAATGTATTTATTGTGAAATTTTGAATCTCATATGAATAGTTATAGTCCCTTCAATCAAAATGTTTGTGAACAATTATACAAGAACTGTTTTCAGCCAGAAGAAGTGGAAGCAGAGCTAACCCACTATGATAAAATGGCCAGTATGAGTCATCAACAGCTACACAAATTAACAGCTTCTTTGCCAGAACTAGAGGAAGGAAATAAAGTTGTGGCAGCATTTGTGGTCAAACGAGGTAAGTTATTGTGGTAGTTGCAAGATGTAACTGAGTGCTTCATTGTTTAAAGAGTTCCTTACAAGAACCACTTTAAAGAGATGGAGAGTAGGTTTTAAAATCAACGATATTAAAACGTTGTAGGATTATTATATTGTTACTTATAATCAGTGTAAGATATTGAAACTGTGGGACATGCATTTTTTATTTAGTTCAAAATACCATTTGCTGTTGTTGTTATTATTATTACTGTTATTATTCAGAATGAGAAAGCACCAGGTGTGACAGTAAAAATATGTTTCAACCTTCACATTCAAGGTGAAGCAGACAGTGGCCAGGTTGTAGCATTGGGCACAGGAAGTTTATCCATCACTGGAGAACAGCTTAGTGCTGATGGAAGAACAGTCAATGATAGCCATGCAGAGATCATTGCCAGAAGAGCTCTTGTAAGGTAAGTGTTAGTTTTAAACGCTTTTATTTGCATTAAAGCTGTAAATATTTATTGCCAAATAACAAGGAAAACTTAAATTTGTAATAATGATTATTTTGATAGCTTTGTGGATAAAGGTAAGGTATATATCACAAAATTAAGCTTGCTGGTATTTATTATGATCGTATTGTCTAAATTCATTATTAAACAGTTGGCTGAATGCTGAAATGTTCCCAATTCCATCACACCAGGTACTTCCACAGAGAGCTGAAGTCATTTTATGAGGGGAACACAGTACATTCCATATTTGAAGAAAGATACAAAGGTGCACCACTGCTGACTCTGAAGGACTACATAACAATACACCTCTACATCAGCACAGCACCTTGTGGAGATGCTGCTTTATTCTCTGCAAGGTAAAGACCAAGGAATTTGTTGCAAAAGGGCTTAATCCAGTTTTTTTCTGTTAATTAGTAAAAGCTTTTTGCCTTTTCTTTGCCTACAACTAATTTGCAAGTGAGGTAAGATAAATGTGAAATAATAAATGTGCAAATGCTTCATTTCTTCTTCTTAAGAAATGAAAAGATGAGTTTAAAGAAGGGAATTATAGTGGAATGATTTTAAGGTATGTAAATTTGATGTAGTTTAGTTTGCTTGCTACTTTTAAATTTTAGGTCTGGGACACCCCCTCCCTTATCACATGAAGAATGGGAATTAATACAGAGTGGTGCCCATTACCCAACATTTGAAACTAGTGACCATGGGGTGGCAAGAACAAAAATTGAAGGAGGTACAATTTTAAGTGATTTTAGGTTAAAAAAAAAAGATTTAAGACAAGAAGCACTTATTTGTATTAAATTGCTTGCCTTGTTGTTTAGAGAGAAAAAGGATAGATTCAGTAATTCAGATTGATTGATTTTCAACTTTTCAATACACATAAATGAACCACTCTGTTTGTAGGAGAAGGTACCATCCCCACAGAGAAGGACCAGCTAACTTCCCAGACTTGGGATGGTATAAAGAGTGGGCAGCAGAGACTGAGGAGCATGTCCTGTAGCGACAAGATATTGAAGTGGAATGTTCTAGGCTTGCAAGGAGCTCTGTTTTCTAACTTTCTTGAACCAGTGTATATCTCTTCAGTTACATTAGGTGAGCGTTTGGTGAGACAAGACTATGTAAATGAAGGGAAGTAAGTTTGAATGAAGAATGTGAAAGGAGTTTTTTATAGGATATTGCTCTTCCTTTACATATTAACTGTTAGCCATTAGCTCCATTCTCATTTTCTTGGTTTTAAGTGTTATTATGATTAAAATCATATTTTCCAGGTAATCTCTATGACCATGGTCATGCCACCAGAGCCTTTTGTTGCCGGCTGGAGGGCATCATCAGAGATCTCCCAGAGGGTTATTGTGTCAACCATCCTTACATAGGTCGCACTACTCACTGCCAAACACTCCGCCATGCCAACCCCAAGATGTCAATACTCAGCACAAACTGGTGCCAGGGGGATGAGAAAGTGGAAATTATAGATGCCAGGTCTGGAAAGGAAATACCGAGGTTAGAAGGGTCTCTGTTTTCTCTTGGATATTATAGTTTAGGTGTACAGACATACATATATTCATGTATGTTAGAAGCCTTTAAATTAATTTAAATTTTAAAAAAATTAGATTTTTTAAAAAATGTTAAGTTAATTGCTGGCTGCAAAAGGGAAGTAAAGCTTTACTTTTTAAGATTTGTATGAAGTTCAACTTGCTTCACATTTTCAATATATTTGTCATTAAGTTAATATTAATGAGTTTTTAAGAATTATTTTATATTTTACAAGTGGAGAATTATGCCTCATAACATGCAGAACTTTTCTTTTTGCAGCTCACCATTCAAAACAGGAGCAACTCTAGCTAGCAGAATGTGCAAGGCAGGATTTTTCCACAGATACAAGGAAATAGCAAAAATGGCCAAAAAGCATCATTTACTCAAAGTGAACACTTACAGGGATGCCAAATTATCGGCTCAAAGCTACCAGCAAGCCAAGCAAGTTTTCTACCATTACTTGCAAGCTGGGGGGTGGGGCAGTTGGGTTGTTAAACCACCAGAGCAAGAATTATTTACAAAATAATTGACATTCAATTCTGTTAGACATCAATTTTATGTTAAAGGTGCTCATTGAACATTCCCCACGTGCAGTGATAGAATGGATTTTGTGTTGCAGTATATTGATATTTGTGTTCAATATTTATATAAATAATTTCTTAACAGTTATGTGCAGAAGTGCATTTACAGCATGTAGTCCACTGAGTGTGGTGAAACTTTTAAAGTTTAAAAACATCATGTATCAGTATTATATAGTTTATTGTTATTGTTAGTTATTATTCACCTTATATACCAAAAATACCCTCTAAGGCAAGAATACAGTATTAATTCTGAATGTATTATGATATACCAAGCTTCTTGTCTCCTTGTGACGAGGACAGAAGAAAGAATAGTTTTGTCATTTTCACATTTTAATAAGAAAAGCTGCAGTATTTGCAAATATAAAGCATTATTCCTTGAAATACATGGTCTGAACCATCTTGCTTCATAGTGGAATGAATAATGACACAATGTACAGTGTTACAGAGGCAGGATTGTTTCATAGTGTTTAAAATAGTCTTGTGAAGTTTTTTTACTTACAGCCACAATAAAAGATAATAAAGATTTACCTAGAAACATTGCAAAGGAACATTAGTTGTGGAAATCAAGAGTTACATACGTAAAGCTATTATGAGCTGACAGCTCTAGCACTGAGAACCAACATAGAAAGTGAAATATTTCCAATGGCCATCCACCACAGATGCATATGATGATGATGTGTCCTACAAAGTTTACTCAACATTCAGACAAACAGCAAATTGTGGTTTGTGGCATAACTTTCCAGAACAATGTATTTTTTGAGTGCAGCTATTTATGTGTATTAGTAACAACTTCCCAAAAGGCCAATGTGTTGATGTACCAGTAGGGTGGGCTTTGGATTTGTGGTTGGTTCCTTGAAGAAATGTGGAGTGACTTTTGTGTCCTTTTATATTTTTTGAGTTGCAACTACTGTAGGTCTATGTAATGCAGGTTTTCTGGTTACTACCTGTTTTATTTTTTTATTTTTATTTATTTATTTATTTATTTATTTATTTATTTATTTATTTATTTATATTTTTTTTTTTTTTGGGGGGGGGGATGAAATATTTATTCTGTCAAAACATTCATTATGTATTTAATTGATGTTGGGCGCTGGTTGACTGTGGGTCTCGGACTGAGGCATAATTGTTTAATGAGTTATTATATCATGGCCAAACATGGTGTTTCTGGACATGTACATTTAGCCTGCGTCCGTCGTCACCATCTCATGTGCCTTCTCGACTACTACTAGTAATAAATAAAAGGAAAACCATATACATGTATACTGCTTATTATGTTCAAACTTTATAACTTTAATACAGCTTTTGTTCAAAAACAAGCCCCGTCTTTCTTGAAGTTGTGCCGTTTTTGTCATTTTTCGTGTCTTCACAAATTTTCATTAGTAGCCAAATAAATGTTTCGTGTTACATGTGTTATACCATCTCCAAACTCGAGAACCAGTCTGATTGGACTGATCAGGCCTTTTGAGGTTATGATTTTTTTTCACAATTTTCTGGGTGTGATTTTGTATGCATATGGCCTGAAATAAAATCTTTCTTACTCTGACCATACATGATAGTTCGCTTTCGTGTTCGATTTTGTAGTATCAGTTACAAGCATACACCCCTTTTCTGCCAAGATAAGCCAATCACTTAACGCGAACGTTTAACGTAAACGGTAGTGTGTTTTGTTTCTATATTGCTTTTAGACATTCTTAGGTCTTTTTGAAAGGACGCTGTAAATAATGGCGATATAATTTCCAGGTAGGCCGCCTGGGTGCAGAGTTTCGAAAGAAAGAGACAAATGTAAAGACTTAAGGCATGTTGTAAAGGGGCGTCAAAGAGTTGCCTGTGCTAAATAGGTCGTTAGTCACCATATCGCCACCGGGCATCTATTTTATTTTACAGAACGACACGGTTCTTAACGTACTTCATAGTTGTTTATTTAAATATGTGTAATAATTTATCCATAAATATCCATAAAGTGTTGGTGGATCGCCAACATGACTTACTTTACACCTGCCTTTGAAACTGACCCAAGGTCATATATTGTACATGTGTGAGTACTTATGTCTACATGTCTTGCAAAGCTACTTATTTCCCCCCATTTAGACTTTAAAACGATACAACCTATCAATTAATGTAGTGATGTTGATCTTTCCTATTGAACGTACAGAAAACGTATGAATGAGTTAAATTATATGATTAATATGTTATAAAATATCAAATCCAAGTGTAAGGGTGTGTGAAGCAATGGTGTGCAACCTTTTGTGAGCATTGTTAATCTGTTACTTAGATTGCATTCAACTAGAGTGCCCATGGAGTTGGATCGATCTTAAGAGAACAGTAGTTTCATTGGGAATGAGCCATTTAGCAAGCTGAGTGATGACGTTAATTACATACTAAAATTTTTGTGTAATAAAAGAGAGATGTACAGAATTAACCAGAGACAACCATGTTCCGGCATCTATGAATATCTCGTAAAAACTCAGTCCATGGCCATTTTATATTAGAGTGTATCTGAATGCCTGCATGTGCAATGGTGTAGACATGGACTAATGCTTCCACTTCAAGTGGATAATAATATCACCATGCCTTGGGTCTTAGACCACCTAAGTAACATTTTGATATATTACCAAAATTTTGTTATTCTGAAATTTAAATAAGAAAAATTAATTGCAAGGAAGAAGTGTTTGTTAATTTTTACCTCTCATTTGTAAATTGTTTGTTGCCATTCATGTCTGTAGTAAAGTTGACCTGGTTATGTTATCATGAAGACTATTTGAAGTCTTTTTTTTTTTTCAGATGTGTAGATTGCCTGTGTAGTGTTCGTAGCCATTTGTCTTCTGAGATTTCAAAATGACGGTGACTTATACAGCAGAGGTAGCCACCAGTCACTTTGGCACCTTCTGGAGGCTCCTTCTCAGGTAAAAATTTAATTTGATTTAAAAATATACACCAATATGAGCCTAAGATAATACTCCTAAAGATGGCATTTTTATATAAGGAAACAGTCATTTTAATGTTTTTATAAATAGTGAAATCTAGAAATTTTATATTATCCAGGCGTGAAATGATTAAATGCTTACATGTACATGCATTCTTTGATTTGCAATTACTAGTATGTATTTTATTTTATTTGTCAATTTTTTGACAATTTTTTTACCTTAGCTGAAAGTAAATGGTGACATTGTCTCCAATTTTTTAACAGAAAAGGTAATCTATATACGGTGTAGTTTTTGTCATGCCCTTTCATCCAAAATTTCATGTATGTTAATTTCGAAATGATAAGTTTTTCTCTATATATTCCAGGTGGAAAGGCAGTGTGTATAAACTGCTGTGGGTAGAATTGCTGATATTTGTTGTGGCATACTTCACAATCAGCTTTATCTACAGGTTTGCTCTTCCCGAAAATCATAAAAGGTACGACTGAAAACCTTTATTATTTTTTATTGTTATGGTTATATCAGTGTCAAATAATATTTTGGATTTTACTAAAGACTTTAATGCAGGATACATATGCAGTTATTACACTTACAAATATCAGTTTTGTTATTTTTTTTGTCTGTTTGAAAATAAGAAAAGATCAGTTTTATTTGTGTCTGCCAAATTTAATATCTAAATGATATGTAAACAACTTTGTCTATAATTGTTTCATGTGCAAACATTTAATTTCTGCTGTTCTCACTTTACTTTCAGAACCTTTGAAAGAATCTCCATATACTGTGAACTGTACAACAACTTAATACCAATGGCATTTGTGCTGGGTTTCTACGTGTCAATAGTTGTTACCCGTTGGTGGGAGGAATTCATGTCCATCCCATGGCCTGACAAGATGGCCCTTTACGTTACTGCAAACATACATGGTCATGATGATAGAGGGCGTCTCATAAGGAGGACCATAATGCGTTACATTTGCCTCTCTTTTGTTATGACTGCTAGAGCTATTAGTACAGCAGTAAAGAAAAGGTTCCCGACTGATGATCATTTAACAGAAGCAGGTCCGTAATTTTAACTTTTTTATTTTTCATGTAGAAATAGTTACAGAGGTTTTTGTTTTCTGTCCCAAGGGAATTTACATGTGTTTCTGCAATTAACACATTATGAAGTTACACAACATTTGGATAATTTGAATTGTTTATTTCTTTTAGTTGAGAACATAAAACAGCATTATAGCTTTTGTTTTCATTAATCAAGGTTTACAAACAGAAAACGAACAGAAAATTATAGAGGGTGTGAAAACTAACAATAGTAAGTATTTTGTGCCACTGGTATGGACCACCAGCATCATTTCTAGAGCAAGAAAAGAGGGAAGAATTAGGGATGATTTTGCCATGAAGACCCTAGTGGAGGTACAATGAAGTTACATTTCAATACACCCTTGATAAAATAAACATTAAATAAACAAGCAGATTAATCTTCATACTGCAGAAGCTAAAAGTAACTGCTTACCAAAGGTATAAAATCTGCCTTCAGCCCTTGTTGGAATGCTCTTTTGTGAATAAAATATGTAAAGAAATGAAAATCCATGATCATTTGAAAACAAAAACATCATCTGATCTTGTCTTTATTTTTCAGGAGTTAAATTTTGTAAGAGGGCAGCTTGGAGGGTTGTTAAACTATGACTGGATAAATGTTCCTCTGATTTATACACAGGTATATGGTTATGAAAGCAGATAGTATTTTGAATGAGTTGTGTTCTTAGTCATCCAGTAGAATAAGAATTAAAAATAGATATGAATAGAATTATGTGGTAAAATTCAATAACAAACTTACAGAGGTGACCAGTCCCACCAGGTCATTACATCGTGAAATGTCTCAGGTATGGGACCACAGTATTTTGGCTCTGAATTTTACCACAGAGTTCTAGAATTTAATTTATTTATATGCTTGATATAAATAGCATTCTGTTATGTCATATTTATTGATATAGCTTTTGATGCATAGGCCTTTAGTTTTGTTTTCTTTATTGATTAAATATTTAGTGTTTTGTACAAATGCATATTTTCTACATGTTTAATATTATTAATTGAAATATTATTAGAAAATTTACACAAATGATATTTTGCAATAATTTGACATTATTGTTTCATTTTTCTTGAAGAAATTCATCTGATGTGGGAAAACATACTATTCACCATTGATGCCATTGATGACCTTTTTTTTTCCCTTCATTTCATATGTTTTGAATATTCCAGGTTGTGACTATGGCTGTATACACTTTCTTCCTTTCCTGTCTCATGGGGAGACAGTTCCTGGATCCACAGCAGGGTTATGATAACCATCAGATTGACTTCTATATCCCCATATTCACCATCTTGCAGTTTATCTTTTATATGGGATGGTTAAAGGTAAGGACTACATTTTATATTTTTGGGGGGATGGTTTAAGGTTACCTTCTATCAGGGGAGCAGATATTATAGGCACATTTTCCACATTTCCAAAAAATAAATAAATAAATAAAATAATGTGGAAAATGTGCCTATAATATCTGCCATCTTCATAGAGGGTAGTTAAAGGATAGGGCTGCTTTTTTTTTCAACTCCACTTTTAAGTCTGACCAGTTGAAACAGTCAGTATTAAATAGTTCCCAAGAACCAAGTGTTTGATCATATGTTCTCTACAGTGGGGGAAAAAACATATACAGTGTAATGTGCACAGACAGTAAATAGTTATGTCATGTTAATTTATGGTCAATTAAAGAAAAAAGGGTTATATAACGTGGCAGTTACCGTGTAAGGTGATTTACAGTATGTAGGTGCATGCCCCATAGTAAGAAGTAATTAGTCCATAGGAGGTCCTGTTTAGTGTTATTTTGTCTGTTTCTATGGAGAGGGATGCAACATTTATTTTGATTTTGTGAGGCAGCCAGTATTTAACCAGCCACCAGTTTCTGGATAAATTGAGAAAAGGCTAATACCAATAATGTTCACTTGGAGGTGCATGTTCATTGTTATCTGTATAATAGAGTGCTTTCCAACATGGTGGTCTAGAGGAAATGTATATGTTTTGGATAAGGATAGGCTCATCTATTTGCACATATTCTCTACATGTGTGAATTCATAAAACTTTGTATGTCCTATATTTCCACATGTTTATGATAATACAAATGTTTCAATTCATTATATCATATAAAAATAATGTGACAAAAGGTTTTACATAGGTTTAGGAATAAATTGTGGTAGTTGAGACAAGATGTGCCACGAAGCACAATGGCACGCCCAGTTCCACGTTCATGCACAACCCCAAAATCATTTCTCTTTCTATCTACCTGAAGTGATCTTGGTACAATTTTTATCAAAACACAACCTTGTTTTTCTCCCTTTTTTTATATCATTTTAATTTCAGAAGACTTAAACATTTTACTTTGTAGGTTGCTGAAAGTCTTTTAAATCCATTTGGGGAAGATGATGATGACTTTGAAATGAACTGGCTTATTGACAGAAATCTGCAGGTAATGATATTCATCAAACACTGCTATCAAATTTGACAAAATTCACTTTATGTATTTGAAGTATTATTCTTGAAAAATTTTANGAAAGCAGATAGTATTTTGAATGAGTTGTGTTCTTAGTCATCCAGTAGAATAAGAATTAAAAATAGATATGAATAGAATTATGTGGTAAAATTCAATAACAAACTTACAGAGGTGACCAGTCCCACCAGGTCATTACATCGTGAAATGTCTCAGGTATGGGACCACAGTATTTTGGCTCTGAATTTTACCACAGAGTTCTAGAATTTAATTTATTTATATGCTTGATATAAATAGCATTCTGTTATGTCATATTTATTGATATAGCTTTTGATGCATAGGCCTTTAGTTTTGTTTTCTTTATTGATTAAATATTTAGTGTTTTGTACAAATGCATATTTTCTACATGTTTAATATTATTAATTGAAATATTATTAGAAAATTTACACAAATGATATTTTGCAATAATTTGACATTATTGTTTCATTTTTCTTGAAGAAATTCATCTGATGTGGGAAAACATACTATTCACCATTGATGCCATTGATGACCTTTTTTTTTCCCTTCATTTCATATGTTTTGAATATTCCAGGTTGTGACTATGGCTGTATACACTTTCTTCCTTTCCTGTCTCATGGGGAGACAGTTCCTGGATCCACAGCAGGGTTATGATAACCATCAGATTGACTTCTATATCCCCATATTCACCATCTTGCAGTTTATCTTTTATATGGGATGGTTAAAGGTAAGGACTACATTTTATATTTTTGGGGGGATGGTTTAAGGTTACCTTCTATCAGGGGAGCAGATATTATAGGCACATTTTCCACATTTCCAAAAAATAAATAAATAAATAAAATAATGTGGAAAATGTGCCTATAATATCTGCCATCTTCATAGAGGGTAGTTAAAGGATAGGGCTGCTTTTTTTTTCAACTCCACTTTTAAGTCTGACCAGTTGAAACAGTCAGTATTAAATAGTTCCCAAGAACCAAGTGTTTGATCATATGTTCTCTACAGTGGGGGAAAAAACATATACAGTGTAATGTGCACAGACAGTAAATAGTTATGTCATGTTAATTTATGGTCAATTAAAGAAAAAAGGGTTATATAACGTGGCAGTTACCGTGTAAGGTGATTTACAGTATGTAGGTGCATGCCCCATAGTAAGAAGTAATTAGTCCATAGGAGGTCCTGTTTAGTGTTATTTTGTCTGTTTCTATGGAGAGGGATGCAACATTTATTTTGATTTTGTGAGGCAGCCAGTATTTAACCAGCCACCAGTTTCTGGATAAATTGAGAAAAGGCTAATACCAATAATGTTCACTTGGAGGTGCATGTTCATTGTTATCTGTATAATAGAGTGCTTTCCAACATGGTGGTCTAGAGGAAATGTATATGTTTTGGATAAGGATAGGCTCATCTATTTGCACATATTCTCTACATGTGTGAATTCATAAAACTTTGTATGTCCTATATTTCCACATGTTTATGATAATACAAATGTTTCAATTCATTATATCATATAAAAATAATGTGACAAAAGGTTTTACATAGGTTTAGGAATAAATTGTGGTAGTTGAGACAAGATGTGCCACGAAGCACAATGGCACGCCCAGTTCCACGTTCATGCACAACCCCAAAATCATTTCTCTTTCTATCTACCTGAAGTGATCTTGGTACAATTTTTATCAAAACACAACCTTGTTTTTCTCCCTTTTTTTATATCATTTTAATTTCAGAAGACTTAAACATTTTACTTTGTAGGTTGCTGAAAGTCTTTTAAATCCATTTGGGGAAGATGATGATGACTTTGAAATGAACTGGCTTATTGACAGAAATCTGCAGGTAATGATATTCATCAAACACTGCTATCAAATTTGACAAAATTCACTTTATGTATTTGAAGTATTATTCTTGAAAAATTTTAGATTATATTTATGATTATATTTTATTTTATATTATATTTTATGTTATCTTCAAAGAATTAAGTGTGAATTTAATTTAATGCAAAACCTGTAGCTATGCACAGATAAAACAAGATGGTCTGATTTATTAGGTATTTTTTTTTTATTATTATTTTTTTTTATTATCATTATTATTAGGTTGCATATCTGATTGTTGATGAAATGCATTCAGAACATCCAGACCTAATTAAAGATCAGTTTTGGGATGAAGCAGACTTCACTTTACCATACAATGCTGCCTCAGAGCAGTTTAAAGTAACAGACCCCCACGTAGGATCTGCTGCCGACATAGAGTAAGCATTAAACCACCTACAGCACACTAATTCAAATCTTAAGTCTTGAATATACAAATATGTATATATTTAACTAGAGCTTATAAATTCACATGTAAGTCAGAGAGGAAAAGGCACACAGTATCCCTCTTTTTGTCATATTTTTGATAATCTATTTTTCTCTTATATTTTCACCAGTTATGTAATAGCATTAATGTGTAATGGATTGTTAAACCTTTAATTTCAGGGTGCCAGAGCATGCTTCAGAGTTTGTACCTCTGGCTTCCATACCAGAGGAACCTGTCCATGCCATCAGCACACCTCAGGATGTACCCAGGGAATCAACGTAAGGCATTGTTGTGAACTACACCTGTTGAACAACTGACTTAGGATGGTAGGAGTAGTTTTTCTGAATGATTGTATGGTGAATTGAAAATTACATAAAGGACAGTAAGAGAAATAAAAGAATTACAATAACACAGGTTAAACAAGTAATAATACAAAGAATTTAAATTACATTATCAGGTTAAATACACAAGAAGCTTCTTGAATGAACAAATAAATACAGTAGATAGATACTAGTATATAATTATAAAAATCAAATTAAATTACAAATACTCATACCAACTTTTGTTACCCAGCCACTGTTACAGGTGTCTCTAAAATCATTTCCCTACTATAATAACAATTAAACAGCAGTAATATAATTTGGGCTGCCTCGCTTGAACTCATCTGGCTGCCTGGCCTGCAACTCATCTGTCACATGAAAAACAACTGTGCATGCAGAGGGTGCCACAATGTAGGAGGAAAAGGCAAATTAGGAAGGGGAAAAAATACTATGGGATTCAAAATCTTTGCAATAAGTGTAATTGCCAGCATTGTCTTATTCCTCTTTTATGTCAGAAATACCAGTTTCCCTTTGTGAAAGAAACACACACACACACACACACACACACACACACACACACACACACACACATTTCCACAAATATAGTAAACAATACAACGAATATTGAGTTATTTTGAATTTGGAAAATTTTATTGATATGGCAAATCCTACAGTTTAAAATAGGTACAAAAAAAGAGTGAAGCACAGTGTGCAACTTTTTTATGGCTAACTTTTTGAAAATAAGAATCCAAATAATGTAATACTCACTGTGTTTTTTCAAAATCCACTTTTTCTTTTAGGGCTGTAAGATTCAACAATCTGTCTTCTAGAAAACGAAGACATAGGCTGAATCTGAAGAATTCAGAAATACTTGATAGGCACAGTCCCCGTTCTATGACAAGTCAGGTAATGGATAGACTTCAATTTTATGTTTCCTGTTTAAGTGGAGTTCATTACATCACACTGACACATAAAAAGATTCATGTAAGTTGGTTCAAAGTTTATTGTAACTTTTACATGTTTGTGTATTTGTATCAGCACAAAAACAATACATTCAAACCAAAGGCCAAACAAAAGAAACCATATGTATACTAGATAGCTGATTTATTTACTTATTATTCAGTAAACAGTATCATAGGCCTCACTAGGGAAGGGTGCTAGACTGAGTACTGTCAGTACTTTACTGACAGATTTTTTTAGACCATTATTCATTTCGATTTTGCATGTTTTCAGCAAGAAGAAGACATATTTATGATGTCCGACCTCTCTGTGGAAAAGGCTGGTGTTGTGGATCAAGACCAAGAAGCAGAAGCCATATTTGGCGGGAATCCAAGTGAGCGCACTCTCACTTCTGACAGTGTGCAAAATGTGTCTGAGTGCAAGACCTGAAAGCAATTGGTACATAAACAAGGCGATGTGAAATTATTAGCAATTAGACAACGACTCTGCTCCCTCTCGTCTTTTTATACGTGTAAGAGCTTTATATGAAAGTGAAAATCAAAGACGTGCCTGTTATTTTTGCAAATTTTGGTTTTTGTTTAGTGAAGCATATAATTTAGAAGTGCCAGAAAATTTTGCCGACACCTGGTCAGTTTAACCAGTGACAATTACATGTACTGGCCAAGGCAAAAAAGTTTTATATTTAGTATTTTTATTCATTATACTGCTGGCTTATACTTCAGTTAAAACTTTTGCATTCGTTAATGATGATATGGTATTGGCAATTAGTATAGGTAAAGAAATGCCGCTGTTTGGTACACACATTCAAAAACGGGTATCTTTTGCTTGTTTGGTCAGATGTGTGCACATGGTGCTTTTCTCAGCACAAGAGAACATATTTTAATGTTGTTGATATTTCTTTTCTTGTTTTAATGTGTGTCATAAGTTCTGGTCATTATGCTTTGTAATAGTTAAAACCTGGATTATTGCAATGTTATAAGCAAGCATATATGCTTTTGATGATTTTTGTATCATGTGTGTTTATATGTGTTTAGTGTACCCATTTTATTTATTCTTTTGTTTGATGTCAATTAGAAAACCTTCAGGTTGATGCACACCAAGAAATAACTGAATTTTGCGTATGTTTTAAAAACATACTGTCTATTTATAAGGCATCTTTTAAATCTTATTGCAGATATAAGGGATCAAGCTAAAACTTGATCTACAAGGTATGTAAATGTAGTTAGTAAATTAATAGTTTAGACATCTATGCAGCTGGTTTCCATCTTTCACATGTATACCACACTGTTTGAGGTTCATTTTCAATACTTAATTATGAAGGGACTGAAGAGTTCAATCAGAACTTTGATTGGAAGGAGACTTTTCAAAAAATTAATCAGTTAAAAATAGTGTCATTTATTATAAATGTGGTTATGAAAATATGACATTTTTACCATTTTAATTGTGAAATGATGTGGTGATAGGGAGATTTCGCAGATGAAGAAGAACAAAAAAGAAGCCCAAAAAGCCTAGTAATTACTTTTTAGAGCTATTTTGCTTGCTTAACAAAATACACCCATGAAAACATTAGGATTCCTAAAGTGTTAAAAGGTGCTCAGTTGACTACGTAATTTCTACCCTTTCACTGGAAATAAGCAGTCAGTAAGGCATTCAAATGAATAAATATATCTTCACTTTCCAAAAAATTTCAAACAATAAGTATTTAAACATTGGTTTGTGAAACCTCCCTGTTGCTAAGTTTTTATACAAAAAGAAAACCTGTTCACTTTCCAAACAACCAATGCCCTCATAAGGGTAAAAGGGTTCTTTCTAAGACCCCATTCCCATAGATTTTAGATCGATCTATCCCTGTGGGGAGTCTCACTAGATTACTGTCAGCTTAGCCGGCTTAAGCGTCTGTCCCGCCTCCTAAAAGCTGTAAGGGGGTAATTAACTATGGTGCATGCTCGGCTGACTGCAATTTAGCATGAACCCCCAGGTCGATCTAAATCTAAATCTCTGGATCGATCTAAATCTCTGGGAATGCACCCTTAGTGAAGTCAACCAGTTGAAGATATCTGCAAAAGGGGCTATAAAAAAAAAAAAAAAAAGAAAAAAAGAAACAAAATGTGTGAATAGTGACCAAAAATGAGAAATGGTTTATTGAAGTTTTATATTGCATTTAAGACCTTAAACTACCCCCAAAGTTTTGTGTTTTTTAAACAACATGGATTTTTCTGAAGTTGCCCTTATATTATAGCTAAGTATATCCCAAGCATATCATTAATCAACTTTTGAAACTGAGTCTTTAAGGGTCTGGTTATGTATATATATATATATATGAATAATCGAAACGATCATGGATTTCTTGCATTTAACCTGTTATGCAATTCTCTTTTATAATTATTTTTGAGAAGTTTATCTATAAAGTTGATATCTTGTTAATGTAAGCATGCAGAGGTATGTTATGTCATAATTATGTAGCTGGACTGTTAAAAACTGATAAAAAAAAGATGTCAATGAGTGGATCCATCCCTGTCCCCCTTCCTCGTAAATCTTCCCCCAATTTTTTTTTTATTTATTATTATTATTATTATTTAATTAGATTTTGATGTCAAGGTAGAATGTGATCTGTTATTACAGCAGTTCTTTCTTTAGGAGCTGTTGTTGAAGTGTCTGCCACTGGAAACGGCAATTGAAGTCTTCTGGTAACTTAATTTCTACTAGTAGGTATTCAGTGTGAGTTATTATTGTTATAAGGCTGTGAAAAAATGTTTTATCCTTAAACATGTTTCTACATTTTTGAAAATCTTTATAAGTTTTGGAAAACAAGTGTTCTTTTTCAATTTGGCTCATGTGTTTATTTTAAAATGTCACTGTACTTGATTGTTTTCTATTAAATAAACAGCCCTTCTATATAACTTGACATTTTTAAAAATTCATTTTATGTTCTTTCATTCGAAGAATATTTTTTGTTTTATTTTGTTATTTTCAATGTATTTGTTGTTAAGTCAAGATCTTGTGTGTATACAGGTATATCACTGAAAAGATCAGCATTAAGTTTTGTTTCCAAAATTCTATATTAGTGTACCAATCCATACAAACTCATGTTACTTTACACCATGAAAGAATTACTATACTTGATAAAGCATTTTGTTTCGGTTTGAAATTAGGTTTTCTCCAATAAAAGACCTCTGAAGATTAAAAAAACACAAGTTGTTAAACTGGTGCATTGCGTGCGTTTCATAACTCTTACATCTAGGCTAATCAAACATGCACAAGTTGTCTCTTATTCCTCAAGCTAAAATGTACATGTTACCAAGGAGTTATCCTTTTATTCCTTAGTGTACCTTAATGTAAGTACTAGTACGTACCTGCTGTAAATGTACATTTACCTATGCAAATCACAACTAAAAAAAACGTCGTTTGTCGTATTCTAAAACTGACACGTGAATTTATTTAACAAGTGCGCTGTGTTCGTTTCATTCTGTAGCACATTAAATGCAGTTCCATTTCAAGTGACACAATAAATATGCATGACCCCCGAAAGTTTAAAGCAATATTTGCCAACTAGCTCGACATGACCCCTGACCTTATTTGTTCACGTGACCTTTGTGTTTGCAGTTTCCAAGTGGCTTTCACGTGTCGATAAGTTGTGGACTATTGAATTAGCGGATAATTGTTCCCAATTGTAGACTTCCCTTTACAAAGCAGCTAATGCGTGTGCAATCAAAATCGCGTTAGGGATCCGAGGAATTAATATTTAATGAGAGATCACTTAAGTTTCGCACAAGAGCTGGACGGCAGCTTTGCGCCGACTGGAAGTTCATCGTGATTGGAAAAAGCAAGTAACTCCTGAACATTTTGTTCAAAACATGGCTTTGGAGACACAGTCGCGGCCCGCAATGGGACCGAGACGGTCCACCCTGCCTGTGATTTCGCATCCTGCGTCAAGGCTTGACAACAACGAGCTCACTGTCCGAGGCTCTTCACGGCAAAGCCCTAGACACCCTCATGCGCTTTCGAGGCACGCCACTCTTCCAAGCATGCCTTTGAGGACGACTGAGAAACCAAGGAAGCACCACAGAGTGATGTCTTGGCCGCCTGGTGGGTTACTGCAGCTTTTTTATGATTATCTCTTGAAATTAATACAGATAAAGGCATTTTCTTTTATATTTGTACGAACACAGATTTAATAAGTTTTAGTTAATATTTCAGATACTAGTATTTTACGGAATATAACTATATCTTATATATTTACTTGAATTAAATATTTTATAGAAGATTTAGTAACTTAAAATTTAGCTTTTCCCCCTTCTTTTAAACTGTTTGAAGCATAGACAAGTGATTTTATTAATTTATTGAAATTAAACATTGTCGTTTTAAATCTTTCATATGTGTCCATTTATGTGTTTGAGGTGGGGAAGGGGGGCAAGTGGGGAAGGGGGGCATTTACTTTTAAAAAGTAAATGGACATACCAGAACTTTTCGCGATCTTTCTCATTTTTTTTCTCAAAAGAGGAAATGCAAAGAAAAAATTAAGACAGATTCTAATAATGCCTTCACGTTAAAAAAATTAGATACCTATCAATGTAAACTTGAAAATCTGAACGTCTTCCTGAAGACCCAGAAGACGGCCTCAATCTGCCCCTGTTTTCAACAAATCACAGTAAGTAAATAAAAGAAGGAAATTACTCAGACTTTATATGTATCCTCCATAAAATGTTTATAACAACCTTGTAAATTAGCTTCATGTTAATCTTTTATCCCAGGTGGGGAATCAAAAGTAGAAGAATCGGAAGACAGTTTTCAACAAAATAACAAAGATGGTTCTGAAGAGGTAAATGTCACTTCTAAGACAATTAATATAGATGTCAGCTTTAAGGTGCTGCAGCTAATTATTAGCAAATTATAATGCATTTTCTGCAGGGGTGGATCCATAGATATTTTCTGACAGTCTTCCAAATAATCTTTGTTGATCTATTCTCTATTTTTGAATGTATTCTGACAGAAAAAATTAGATACATATCAATGTAAACTTGAAAATCTGAATGTCTTCCTGAAGACCCAGAAGACAGCCTCAATCTGCCTCTGTTTTCAACAAATCACAGTAAGTAAATAAAAGAAGGAAATTACTCAATCTGCCCCTGTTTTCCCATGCATTAATATCTCCCCCCCAAAAATTTTTCTTTTAATAATACTGAAGCAGTTTAAATGTTATAAGTTATGTAAAAGAAACATGTACATTTACCAAAAACATTAATCAAAAAGTGTTCATATTCATATTCATATATAATATATATTGAAGTATACAGAGAGATGAGAAAGAAAAGACAGGGTCTCTCACAGTAACGCATCTGTAATCTATGTAATCTATATTTTTAGGTAAAAGACCTTATCAATGAAAAACTGAAGACAGGGTTTCACGCATTAAGGCATCTCTTTAAATCAAATGACCCTACAGGACAGGGAGTTGTCTCCAGGTAAGATCATTGTGCATGCGCGTGTGCACATGTGTGTGTGTGTGTGTGTGTGTGTGTGTGTGCACGCACTTGTTTGGACAAGAGGAAGATGTTGACCTCTATAATGTTGATAACACATAAGCCACAGTAAGTGTGCAGATAAAGGAAAATAATTGTGTTTTTAATTTTTTGTTAAGTTCTTGAAAAATCCAGGATGCATTTAATTGACAGAGTAACAGGAACAGTTTATATATTTATTGAAGTGCCTAACTTTTGCATGAATTTTCAATGATATCAAATATTTATTTGTGAAAAGTGAACTCAGCAGTCTTTATCTTAATCATTTATAAAAATATATGTTTACAACTTTCCATTCAGGGAGGCTTTGTACAGAATCCTGTTGATACTATGTGGGCACCTACAACAAGAGCAATTTCCAAAAGTGTTGAAAAGGTAGGTACAGGCTGTGAAATATTCTTGATGGTTTAATGTTTGGTTTACAGATTTTAATGCACATGGGTCTGGATGTTTTGAGTAATGAGTTAAGTAATATTTGAGAATGCTGAGAAAATCTATATGGAACATGTGACATGAATTATTTCATTCCCAAGTTTTGATATTTAGACTTAAAAATATGGACTGAGGGTTTGAGATAACTTAACTTTTTTTTTTTTTTTTGCTGTCGTCTGTATTATATTTTTTTATATTCTGTGATTTAAATGGTACCAATTATGGGGACTCTAAATGAAATAGTTAAATCAAACATTTTATTGATTTTATATACAAATCCCTTGATTGCCAAATGTACTTAGGATCTGCAGATTGCTTGAATAGATTGAATGATCGTTATATGGAAACCAGCTTAACATATTGTTATCCCACAAAAGAAACCTTGGGGCAGTGTTAGAGGAAATGTGTACAAAGTTCTGTTTCTCAGTCTCAGTTTCTTGCCAACCCAGCGTGGGGTGTTTATATGTTGCTATGTTGGGAAATCAATTGCTAATGTGTATGACGTGTTCTATGTGACTTCCTGAACCGTGTCTGCTGGGGAATTGATTGGGCTGGAGTTTTTCAAACTGGAAGTTGGAAATGCAATTTCTGGTTTTATTGTTGGTTTGTTTTGCTTCTCCCAGATGGAAGGTCCCAATTGTCACACAAACAAAACTTTTTTACCAGCAAAAAAAAAAAAATCTAAATATTTTATGACCTTTACTTTCAAAAAACAGATAATATGAAGACACTGTTGTTTAAATTTGCAATATGTCTGCAAGGCATCATTGCCCAAGTGTAAAATTTTATACATGTTTTCTTTTCAATGTCTTGTAAAGATTTTTGCATTGTGTTGCAAAAGAAAAATTAACTGGAGAATGTCTTTTATCTTTTTTTATTGATTATTACTTCAAATATCCTCTTTTTTCCAGATTGGGTCTAGGGCACAAAAAGTCTATTTCATTTGATGATTTTATCTCATGTTTCAAGGACAATGAGGTAAATGCTTTTAATTAATTACTTATACCATGATAACTCAGGAATCCAAAATTATCTGTTCATTAATTCTATGCTTATGCAGATTATGCTTATGCATCTTTAATCCAGTTCAAAATTTCTGCAGAATGAATGAGAGTTTTTTTTTCTGGAAGTCATCTTTTAAGAAGGTTTAGCATTTGGCTGCAGTTACATTCAGTTTTGTTAATTAAATTTGCATTGAATTCAATTAAAATAAATCTAAGCTAAAACAGACTGTGTGGTATATCTATAGAAAAGGCCCGCCGCCCCTCCCCCCCCCCCCCAAAAAATAATAATAATAATAATAATTGCCCTCTTTCAGACTGTACAGAGAGAATGGTTGGCCCCTGCACACCAGAAAGAGATAATAACTTTGGGACCTAGAGGCCACACTTCTGTTAATTTATTAAGTACCAGTATTCATCAAAACAACGAGTTCTCTACAGCAGCACACTGCATGATGATTCTGAGAGAGAAAGCCAAAATGGGGTAAGGAAAAATTGTCACTTTAAGGAATATGGTAATTTTCAAAATCAAATAATTATTTTTTTTTTTTCAAAATTTAATTCATGGTTTTTGCTTTCAAATTTAATTTTGTTTATTAAAATGTACATTAATGTGTTCATAATTGCATAAGTGGAACCAAGAGGGGGAATAGAGAGGACATGCCCTCCTTCTCTCTCTCTCTCTCTCTCTCTTTCTCTATCTCTCTCTCTCTCTCTCTCTCCCCTTTTGGTTTCAGGTTTTACAATCATCAAAATACCAAAGATGATTTTTTGTGCATCTAATTATTTAGTAATACATCTACCATTTTGCTAATTAAAAAACAATAAATACCTACACTAAAATATAATAAATTCACGTTTATATTTCTCATTGCTGAGCATAAATATAAGGACCTCAATGCATTTATCATCATTTTAACAGCTTTCCATTTTGAGGTGAGATAGCAATTGGTATGGGGTGTAACTTCATCCCTCAATGAGATCTTATCACAAAATTTGGCATAGTTGCCAACAAAGGTATGGGCTTCTATCCCATGCCGTCATTTTGGTTTGAAAGTTTTTTGTCATGGAATTATGAGAACTTAATTACAATGATTCATTGAACAAAGGTATTATTTTGCCTTTCAAATGATAAATTCTGACCAAAGCTTTAAAGAAAAATCCCTGGCAGGGATTTGAAGTACTCAGTAGTGTCATTAAATTGGCTTTGAAACAGTGTTCATGAATGCTCAGGTAAAGGAGAAATTTGATAAACTGGGGATTTTGCTTTTTTTAATCCCAAAATCACAATTATGACATCATTGGTAAAATGACATTTGTGTAAATGCAAAGGAATTTAGTTAGTGAACCAGTTAGAACTGAAAATTCATCTGTTATCCAAAACATGTACATGAAGACAGTATTTTTTTCTAAACCCATCCATAGCCTAAAACATACTACATGTAGTTTTTCATTACAAGTGTGCTAAACAAAGCAAGACAAAACAGTATTTTACCACTTATCAAAATCCAGGATCTACCAGTGTAATTGAAATACTTTTTTAGGCATGAAAAATCATGTAATAATTGTAACTTGCAATGGAGTTGTTTGATAATGAAAAACCAAGTGATTAATCACTGTTTTTTCAGTACTTGTGCTAAGATATTGAAAAATCTTTGGCTTACAGGAAGCTCAATTTGTCTCGTATTCTGCCTCCTGCATGCTTTGAATCCCGTGGGATTATAGTGCCACCACAGCTAAGAGAGGCCATGGCTGCCCTCGGCATGAGATTTTTTGATGATGAGTTCAAGAAATTATGGGATAGGTAAGATACATGTAGCTTTAATAAACAGAAACCATGATTGAAAACCATGATTGAAGTTTGGGGCATCTTTGATATCTATGGTTCTCCCTCTCTCCTATAATAAATACTTTAATTTTTCATTTCTTTAAGGCCAAAACCTTGCAGGGATTTTCATTGATAGATCTTATCAGTTTTGCTTACAGCTGGTCACATGTGTTTAAAGATCCATTAATAACACGTGGTGTATAATTTACATATTATTGACCTGATAAAAGGATGTGTCATTCAAATATCCTTTTTGGAGTGTTCCTTCCAGTTACAGGTTGTTTGACAAGACCATTTTGATTAATTATGAGAATTTGCATGGTGCATAAAGCTGAAAGTTAAAGTGTAATCACATAGAGTACTGAAGCGTAGAGATTGATTCACTTCTCACTACTCAGGTGAAATGAAAATGGACTAGCTATTGATTTTTGTCTCTAGAAAGTAAATTTGAAAAGTGAAGTAATGGACTGCATTGATGTAGTTGGTTGCTAATGCAGTTGGATAGTTCCGAAGTATTTGAGAAATCATTCAGGCGTAGAATTTACAAACAGTTTATGAGTGCACATAAATCTATCCCTTACATTTTTATGGTTGAATGTTCTATTTCTACAGAAAAGAAAGTTATCTATTGTAAGAAAATCACATTAAAAAAAAAAACAAAGGGATTATTTCATGTTGTTGTGATTAAAGCTACTTCAGGATGGCAATACATCACATGCTGTTTTTTTTTTTTCCAATGATTATTTTGAATGTACAGGAAGTGCCTTTCATATTTGTGAATTTGAATCAATTACATTTTATATTAGACTTAATTTAGAAGGCACTGGTGGGATCAAACTGTCCAATTTCAAGAAAGTGATTGGTGTAGATGATGGACCAAAGATGAGACAAGGTGCTTCTGATCCTAAAGAGGAGGTGTTAGATCAGCAGGCATATGAGAAAGACAGGGCCAGGAGAAAGGAGACAGCTGAGAGGAAAATAAAGACTGTCGTCAACAAAAGGAGGGAAACACCAAAACTTGAGAGTGTTGTGGATTGTCTGCATTATCAGGTTGGTTTAATTTTATCTTTTTGATGGTAAAAATGTTAGTATAATTTGGCCCATATGCAATAAAAGTGACATCACTTTTTGATATAAGAGTAGTCACACTCAGTGACTTGTTTGCCATATGCATTTTTCAGTCAGGACTTAGATAAACCAAGTTCAAAGTTTGATGAAAACCCTGCAATGTATAAGTTACATAAAATGCAATTTAAAGTACAGTGTAATGATCTTAAATCTTAGTCAACAACAGAATGCTGAAATATTTTTTAAACAAATGAAGTAGTAAAAGATGATATATTATTGTATGACCATGAAGTATATCTCTTTTTCCAGTTTGAACAAAACTACACCTCCCTATTGTTGGGATGCAGACTGTTTGATTTCCTTGGTGATGGTCACATAGCACGTATAGACCTGAAGAAAGTTCTGCATGCATTTGGCTTTCCTATATCTTCCATTGAGCTAGAAAGCTTCCTGGCCAGGTATACGAATTTAAATGCCACAAGCAGATTTGATTGTGTTAGTTGTACTAGCTGCTTGTTAGATATGACAGTGGGTTACCCATGGCTATTAGCTGTAACAGTATTTGGAATGGTAGATTGTCAAATATATATATATATATATATATATATATATATATATATATATAGTTGATACATTTGTTGTGATTGTATTGAGTGTAACAGTGTAGTGGTCCCTACACGGCATCAAATTATTGTTATCATTTCATGACTGTAAACCTTTCAGATGCACCATTCCTGATCTTCATGTACACTAACCACACATCTGTTTGCTTTAAAGGTGTCACGTCCGAACCATGCAGGGTCAGCTAAACTATAATGAACTGCTGTTGAAATATATGAACAAATCAAATCAAAGCTTGCTGTCCAGAGTGGTCAATGATTCCTTCCATGTGTAAGTACAATTCAGGGCCATTTCATGTGTCATAACTGAAGAATTCCTCACTTTAACATTTAGTATTTCACACATAACACACTGTCACAACTAAAGCATCCCCGCACTAAGCATTTCACACCTAACACACTGTCACTCAAATCACAATAATGAAGTCAAATAATAATATTTGACAGACTGATAAAGTAAAAACACATATAAACTAACCAGCATGCAGTTACAGACATCATATTAATCACAGTGTTGCATCATCTTTGTTTCAGGTTCAGCAGATCTGCCCTGCCTCCCCTCACTGAGGACATGACGGCTGAAGACCTGGAAGCCAGATTGGTTGAGTTCCTACACAAAGACTTCCTGGCATTGATAGGGTCCCTCAGGTATTGATTACAACTTTCATACTGCTCAAACACATGATTTTTCATGACTGTAGAAACAAATGTTTAAACAAGAAAAGGTGCTAGAAAAAAAAATTGAAAGAAAATGCCCAGTCAATAAAACTGAAATTTATCTTAATTTTGCTTTGGTGTATTTAGGGGAGCAGATAGGTATGAGTTGGGTGTTATTCCACAGTATGAGTTTAGGGATGCCATTCAGAAAGTGCTAAAAAGGACCCTATCTGATGGGGAGTGGCAGAAATTGATAGCTGAAGTAGGCCAAGATGCAGATGGTTTGATCCCATACAATACATTTCTGGAACAGTTCGCTTGCAGGTTAGTTATAGGTTTCTCTGAGATTAGTAGGTTTGTGGGATGAGGAATTGTGTTTTTAGCCACTTTTCTTTGGGATATATTTAATTTACAAAATAAAGCTTTGGATCTTTTGCCAAAAAGTTGTGGCATTCATAAATGCGTTGTCTTTAAAATTTATCTTTAAGGGGGAGTTGTAATGCATCAAATTAATAAAGTTGCATTAAGCAGAAATAAACTTCATCTTTTCTGGTCTCTTTAACGATAAAACTTTCACATATGATCTACAACTCATTCCACAATTTTCATTCCATTGCATACAATCCAGTACCCCAGGTGGTTGGAACCAGAAGACGGTGGGAGGTTTCCTTGAGAGGAAAGTGTCTGATATGAGAACTCCTCCTGAAGTACAGCAGCTCAGAGAAGCCAAGGAGAGGGAAGAGGTGGCAGATATTAAGAAAGGGTCTACAAGAAAGGAAGAGGTTAGCTTTTATTAGCAAGACTGAAAAGAAATAAAGAGCCGAACTTCTGAGAGTGCTGGTGATGAAACTTTTGTGATATATATATATATATATATATATATATATATATATATATATATATATATATATATATATATATATATATTTTTTTTTTTTTTTTTTTTTTTGGCACAGGCAGAGAAAATTTAATGTTTAGTTTGCATAAAACACAAATATGGTGAACCACAATCTGCAAGAAGTTGTGAGTTTGTCCCAAAAAATCTCACTTCAAGCATGAAAACCAGGTGTTCTTTGATACAAAATGGATTATCTAAAAAAGATCATTGATTGTAGTATTGAATGTTTTCTAATGCAATGACTTTATTTTAAAATCTGCTTCTTTTTCATTTTCATACAGTTAAATAAAAAAATCAAGCAGCTGTTAAAAGAAAAATTCCATGCAGTTGACAAGGTAAGTTAGGTGAAGTTCCTTCACAAACCCAGAAGAATCTAAAACTAGAAAAAAAACATTGTTAGTTTTGAAAATTATACCCAACCATTTTATGCGCTTACCATTTAAACATTAATTTAACGGAGTCTGCATTTCTGATTCACTTACCTGTGTTTTCACACTTTTGCTTTTAAAGTTGTACAAAAAAATGGACAGAAGACAGACAGGGAGACTGAGTAAAGAACAGATGGGGGCCATCTTGAAGGAGTAAGTGTAAAATTTAAACATTTTCTTTTGATTAAAAGTGAAAATAGTAAGACATCAATTGAAAAATTTAAAGTCCATAAATAGCTGTCTCTACTTGTGCACTAAATTGTATATTCATGCATATTCATGGTTTGCCTTACTTTAAAGTCAAGAGGATAGTTTTCTCTTTTTATATTTAGGCAACTCTTAATTCTAGTTGTATTAAACAATTTAAGATTTCTGGTATTAACACCATACGAGCAAATGATAGGTGTAATTTTCAATCATGACTTGGCAGGATTTGCTTTTTATTCCTGTATCTTTATTCAGATTCTTGGGATTTGGACCAGAAGAGGTAGACCTGGTATGGAAAGATATTCCACTATTTGAGGATCACCTCACTACATGGAGTAAATTCATGGCACAATTTGTCAAAGTAAATGGTCTAGTAAAATCTCCAGAGAAGTCTGAAAGTAGAACACCTTTACCACCAGGTACTCATATTTTGCTTCCATCCTTTTTCAAAACTAAAATCACAGAGATACTTGTTAAAATATTCTTCACCACTAGTTGAATTCTAATTGAATTGACATGGCTAGAATGCAACTGCAACAATAGACTTAATCTATATTTTACTCCAATTTCCTTTTTCCATTTCTGCTCAGATTTTAAATGAGCAGATTTTTGAAAGTGTAACTTCTATATAATTTTAGTAAGCAAAGCCTCCCAATTGACTCCTGCTGAGGCAGAAAGGAAGCAAAAAGAGCGTGACAATAAGCTAGATACTCTCCTGCCCAGAGAGAATGCTGCCACTGAGCTACATTCAGGAGGCAAGGAAGGACTCATGAATAAGATCAAATCAGATGTAAGCTTGGGATGTCATTTTTCTTGAATAGGAAATCATATCTTTTTTCGGACTTATATTTATATAGTTCTTTCTGTACATGCAAAAAGGAGAAGAATAAAGACAATCTTTGACTATGAGTAAAATGGATATGACAAATGATATTCTAGCTTTTATAGACAACTAAATTTGCTTTAATGTTGTTCTCTTAAGTTGTAAAATTCACATAATATTTGTATACAATAATGCATCTCTAAGACTTTTTAATCCTTTGTTTTGATTATTATCAGTTTAGGATAATTTCCATATTACATGCCTATGTTTCATTCTAGGTTTTGACCAACTGGGAACACCTGAAGTTCATCTTTAAAAACTTGGACACAGTTGGCACAGCATATGTACCTTGTACTGAAATGAAGGTAAGGATGGGTGAGGTGGTTTGTGTCACAGTGTGTAAGGTGTCAAAGTTTACTAAATATGACAGTGCACAAAATGTGACAGTGCATAACCTCTCAGTTTGCTAGGTGCAGGAGTGAAGGAGTTGTATTTTGTGTATATTGTGTGTATTTTGTTGTATTTTGTGACAGTGCACCTGGTTCATGTGACATTTTTCTAACTGTAAAATTCCCTAGCATAGCCATGTTTACTAAAGTGAAGTTAATGGTAGAGAATTGACTTATAGTTGCCATGATATTCTGAATAAGGGATAAATGTGTACACTGGTGATCGAATAAAGTTTTTTTTTTTTTTTTTTTTTTGCTTTTAACCATGTTCCTGTTGATAATGATAAACGTCACCTTATTTCATTTATCAAAAATTTCCAGGAATGTATGAACACTCTTGGCTTCAACCTGACAGCAGAAGAACTTAAAGAATTATGCCAGGAGTATGATGTGAACAAAGATGGACAGTAAGTGACACACACTCTCTCTCTTGATTAACTCTGTGTTGTGGAATCATGGAGTGACAGATATTCCTTCAAAATCATACTTTTGTACGTATTTGTTTCTTAGATATCCATTTATCAAAATTCACTTCCAACACTATTTTCTTTACTCACTATGAAATGTCTTTTGAAAAAGAATTTAAGTTTATGTTCACAATTTTCCAGGTTCCATTATCTGAAATTTCTCCAGGCTTTTGCTGTCAAATCACCAAAGCCACAAACACCAAAGAAGCAAACAGTGCCGTCAGCATATAAAAACAGGATGTATAAACTAAGGCAAAAGGTATATTTTGACATTGTTTAAACTGTGTTGAAACTGAATGCTTTGTGACATGGTTTAAATCTCAAAGTTCTGGGCAACATGTTACAAATTTTACCTGGTGATACTGTGCATGTTGTGACAGTGACAGGTGATAATGTGCTTTATCTGCAGCATTGGCAAAGAAGATAAGATATATGTTAAATGATATGATAGATGACTGCATGGCTGTGGCTTGTGTGAAAAAGTGTTCTGTGTGAAACTGTCACCATACTTTGGGCTAAGAGTGGCAGTTTTTATCTAGTCTACACTAAAAGATTGGTGAGGTTATAGTTGGCACTAGAAATTGCACCAAACAAAAATATATGTACATGTGTATGTATTGTAATATGCCCATTGAATGTTTGGGGTAAATAAAACAGCAAATATCTAATACTAATTTGATCAAATCACACTTGAATTAATAAATAACAAATTTATGTGTTAGCCGTACAAAACATGGTATTTAAATAGTCTGCACAGTTTTTTTATACTAACTTCAAATGTTGCTGTTTGCTTTCTAACCCACGCTTGCACACAGAATGGAGAGGAGGAGACACTGACCTTAGTTCCCACACTGCACAGGGTCAGAGAAAAGGTGGGCAATTGTCAGCAGAAATAAGCTGAAGGATTTAGTTCTATGCTATCTTTTACAATTTTGATGTTTTTGCTGTTACTCTGTACTCGCAATGCAAGATATATACTACTGTGAATAAGCTTTTGGTTTATTATTATTTTTCATACATCATTGTCAACCTCTATACAGTACAATCAAGTTGTTTGGATAGTCCAGTTTATTGAATGATCATTTCAAATGTTAAAATTTTGATGTTTTTAAGTTAAAGTAATGAAATGTGACATTTTATTACAGCTGTTGCTGGATTGGAAGAGCCTGCGCCGTGCTTTCAAGAAGAATGATTTGAACAACAGTGGATACCTAGAAGTGATCGAATTCCGTCGAGTTTTGGAAAGTTGTGGACTCAATGTCTCTGAAGAAGATATATATCATATCATGTCAGAGTTTGACAAGAATTTAGATGGAAAAATATCCTATGAGGAATTTCTTAACAGTCTTTTGGAGCCGTAAATGGTAAACCTAGCTGTCGTTTGCCATTTAGTAACATCTGGCATTTTTACTTAGTACTGGGATTTTTGCAAGTGGAGAACAGTAACAATAATTAACTATAATCTAAGTTGTAGCATGAGACCCTAATGTTTCAAAATTCTTTAAATAGCAGCTTGCCTCCCTGACAACATAGTATGGCCACCATTATTTACTACATGTACATGTAAATGGATACATGTAAATGTATCGTAGTACTTTGAAGCTGTGAGTGCACAAGAAGACCTATTAACAAGCCTGTGTCTCTCAGGCTTGTAGATATTTACCAGTACTTTGTGACTGGACTGGTAAATCATTCTGAAAGATTTCTTTTTTTTTTTTTTTTTTTTTGTTCCATTTTTCTTTTACTAGACCCACTGTGTTAATATGAAGATAATATTTGGTTGCTATCTGTCAGTGAGGAGGTTTCCAAACATGACTCAGTTTTGCCAGGGTAGGTAGAATATGATCCCTAACGTTTTGAAACTGTACCAGCTGGGACCAAAGTTGCCAACTTAGGCCAACTGTATCTACATAAATTGTTTTATTGCATAATTATGTTCTATTAAGGTGTTGTTGTTGCTTCAATGCCAATTGCGCTGTGATATATTGCATATATGTTTTAAGCATACTTTTATTGTTAACAGTGAGCAAATCAAATGTGTAAATGAATGCTATTATTCAAAATTTGTCACTTGTTTATTTGCTTGGAATCATAAACAAATTATGTAAAATGTGTGTCTGTGTGTTCATGTACGTTATACATTATTTTAATATTTTGCATACATGTAATTTGTTTGGACCAAATGAATGTGAAGTCTACGACTGTGTTCAGATTCATACAGCTTGATCAATCAACTCTGTGAGAGATTCTTGCTTAAGTGCATTCAGTACTAAGTGACTTAAGTGTCTGACATGCCTCCTCGAGTAACGAGCTAATTAGTTAATTACCCCCCCCCCCCAAGCAAGTAGAGGAGGAGTGTTAGGCATTAAGGGCGATTACAGTGATTACACTTTGGGAAAATCTCCTTGGATTGATCCAGCAAGTGTGATAGGTTTATCTGAACAATCTCTACATTTTACTTTTTTTTACCATTTTCTTATTAACATGTCTTTTGTAATATATTCAGGATATTGAAAGGTTGCCTTGAAAAATATTAGGTAACTTGCTATCGATATCTTATAATTGATAAAAGTCCATGTTTATATTCCAGAAAAATGATTTTTAAAAACACCTAGTTAATATTACTGTTGCTATTAATTTGTACTATTGTATAATCAAGTGTATAACATTTATCCTAACAAGTCTGTCTGTTTAATGTCTTAGGGGCATGAATAACAAGTATAATAAAGTAACTATTTTTTGCAAAAATGAGTTGATCATCACAATGAAGAATAATCTACTGGTAACATATTGAGTAGCCAATGTATATGACCATTTAAAGAATACCTCTATTGGATTTAGGTCACAACTTGATCCACTTAAATTTTGGGCACTGTCAGTGCACTGGCCTAGGTATGGCATTAGTACGGCACTAGTATGGTATGGCATTAGTCACAATGCACCCCTGTCCAAATTAAAAAATAAAAAATAAAATGCTTGATATTTCCCAAACCAAAGAAATGATGAGAAAAGTTACTATTGAAGTCTGGGAATTTGTGCATTTTCATGGGAGATGGGAGCCATCACCTGCGTTTGTCATCTCTGTCGTTCCCATGCAATTTCAGTGATAACAAGATGAGTGGAAAATCGTTTTACCTTTGGTCTTCAAACTTACGAAACTCATGAATATTTATAAAATACAAGTGGACTTCAAAAATCAGCTTGATTAGACCATTTTTCCATAAAGTTTTGCCGTTTTTTTTTTCTCTTTTTCAGCATATTTCATCTACTGTTATACAAATAACATGAAAACCATGTCACATTTTGCTTTATAACTTGCAGGACTGATTCATAGTACTAGTTCGAAAATTATCTTGATCAATTTAGTTTGGATGAAGTTGTAATTTTTTGTAAATGCATGGGTGGAGTTGACAATATAACATTTGACAGTGGAAATAATCTCTTAATAGCCACCTTCTAAAGAAAACTTTTTACAAACATTGTATTAAGGCAGAGGTCAGGTTTGTCAATGATTTAGTTAATAGTGATGGGTCATTTGTAAATTGTCTTAAAGACCAGTGTTCCTGATATAAATTGAATTTTCTGGTTTGCTGGGACTATTGAAAAAATCTTTTTAAAAGCTTTAAAAATAGTACACAACTTTTTAAAAATGCCAATCCATTTATTCCATACAATTTAAGCATAATATAACCATAAATAAAGGAACAAAGGATAGGCCTAACATTCTGCCTAAACATAGTGAAATATTATAAATAAATATGTACTACTTTACACTAAAAGTGTACATACAAGAGGGAAAAAAAGACACCATGTTAGCTTTGTATTTTTACACAGTGATGAAACAATTTATGAAGTACCATGAAATATGAAAAGAATAAAATAACATAATGTCCAAAACAAGGTAAACTTCCCTACACATACAAGGTGACTGGAATGCAAAGATTTGTTACATCATGGACATAATAAGAGAAGGACATGAAACGCTGAGCTAGATCAAAGGATAATCGGCTTAACGTGGGCTCTTCACGAAACCATGTGCGTTCGGATCACGTGATCTCCCGTACAGGTAGCGAGCATATCGCAGTTGTCGATGACTTTTTGTGTCATTTGGGCAGGTAGTTCACGATAACATGAGTCAATCCTTCGGGTGGATGGAACAATAAACTTATAGAGATTAAGTATAAATACAATTTGTTCTGTCAATTTGGAAACTGTGAGAATTTGATATGTTTGTTCATGGAGGAATTCAAAATGCCCTATGTGGTAAAGGCAATCTTGTTTGTTGCCGTAAAATGAGCATTCAAAATTGTACAATTGTAGTGTAATATACTTGTTTTCAGCTATGATCCGATTGGAAAATATTTCTAGTGTCAAACTTTTCTCTCTATGTGAGATTTAGCCTGAGACGCGGCAATAATGAAACCTTCAATCGTGTCTTGAATTAAAATGACGCAATTCCTCTCCGATTTATTCAACTTGCTGACATCGTTTTAGGTCTGGTATTTTTTACGTACCGTTTAGATAAAGGTGGCATCTACACTGCTGTGTGCTATATGTATAGGTTTATGTTACTTGCTCATGTGAGCCCGAATTATGTAATGATAATTAATATTTTTAACTTTCAATACGGGCTCTCGTTGCAATAGGGCAACACACGCATTCTTGATGCACAAAAACGCACCTGGGGGCCTTTTAATATTCTTTTATCAAAGTTGACATTAACACTGCTCTGAAGTATATATAATTTTACACATTACCGGCTATGGTCTGCTCCAGTCTGAGAATGATAATCATTATTTTTTTAACTTTCAATATGGGCTCTCATTGCAATACTGCACCACAAACACATTTGTTACACACAAAAACGCATCTGTGGGCCTTTTAATATTATTTTATCAAAGTTTACATTAAGAATATATATATATATAACCGACTATGGTCTGCTCCAGTTTGAGAATGATAATTGATAGTTTTTCATTTTTAAATAGGAGTCCCTAAACAGCATAGAGACGATGGACAAACACCGTCATTGGTCTTTTAATTAAAGTATAAATGTGGACATGAACACATGCAAACTTCATGATTATATTTACTTGAGTAATGGTCATAAAAGTGGATCGCCATCACATTTGTAATTTAAGTCTCACCTCTGTAATTGGCTTGCTACATTGCATTATCTTGTTATCAGATGCATTTGGATGGCACCTACCTGGCTTTATTAGTCATCATGCTTTTAAACAAGTTATATATCAGCTCGACATATAACAATACAATCTTGGGAATGATAACAAGTATAGACAAAGGCCAGAGCCCGTTTTAATGAGGTAAAAGGAAAAGATACTGAAAACCCGAAACAAATTTCCACGTGTTGGCGCAAGTCTATGTGCTAGCAACTGCAAGATGGAGGCAATGCTGTATCATAGCAACCACGAGGGATGGCGAGAAATTGCGTTATCCATGCAATAGAACAAAAGAATTTCAATGAGGCACAGCACCCGCTACCTTGATAATAAGTCGTTCAGGCTCCCGTGGAGCTATCAAAACAGCTTATCTGAGACAATGGGTGAATGTTTACCCGAACATACATAGCTGCAAAGGAAGATGCCGCGTTTCATGTCCTTTCCTATTTAGGTCCAAGGTTACATGCAGAATGAAAATTGGGAAAGCATTTCAGGAAAATATGGAGTAGGTACTGGTACAATGAAAGAGTGGAGGAACTATTGAATTTGACTGCCAGATTAGATTCAACACCAAAGAAATATGGCATGGAAATAAGTGCAGAGAAAAGTAAAGCTATGATTACAGGTAAGCTAGGGCATTATAAACACCAAAAAGTACAACTGAATTGATAAGACCTAGAACATGTCAAAGAATTCAAATACTTAGGTGCTACCTTCACTGAAAATGCAATAAGTGAGTTACAGTTAAAAAGGAGATTTGAAGCAATTAAGAGTGCATTGGCAAAACTGGAGGGTGGGGAAAATTCATCTAATATATACAAGATCCAACTAATGAGCTCAATGTGTTTAAAGTGCATTTAATGTACAGGTGCAAGAGTTGGATTTTATCAGAAAAAAAAAATGAAGAAAAAGATCATGGTTTTTAAATTAAAGGAGATTGCTGGGTATCAGCTGGACAGAAAAAAAGACCAAAATTACTAGGACTCCAAGCCCCCTAATACTTTTATAAATACTATCATGGAGAGAAAACTAAGGTTCTTTGGACACCAAATAAAAAGAGATGTCAAAAGAACTTTTAATTCATAGCTGCTACAGCAGAAAAAAAGTTTCAAGGGATGCCTATGAGGACCCAAAGGATGACATCAGGGAATGGACAAGTTGCATTATATAGGAGGCAAGGTGGCAAAATTAAGATAGTATGAAATGGAGAGCAGATGTCAAAGCCTGGATGCACCTATTCCTAGGGCCTTAAACGTTTTGGTCTTTATGATGACAAAGTGATCAATTCGAGCACTTTTTAAGGCCGTATACTGAATATAGGGAGCAAAGCTAAATTAAAGCACTTTCAAACCTGTATGAACACTGCAAAGGTATAACATTTATGATAATATCCTCCCACATGTATAAAGAAAGTTAAAAGTCATGATGTAACATTTGAGTTAAAATCTTAATCTGATTAAATGTTGCATATGATCCATGCAAATTAAGTGAATAAAAGTATTTATCTGAATATGTAACATGAAATCCTGTTTCCATAATTACCTAACACTTTTTACATACCACATCCATATACATCTGAAACTACTTGTATTCAATGATATACTCCGGGTAACACTGAGACTTTTCAAAGATCACATAAATGGTGGGGTCATTCGGATTGTCCACACATGAATTATACTGACTATTATGCGGATCACCAGGGATTGGGGGTGGTCTCCTCATGGATATATCTCCCCTAGTGTATCTACCCACCAGGACGCGTACCACAAACATAAACCTAGGCCCTCCGGTCTCTGTCTCACATTGCCCCATGTTTCCATGGTGAACAGCAGCAACGGCTGTGGCTTGTTGCCTGGTGTGGAAACGTGCTGCAGACTGCTGGAAAAGGTCATGAAACGCCTGCCCCAGTGATATTGTCTGGCTGTTGCTACCAGAAGAAAGGCCCGAGGGTCCAGCATGGTTGGCAGGTGTAGAAGCAGACTGCTGAGACATGCCAGGTGAAGGAAGACTTAATGTGTATCCCTTAGGGATATTTCTTCCTTGGAGATTGGCCATATGGCTTTGCTTGTTCGCATCTGTCGCAACTGCATTGCCTTGTCTTGCATCTCTTTGACCCTGGGGCAACCCTAACAGAAGTGAAAACCTATCACCTTGGTTAGTCTGTGCAAATCCAGAATTAAAAGCTCCTCCCTGATTGGTCTGTGCAAATCCAGAATTAAAAGCTGCTCCCTGGTTGTTCTGCACAAATCCAGAATTGACAGCTGCACCCTGGTTGTTCTGCACAAATCCAGAATTGACAGCTGCACCCTGGTTGTTCTGCACAAATCCAGGATTGACAGCTGCACCCTGGTTGTTCTGCACAAATCCAGGATTGACAGCTGCACCCTGGTTGTTCTGCACAAATCCAGAATTGACAGCTGCACCCTGGTTGTTCTGCACAAATCCAGAATTGACAGCTGCACCCTGGTTGGTCTGCATAAATCCATGATTAGAAATTGTTCCTTGGTTTGTCTGCATAGCACTAGGATTGGAACCCACATTTTGGTTGGTTTGTGCAAAACCATTAACCACCAGAGGACCTTGGTTGGTCTGTGTAAATATTTTGTTTGCTGTAACTCCATGCCTGAAGCCATGCCCACTTCTGACTTTTCTGATTAACGTTGACAAGCCATGTGCACCATGAAAAGGAAAACTATACTTGTTGGAATAACTGGCATCTCTGGCAAAATATGTGCCTGGAAAACAAAGTCAAATATACCTTAATTCTACCCTTTAGCCCAAACAAGTATTACATACACATAAATACACTGTGTAATTATGCTTTTTTAAACTTAATGGCATAATGGTTCAGTAGCATATAAGGGGGCATTCCCAATAAAACTATCCTTCTACATTTATTGATCCAATTCCACCTGGACTTTTGCTGAATACCAGTTAGATAAACTGAAAGACACGCCTCCTCAAGCAGTAGGGGGTAGTACACTATTGAGTGATCTTGGTTTTCAATTCGCTTTGAGTGCAACCAAATGTACAGGAATGTTTTATTGACGACCCCTAAGATATGCACTGTTAAATACCTTGTCCATATATACAGATATTGACGACCCCTAAGATATGCACTGTTCCTTAAGATATGCACTGTTAAATACCTTGTCCATATACAGATCCATTCCTCCCATACAGTCTCCAGTCCAAGTTTTGTCTGCAAATTGCATCAATATTTGCCTGATGTGTGCCATGAAACAGCCTCATCTCATTAAGGTTCTGTAGTCCATTTTCTTCCAGCATATGTGTCCTCTGACTGAAGAAAACATGCACATAGGTTGCATTTTATTACATGCAATACACACATCTTTGGGTTGCACATTTGTTTTTGTGCACATTGTTGCTTGAAGCAGAATAACCCTACAACTCTAAAGATCAACAGTCTCAAGTTGGTATTTTTGAGTAACAGGCATGATACCTTTAACTGACAGATCATCTTAGAAGTTTACCTTAAATGGGTCCATCTTTTACAATATACACATATACACACAAATTTTTTTTATGTATTCTAATGTGTTAGATATTATTGAAAGTCTGAAGGCTGATTAAATAATTAACTGCTAAATATAGTAACAACTTACAGACTGTACGTTTGCCATAGTTTTGGATTCTGTAACCTCTGAATGGACAGAATAGTGCATCTCGGGAGAGTTCGCAAGAACAATTTTTCCACTTTTTTATATTCTTCTTTAGATTTTTCCACTGGGACTAATGCAAAGCCCTGCCAAGACCATGCACAAGATGTATTTTAATGTTACTCATCATAAGACAATAATTTCAATTCTTTGTTAACAAAGAAACTCATCCAACACTGGCTTCAATGACCTTATCTTAAACTGCAACTGTATCCCAAATAAAAAAATCTACCGAATTAAAGAAATTAACCAGGATTTTTTAAAATCGTAAAGTAATGACATTACTACCTACTGGAATCTTATTTTTCCAAAGATAAAAACACTTCTTTAAAAAAAGTCTTCTTTCTCAACAGGATGGCAATTTTTCACAGGAAAACTACATGTACAAGATATTACGATGAACAAACAACTTTTCTTCTAAAACTTTTAAACTTGATAAACCAAGAGTCCGTGAGGTGAATGCGATATACACCAGTGCAAAGAAGACAAGCAGTGTAGCTAACACCAAGGAAGTTGAGATCTAAAGACTCAGTGTGGTGTGGTGTGGTATAACAGGCATTCATGTTTAGCGTATATATAGGCGAGGTTCCCCATATTTGGGTTTTTTGTTCCTGACCTCTACTATGGTATTAACTATGTTAGAAATGTCTACCTTCTCTTTGGTATCAGCCTCCTCCCAGGTGTCAGGTTCTCTGGTAGTTCCAGCTTCATTCACTGGTATGTGCTGGGCATTGCCACAGTTCGTGTGGTTTCCAATCGACATTTCACTTTTACAGTATCTGCAGCTTTCCTAAAACAGAAAACCAGCCTCATTTACCTCATTTTCAGCTGCTAAAATACCCCAATAAAAAAAAGTATATTGACAATAACTTAGTTACACTGCTACTGTATGTAATTAAATAATCATTTAAAGCATTAAAATGGTTTACAAAATGCTTTTATCAATAAATAAACTATTTCTTAACTTCATTAAAATACCTTCTGAAAATGGTGGTCACTCAAAAAAATTAAATAATTAAATAAAAATAAATATATTAAATTTAATGTATTTTAATTTTTTTTAAATAATTTTTTAATTATCTTTAATTATTATTATACTTTCAATTGTGTTTAAGCATTATCATACCTTAAAACAACCAGTGTTCTGGCAAGCAAACACCCTCACAGCTGCATCCAACTCTGCTGCATATTCACAAAATGGACATCTGTAACAAATGCAATAAAGCATTGCACTGTCTTAATTTAAAACAATGCTAACCTATACAAAAAAAGTCTCCATCCTGATGAATAATAATATCAAATGAAAAGCAACTGCACACTGATATGAATAACACAACTTATTAATTACCAATTTTTAGATTTCTAAAAACTTTTGATTGTTTCAAAGATAAACAAAACCTTTTTATTATTGTGAAGTAAAACTACAATTCCTAACAAGAATTAGGCAGGACATACCATGGCATATACAGTAAATCAATCAATTTCTGTCCATAAAATGCATGTTGCTTTTATCAACTTTCTACTCGTCAACTTGCTTATCATCAGAATAATTTTATCTACAAAGAGTTATCAAAACATATTTTTCAACTCATGAAATTTACCCTAAACCTGTTTCATAATAAGAGTATTTTGTTACCCAGCAGGTGTTATCTATGATACTTACTGAACTATGCCATCCATACAAACAATTTGTTCCCTCTCTGCTTTCAGTCTCTGTTCTTCCAGCAGGTCCAACACCATCTCAGGCAGCACAGATGTTAGCAATTCTACAAAACATTTCAGTCAGGTAAATTCTATTTTTTTTCTTCATGTAATTTAAATTGTCATGACAAATAATGTCCTAAGCATTATGTTCTTATAACATAAAATTCAATAATTTTAATAACCACGATTCCAAAACCTAATATTTTATTTGTAATTATATGTAGTAAAAAGACAGATTACTGGACTAAATGCTTGCTATGTGCCAAAAAATTGTTGCTATGTATAAATTGAGAAGCAACCTGGCAGAAAAGCAGTTAACATTTCGTACATTTACCTTATTGATTATAATTATTAAAAGTAGCTTACATTACTGTCAACAATACAATAATTTGCAAGCAACAAAAATATACTCACCTTTTGGCATTAGACAATCACAACCATCCTTAGGGCATTTCAATAAACCCTGAAAAGCAATGCAGGTAATGAGTTATACTTAGCTAGAAATGAGTTCTTAAGAGTTTATGAATGAACAGGTCAATATAGCCTTGATCCCTGAGCATAGATATTTTAATATAACATTTTTAAATGGTTATTTTTGTAAAAGCCAGGTATTTTTTTTTTCACAAAAAGTCTTAATAATATTTATGAAACTACTAGTATAAATAGTGTTATCAGAGGAACTTAAATATTTGGCAAAGGGTACATTATTGTTAAAATGCACATTTATCTATATATAGTACTGAAATTACTGGCAATGAAAAATATCAAACACTTTACCTTTTTATCTCCGGTAATTGCTTCCTTGGCCTCATCTTGTACACACCTGGCACAGGAAAGGTGACCATCAAAACACTGGATCAGTTTTTTAATTGCCTCCCTCCTACTGCAACTCTCACACGGCATCTCAAAGGAATCTAGAATCATGATGAAATGTGAAAACTCAACATGTTGCTTCAGGTACAAGAAAATATGCAAGAAACATTCAGACATAAGTTACATTCATTTCCAAACCTTATTCAATCTCTTGGTTTTCTTCCAGAAGAACAATCATAATGAAAACTGTAAAACAGAATGTGACACAGAGAGGGGGAAGAAAAACATAAATACTGCCAATACCTGGATCCAGAGGTGATATATTCCCATCATCACTACTATATTCAGCATCTTCTTGTATCATACTTTCACCACCAGCTCTGTCAACTCCTGCCACACCATCTATTTGGTTACTGTTGCTCTCTTTATCTACCAGTGGAGATTTTTCTTGCCCTGCCAACAGATGACTTCCACCTACATGTACCATATCAGTTGTTTCCACCGTCATGGTAGTGCCATCATCCTCTGTAAGATCAAGTACTACAAAAGAGCGTGGACTTCTACTACTAGGTTCATTTTGTATGCCAGGCACATTGTGCATGACACTTGCTTTGGGAACACTTATGGTTGAAAAAATATCGCTTTTATCAAAGTTGTGTCCTTTGGCCACTTGACTGCCTAAAGACCTCTGATTTGCACCCGCAGGTGCATGATTCACTTTTGAGGTGGTTGATGCCCCTTTCTGTGGTTCAAGATCAGGGAGACAGTCATCATCTGAAGATGATTCAGCAGAAGATGGTTCGAGAGAAAACAAACTGTCCTTGGAATCACTATCATTCAGTTCATCAAAACCTCTCTGTTCAATTATCTGACTGTTTGATCTACTAGTACTGGATGCTGCTAATGATAATGTTGAATTCTTATGCCTAGGTGGCACGTCTTTCCCACCTTGTAATCTGATCTCCGGCCTTAGATTTTGGCTTTCACTCAACAGGCTTTCTTTGGGATCATTGTCATGCTGCTCATTGGAACGACTGGGGTTTATTGTTGAGCTAACTGACCTACTAGTGCTAGGCCCTGCCGAAGATGTCGAATTCTCCAACCTTGGTGGTCTGACCTTTAGCCCTTGTAATTCTGCCTCTGACCTCAGTGGCTTGGTCTCAGGTCTTTGACTTCCACTCTCGGCCCCAACTGGCATTGTTCTTCTCATAGGCGAACACTGATTTGACTTCCCATCAAACAGCCCCTTAACAAGTTTTTTCTTGCCAACCAGGCAATTGCAATCTGGAGTAAGGGTGCATTTCTCAGCAGTAGAATGGTGATGTTGTCTTCGATTGTGATGTAAACAGGGTTGTCCATGAGTGGAATCAGATGATGTTGGTGCATTCTGCGGAGTAAAAATTCTATGCCAAGCAGAATTTTGGTGCAAAGAAGGGCTTTCATGTGAAGATAATATTTCCTGTAACCTTTTCATTTGCTGCATTACTTCTCTTTGCTTTAAAAGGGTGGTATTATTGTTGGCACTTGGAACCTTATGCTTATGTGGAGGGAATAATGACTGGAATAATGACCCGAACTCATCACTCTTCTGATGACCATTAGATGGCTGACCAAGGTGCAAACTACTATCCATCTGTAAGTTTGCTGACTGCTCAGTATTTTTCCCACATGAAGATGATACAGGCGTGTGTGGTTTCATTTTCAGTCTTTTTCTAATCAAGGTTGATTCTGAACCATGTTTAAAGGCATGCTCTTGGCCCTGATTTTCCAATATGCGCTTTGGGGAATGCCCCTCTTGCCTCCAGCTTTTCCTGCCCATTCTTTCTTTGTTGTTGGTTGCAGGGGATGACAAACTCGCACCACTGCTTCCAGCCTGTAACTGGACATCATTTGGAATCTGGACATCACTGGACATCATCTGACCTGTCCTCCCCCATGCTGGAGAAGCTGAGTCCTGCACAGTGTTTGGTTTGTCAGGCACAACAGAAGCACCAACCACACCGGGTTCATTAGCAGCTAAATTGAAACCACTAACAAGTCTCTTGTGTGCTTCTGAATTTTGTTCACTAGTTGAGTGCGCTGGCTTCAGAGAGGCTGCTCCAGTGTGTGGGGGTTTTAAATTCTTTGGATATTTGTTCTCCAGCATTCTGTTGATCAAAGTTTGCACATCAAAGTTTGCGTTTATAGTTAACTGCTGCAGGATCCACCCTTGGTCAGCGTCTGGGAATATGGACAACTGAGGAAAAAATGATAAAATACTTAATACCAATACAGCACAAAACACATGTTGAAACTCAACAACTATTTTTAAATATATCTTTCTTCTTAGTGCCCAAGAATTTTCTTATTGGCACAACACCAATTTCTTAGTAAAAACTTTTCCAATGAACTCCTCGTCAAAAACATTCCAATCAAATAAAATAGCATACAGTGTACATAAAAGTATTCTTTGAATACTGCCCAAGTTATTTACACTTACCACCTCATCCACTTGTTGTTTCTGCTCACATTCTTTTACAACTGTATTGGCACTACTGGAATTACCTAAATAAAAATCAGTAATACCAGCAATGCTAGTCACACAATCTGTATTCATTACAATATGATTTTATAACTCAATGTATGTTTATCAGGATCATTCCTTTAATAAGGTCGCGCGACAAGGTTATTTTCAGTTGCACTCTGGATTACGCACGCTTGCTCCGCAAGGTGTCGCCTGTGGAGGGGGGCAGCACAGCCCATGTGGTTACTGTGACGAAGGTGACAAGTACTTCCAAACATTTTTCATAACTGTCATTATTCCTCATTCAATTTACAAATTTGATATATACGGCAATGAAAAATGTGGCACTGGCAAAAGTGGGCCTAGGTGCGTTGACGGGCCGCACAGGTGTCCTCAACATTAACCGCTGCCAGAGAATCCCGAAGCATTAAACTACACAACCTGTAGATATTGGAAATTTGGCCGAAGTTAAGCAAATGAGGCTTTATTAGATTTGGGTAGAAATAGAGAGGAATGTCCAGTGACATGCCAAACCCCTAAGTTTAAGTCTTGGCCTTTGACACCTGTAACGCACCCCTTAGTCAAGAATCTGAACAAATCAACGTTGGGCAGGTACAGTGTACATGTATGCTTTGTTTTCTACCGGCGTTTTTGTGATTTTATCAACTTGATTGTCCAGTGCCAGACCTTTTGTTCACAGGTACTAGTAGCAAACTTTATCAGATAACAATCTGACACTAACTATGCTGTATTAACAGCGCCGTAAACCCAGTTATCAATTCTGTCATCTTTACCTGTATCTCTACCGGTATTATACCAGTGGCACGTCCGATATATATCAATAAGGAATCATGCTGTGATGCTTATATTTATTTGTAATACGTTAGCATCAACCTGTTTATAAAAACTTGGAACCTTTCAGTATTATTACACAATAACAGTATATTGACATCATGGGAATTGTTATGATTAAATGCTTAGAAGAAATAATGAAAACAGATTACGTAAAATAAAAAAAATTATTTGAGTTATTTTTTTTCAAATCAATTAATTATCAAACATGAATATTATTTTCAGAAACATCAACATATATTACTGCATTATAAATCTGCTGGTACACAGATCTACAGTTCTAAAATGCAAATACCAAGTACCTTTCACACACAAATAATGAGATGTAAATAATCATAAGTATAAAGTAGTAAAAATATCACAAAATGTGTGTAGGCAAGATATTTCTACAAGTAACCTCATTAATCAGTCAGGAAACTTCATAATGCTCTCAATAAATGTAGAAATTTGAGCAAGAGAAATTCTACATACAGGCATGACAGATTTACCATATATTAGCACCAACCTTAAACTGAATGGGCATTTTATAATAATAATAATAATAATAATAATTTATTTGAGCATTAAATGTCACAGTTACATTTGTTAGCCCTCTATACTACAAATAGAGAAATAAATAAATAGTTATACATCGTTATGGATTACTACTTATACAATGTTTAAGAATATTTATTACAATGTATACAGTGTTTAAAAATACTTATTACAATTGAAAAATAGTTAAAAATACTTATTACAATTGTAAATAGTTTTATACACTGGGGAACACACATTTTTCTTTGATAGGCTTATAGCTATATGTATCTACTTTGCCATACTTATGGTTCATATAATATAGCAGGATGAGGTTACTTCAGTGTGACAGATGCTCATTTCTTTTCGAAATTGCCCTCTGGATGTATTTACCAACAGCGTGTAATTCTTTCTCATTTTCTGGGCTTATTATGATTTTGACCTTCTCGTCACTGCTTGCTCGGTGATGCATGTCACATTTAGGGAATTGTTTTAACATGCCCTCCCTCTCTTTTACATGGTGTCTACATTCTAGTAGGAAGTGCACTTCGTCCTCAATTGCAGGACAGTGGGGACAAAATCGTTCCTCGCGTGGTGTTTTAGGTCTCTTGTAGCGTCCTCTTTCCATTTCCAGAATATGGTCACTGACTCTAATTTTAGCCACTTCCCTTTTTAATGACTGAGGGGCATTAGTCAGCAGGTACTTTTCAATTTTGTAGGACTTTTTTATGAGACTATAGGTTTTTAACTTGGTGCTTTGTGGATCTGTTAACTCTTCCCAGAACATTTTTTCAATTTTAGCATTGATTTTTTCCTCAATATTGCAATGTGTTTGGATTTGCTGAGCCCCTGGAGCATTTCCACTGTGAAGATCCCAAGTTGTTAACATAGCATTAATCGCTCCTGGCCAACCTTTTTCCCCTATTGTCAGTTCTGCATCATGGGTGAGTTTCACTATTCTGTTATTTGGTAAATTTCCAAATCTTTGGCAGTATCGTTGCACCTGTTTAACAATGTTAGAATATAAGGGATAACGACCGAGCTCTGCGCGACTAGCAGTGTTGCTGGCGTGTTTACTCAAGCCCAGTGCCCATTTGCACATTCTCAAATGTGCCTGCTCAAAAGGCATTTGGTTAATTTTGTTCAAGGTCATTTTCTTTTCTTTGAATATTTCTTGGGCCCAAACTTCACAGCCATAAAGGAGTATTGGCCTTACCACTTTGTCAAACAGTTTTAAATATAGGAGAGGTGAGGATAAGTTTTGTGACGAAAGTGCACTTTTCAATGAGAACATTGCTTTCATTGCTTTTAATTTTAGATTTACTATTGCTTTTTTCATTGACCCAGTGTTAGTAAAGGTGATACCAAGGTAAGTGTATTCTTTCACAGTCTCGATCGGGTTGGCATTTATGAAAAACCTCATATTTTTTATCCACTTTACCTGATTTGTTGAAGACAACAACTTTTGATTTGTTTTCATTTAGGCCTACATGTAATTTCCATTTTAAGCAGTACCTTTCGAGTATATGCAGCAAGCGCTGTAGACCGTCTTTTGAAGTTGATAGGAGGATAAGATCACCAGCATAGAGGATATGACTCAGTCCAGCAACATTTCCTGGGTTATAGCATTCGCTGAGATCATCTTTTAGGTCATCCATAAATATGTTAAAGAGTATTGGACTCAAATTGTCCCCTTGTCGGATGCCTATTCTTGACTTGAATGGGGTTGTATAATGTTCACCTACAGATACACCTAGTCTATTTTAAAGAACAAAGTGAGTTAAAAATGAATAAGAAATAAAAAACAGATACTGTCATTCTTAATACTGAAAAGCAATGGCACCTTGCAGCCTTCACTGCCTCACTATTTGCAAACAGTGTTCTAGTCACTGTCACTGTGTACTTTTGATGAGGCATAGATGCAAGGATAACTCCTTTGAAGTATATTGTGGAGGTCTTTTTTGTCATAAATCTGCCACATATAACCTGAATGTGCATATTGCAATTCACACCGCAGCGACTTGTCTTAGTAAGGACTCAACCAGTTGAAAACTTGTGGCACAGTTTCAGGGACAGGATCACACCAACTACCCTTGCAGTGATGATGGATCTACTAGTACATTATCTATGTCTTGTCCTCCTAGTTTCTCTAATACTATTTCCCCTGATCTATGCTCACAATCTCTACAGCTTTACCAACTTCTACGTAGTTTTTGCATCTGAAAGTACAAAGCAAAAATGTAATAAAGCACTATCAATTTACTTGTGATATATTGATTTCAGGGCAAGAGAAAAAAAGGTAGAAACCGCATATCATAATCAATATAATTGAAAATCAAATATGTATAATCAAATAGCTTTAATTGCACATACTAGTGATGATTTAATCTTTTAAAATTGAGCATGAATTTTGACTCTCTCTTGTTAAAGCATGGCCACTTTATCAAAATGTGCTTGAACAAATAATAATAATGATAATAATAATAATAACCTGCACACATGATGTGATGGTCAACTGCCACATAAATGAGTTGATATGCACTTGGTAGCCTGAGAAATAATATCAGGTATTGATTTGAGCAGCAATAATACCACAGAATTATCAACTACACAAGCATATGATATGGTGTTATATAGCAAAATTTCATGCATAACTTGCTGTGGCCGTGTCCTCCTCAAACTATCGTGCACATCAGCTTTTGATTTTCAATGTCATCAAAATGTTACATTGTTGTTAGTAAGATCTATGTATCTGCTATTCAAATAGTATCGTTTGGAAAATAACTAAATAATTTAATTATGCTTTTGCAACACGAAATTATCATTAACTTTGCCGGTTCACGTGTACACAGTACCTTGCTATCAATGCTGCTCTTTTCTCCCCAACTCGCCACTGACAGGCTAACCACATCGTTCCAAAACAAAGTTGGCATGATTCTTTACTTTTGGTGTTCGCAGTTTCGCCCCGGAAACATCGTCTGCGGTTAAAAACAACGTATCGTATTCACCCATCTTTGCATTGCTCCTGTACAAAATGTCCGCTTGACGCCCGCCCAAGGGAAAAATCGTAGCACGTGGGTAGTTACGCAAGACCTGTGACGTATAACGCGCGCGACCTTATTGTGACAAACCTTGGGCTAGTGATGTTGCTAAAAAAACGAAAGACATTAAATGTCTAAAAATCACCCAACTATTGTTTTACCTGATGCAACTGTTCAGTATTCAATAAGCAAAATTATTTCTGAGGGTGTTTTATGAAGGCTTAATTATACTTACTGTCATCAGTTTCCATGGCAATGTTGTTCAGCAAATGATTTGAGCAAATGAACAGAATCTCCTTTTCATCTGACTCTGGGTATTGAGTGCACATGTTATGGACCAAGTCCTCAAGGACATGTTGCTCAACAAGAGAAAAGATGCCATGAAGTTCTTCCACCAGTTTCTGCTTCTTTAGACTTAGGTCAGTCATGTTGTAATAAGGGGAGAAATATCACCAGGCAATTCATTTAGGCAGCCAGAGAATCTGAAATTAAGATATATGTTTTATTATCACATTTTAACCAGACAAATCCATATTGCTGGGAAGCACAGATGCCAGTATTACTGGTGCAAGGGGGTAATGATGGTGGGGAGTAAAGATGAGAAACAGTCCAGTTAAATCTCTAAAAATCTTGCTTTTAAAATTTGATGCTAAGTTGCAAGACTTTAGAATATCCCAGAAGGTTCCCTTTCCAGTTCAATGGACATCTTGGATTTTTTGTTGTTCACAGTTGCTTATATTGTATCACTGTTGTTTATTTTAGTTTTTACTTCTCAAAGAAAAACAATTCCAGACACTTATCTCTCTCTCTGGACAAAAAGAAAACTAATAATCATTAGGCATGTACTACAGAGTTACAGCTTGGACGAGACACTATTTACTAACATGGGAAAGCTAAGAGCCAAGAGGAAAAGATGGCCTAACATATTATGATGAGCTGAAAAAATCAAAAGGCTAAAGACTGGTGTAATGTACTATTCTGCATGAGAGTAACTTTGTGCCAGTATATATAGTGTTGTGAGTAGTGTTCAACTGGCTGTGACCTGTAACCTGGTAACTGTTCTACATTGCTCAATTAGGGTATATTCCCAGAGATTTAGATCGATCCAGGGATTAAGATTTAGATTGACCTAACTCCATGGGGGTTCACGCTAAATTGCAGTCAGCCGAGCGCGCACCATAGTTAATTACCCCCTTACAGCTTTCAGAAGGCGGGACAGACGCTTAAGCCGGCTTAGCTGACAGTGATCTAGTGAGACTCCCCACAGGGACAGATCAATCTAAAATCTATGGAAATGGGGTCTTAGACTACCATCCACTGGACACAGAGAAGTTATGGGACAGTCAAGTATGTTGATCAGATTCTGCTGACTCCATGCTCTGAGCACAGACTACAGATTTCCTGCTGCTCATTCATCTTATTTTGCAGACTAAGCATATTTTGCTGATTCCATCAGATTTTACTGACTTCAGGTGAAGTTTAACCTGGTTACTGCTCTACATAATCACTGCTCACTTCTGTCATCCACTGGACATAGAGAAAATATGAGACAGCCAAGTTTGATAACCAGATTTTGCCAACTCCACATTCTGAGCACTGACTACCGATTTTGCTGATTCATATTCATCTATAATTTCTTATTCTATTGGCACTACTATATAGTAATAGCCGTCATATGCTGCTTCCACTTACTTACTGATATATTTCACTGTGATAAAAGACTACCAGGCCCATAGCCAGCAATTTCAAGAAGGGTGTTCTTTTCTGAAAAAGTGGACCTTTCCTAGCTATAAACAGTGTATAAAATATTACCCAAAGGGGACCTTTTCCTGGCCCCTGGGACCTTTACGGACCCCATAGCCAGCAATTTCAAGAAGGGTGTTCTTTTCTGAAAAAGTGCACCTTTCATGAAACAGTGTATAAAATATTACCCAAAGGGGACCCTTTCCTGGCCCCTGGGACCTTTACGGACCCCCTGAACCCTCCCTGGCTAGGAGCAAGACTACCTTTGTCAGCAGAGAGGTTTTCCCAGGGAATGAATTAAAAAAAAAAATCCAACTACAGTGACTTTGCAGTTGTTTTCCACACTACAACTGCGATTGTTGGAGGTGGAGTACATGGTGCAGAGGGCAATGGCTTGTCAGGATTAACCAATCCATAGCTGTTAATGATGATGAATATTGTTAAAAAATCATGTGGATCCTAACACTGCATAACATTCAACTGACTGTGACCTAGCTATAACCAGGTGAAGTTTTACCTGGTTACTGCTCTACATAATTATTGTTCACTTCTTTCATCCACTGGACACAGAGAAGATTATATATGCATCAGCCACGTATGCTGACCAGATTTTGCCCACTCCATGTTCTGAGCACAGACTACAAATTTGCTGATACATATTCATCTAATTTTGCTGACTCATATTCTGCTGATTACATCAGATTCTACTGACTACAGGTTAAGTTTTTTACCTTGTTACTGCTTTACATAATCATTGCTCACTTCGCTCATCCTTTGGACATAGAGAAGATATGGGACAGCCAAGTGTAAAACCAGATTTGCTGACTCCACATTATGAGCACCAACTACAGATTTTGCTGATTCATTTTCATCTAATTTTGCTGACTCGGCACATTCTGCTGATTACATCAGATTCTACTGACTACATTACATCAGATTCTACTGACTACAGGTTAAGTTTTTTACCTGGTTACTGCTTTACATAATCATTGCTAACTTCGTTCATCCTCTGGACACAGAGAAGATATGGGACAGCCAAGTGTTAAACCAGATTTGCTGACTCCACATTATGAGCACCAACTACAGATTTTGCTGATTCATTTTCATCTAATTTTGCTGACTCAGCACATTCTGCTGTTTCTATCAGATTCTAATGACTTCAGACGACGTTTTACCTGGTTACTGCTCTACATAATCATTGCTCACTTCTTTCATCCTCTGCACACAGAGAAGATATGGGACAGCCAAGTTTGTTAACCAGATTTTGCCCACTCCATATTCTGAGCACGGACTACACATTTTGCCAATTCATTTTCATCTAATTTTCCTGACTCAGTACATTCTGCTGATTACATCAGATTCTACTGACTTCAGGTGAATTTTTTTTTTTTTTTTTTTTTTTTTTTTTTTTTTTTTTTAAATCTGGTTACTGGTTTACATAATCATTGCACAATTCTTTCATCCTCTGGACACAGAGAAGATATGGGACAGCCAAGTTTGTTAACCAGATTTTGCTGACTCCACATTATTAGCCCTGACTACAGATTTTGCTGATTCATTTTCATCTAATTTTGCTGACTCAGCATATTCTGCTGATTACATCAGATTCTACTGACTTCAGGTTAAGTTTTTTACCTTGTTACTGCTTTACATTATAATCATCCCTCACTTCTTTCATCCTCTGGACAGAGAAGATATGGGACAGCCAAGTTTGTTAACCAGATTTTGCTGACTCCACATTCTGAGCACTGACTACAGATTTTGCTGATACATATTCATCTAATTTTGCTGACTCAGCACATTCTGCTGATTACATCAGATTCTACTGAATTCAGATGAAGTTTTACCTGGTTACTGCTTCACATAATCATTGATCACTTCTTTCATCCTCTGGAAACAGAGAAAATATGGGACAGCGAAGTTTGTTTTAAAACCAGATTTTGCCCACTCCACATTGTGAACACTGACTACAGATTTTGCTGATTCATTTTCATTTAATTTTGCTGACTCAGCACATTCTGCTGATTACATCAGATTCTACTGACTTCAGATGAAGTTTTACCTGGTTACTGCTTCACATAATCATTGGTCACTTCTTTCATCCTCTGGAAACAGAGAAAATATGGGACAGCCAAGTTTGTTTTATAACCAGATTTTGCCCACTCCACATTCTGAACACTGACTACAGATTTTGCCGATTCATTTTCATCTAATTTTGCTGACTCAGCACATTCTGCTGATTCCAGATGTTTAGATGATTCTACTTCACATTCCATTGACTTCATATTCTACTGGTACTACTATAGTCACAGCTGCCATATGTTGCTTCCACTTATTTACTAAGCCAGCAATTTCAAAAAGGGGGTTCTTTATCTGAAAAGTGGACCTTTTACCATGAAACATTAGATAAAATTTTACCCAGAGGGAATCCTGGCAAAAGGTTTTTTTTTTTTTTTTTTTTGGGGTCCCTCAACATTCCCTGACTACAAGTCTGACTACTTTTGTCGGCAGAGAGGTACTTCTCAGGGAATAAATTAAATTTTAAAAATCAAATACAGTAACTATGCAGTTGTTTTCTACGCTACAACCGCGATTGTTGGAGATGGAGTACATGGTACGGAGGGCAAAGACTTGTCGGGATCGACCAATACATTGTTGAATATGATTTATCTTATTAGAAAAACTTGCACAGTGGTACTAGTTTCAGTAACATCCGTTCGTGTCTTCCTTGTTTTTAGAGCGACACTCGTCTGAAACAGTTAAATCCTTCATCCGTTATATATTCAGACCTACTCACGTTTTTGGAAATTCCTCGGTACAGGATAAATATTGCGAAGAAGAAACATTGAAAGTATTATCTAGACTTAAAATGAAAGTGCAAGATTTTTGTTAATATGACGTAAAAAAGCAATATAACTGAAGAAGGATGTATCACAACGCTTCAGTAAATTTTTGCATGCCACTTCGCCTAGTTTGACTTTTCGAAATCGAGACACTGCTTTGGAGAAGGCGAATGCAGCTGTTGACTAAAAACTGCGATAAAATTCACAGTTGCAGTAAAGAAAACTGTATGATACTCCTGTTACAGAAATCTGTACATAATATATGAATTTATGTTGAATTATTTGTAAAGTACTTACGAATTTCACAACTTTGTTCGGGATCTTGTTTCACATCAAGAAGCCTTATTCTTTATTTCGTAAAATAACCGGATGTTTGCTATACAGAAGCATGCATATTTACGCAGGCGCAGAGCAGTTGTTGTCATCGATACAAACATTGAATATTTCACATGCTGAACGTCCTCCTATTATATTTGGATTTTATAATACCGCCTATTGGAATCTAAAATAACGCCTAATATGAATATGGTTTGGGATAAATGATTTATTTTAAGCAAGGATTGCAAGAAACAACGGTAAGAGAATTGTATTTTTTTTCAAGCACCTGCTTACACGTTTTTTGGAATCTCTACTTTTTTTGAAAGTTAGAAAAGGAAATCTGAAAGAAAATCATCATACTCAACTCAATTCTCCCAAAATATTTTCCAGAGTGTTAAATGGGGCATGATATACCGTTTATTGAGAAAGTCTTATTGGAATAAGTTTCTGTAGGCTGTTGCATAATTATGTGAGAAAGAGAGCACATTGGAGAGTATTCTACTTTTTGTTGTGTTTACATGCATCAAAGTATGCATTTTATTGACAGCTGCAATTATAATGATACATAATGTTTATTTATAGTGCTTGTTTTGTTATGCACAGTAAAAAGCATGGCAATTTTATGCTATGTACACATGTATGACATGTACTGTATGACACCATTTTGAAGCAGTGTATGCACATTTTAGTATGCAGGTTGTTAAATGCCATTATCAATGGTCATTTTGCTTTATTGTCTTCCAGTAACACAATGGATGACTATGAATATGGTGGTACAGGTGGGGCCTACATGTCAATGCCATACCATAACTCGGAGGCAGTGCGTTTCTCCATGACTGCTCCCAACATGGCCACCTTCTATGTGAAGGAATCCTACACTACAAATGTCTTGAGAGAACCTAATTATAATGCATATGCTAGCTATGGGAGGAGAACAAGACCAGCCTCAGGTACGTGACACATTTAATGAACTGAGAACAAGCACAGTGCCCTTGGTTGAAGAGCAGTGCAAATCTGTGTTGAGACAGTATAGTTTATAAATAGCTTGATATGGCAGGTTAAGTTTGTATTACATGTACTGTATGTACCTGCAGATTATATTGTATGCCTTAGGCCATTTTTTTCTGAAGATATAACATATTTTCAAGATGTTCTTTTAAAGATACTTACATAAATTGGCTTTGTTGCTTCTGATACTTCCAATGGAAGGACTGGCTATCTTACTGTGCTTGAAATCTGTCAGTTAAGGTTCTGTTAAATCACAGTGGTTTTTATGACTAATTTGAACAAATATGCTGTCCACATGAGGTAATAAAATCACCCTTAATGTACGTACTTTAGTATTTTAAATGAGAATCCGTATATCTTTATTTTTAACCCCCCCCCTCCAAAAAGGAATTAAGTACTACATAGAGTGCAGGATTGTTAAAAGTATTCCCACATAGCCATGTGGGTTTCTTAATAAGTGAAAATACGTCATATCTGTCTTAGTGTATACTGATGTATTTCATGAAATTTTATTTTTAATGGATAAAAAGATATTTCTCTCAAAAAAGTAGAAGTTGCTTTTAACAACTTAAAGAAAGTTTGTTTTACATTTACATATTAATGTCCACATGCTATTTCGCAGATTTAAAAAATATTCAAAAGAAACCATGTGTGCAGGTTTGGTTATCACTTAGGTATTTTATGCTGTTAATATAAAGTTATTCATTTTGCTGTAAGTTAATGAATTAATTGAGAATTAAGCAGTGTTTATATCAAGATTTGGCTCTTTTCAAGTTTTGTTTTTGATCACCTATTTAGGTCCAGTTACATATGATTAAAAAGTACAAAAAAGTTGTGAAAATGATTATTTTTTATTTGAGTTAGTGGATTAGAAAATAATTCAGTCTTGCAATTTTTTTTTTCTCTTGGACAGTTAATTCATTGATATAAAATTAATTTTGCAGAAATATAGAGTAGGGATATTTAATGTAGATTTTTACTTAGGAGATAAGATAATGTTCTTCAATTTGGTAATAAAATATTTATTTAACTTTTACCTATCGCCATTTGTGACCTAAACTTAAAGTGTAATATGTTTCCAATTACAATGAAATACTTTACAAAACCTTTTGATGGGAATATTGCATGTTAGAATAATGAATAAGGACTTGAAATCCCTCAGTATATTATTGTAGCTGCTAATGATGCTGAAGGTCACCAGTGACTGTTTAGAGATTTGCTCTTTTCCAATACTTTTAGGTTAGTCAATTAGTAATCTATTAACAGTGCACTTTGGGATTAGGTAAATGGTTTGTGACACGCAAAAAAATCCTTATCTCTTACAGTAATCAAATGCCATAGTGTTCAGCAGATGTTCCTGAAGCAAATCGAATCTGAAACTGAACAAGAAGCATGCATTTTTAAGGAATGGATAGTCCCCATATACTTTGAACACTGATTTCTGATTCTAATGTATTAGCATTTGTGCAAAATAAAAAAAGAAAAAGAGAAAAAAGTTTATACAATATAATTGTTTCACCTCAGTCACTGCTGCTTTAAACTTTCTGGAGTAACCTAAATTTTAATACGATAAAAATATAAAAAGTAGTTTGATTTTAATGACCCAGACAAATTATCATAATATTCAATTCTTAATGCAATGGCTTAAACAGCAGTTGAATGCTATTTGTGAAGCAAACAAAAAGGTTACCGAGTTGTCAGGGTGGTGGGCAGGAAAAGAATTTGCTAACTTCTCACACAATTATTTACATAGGAGCGTTAGGTTTACAATAACAATCTACTTCCATCAGTGTTTGTGCAAACAAGGGTAATGTGAAGAATAATTGATATGAAGCATAAACAAGTTCAATTTTTTTTTTTTTTTGCCAAAATAAACCAAATTGGGTGACACTGATAACATTTTATGCGTGTATGTATAAAAGATGAAGTTGTTTTTTAAAACTAATAAATAAGTTAAAACGTATTGAGTGGTCCTGGGTATAATGCTACAGTGCACACAATTCTCACAAATAGAAAAAACACTTATTCATATATTGATTGAAGATTTATACATTTTTTCATGATTAGACATTGAATTATTACCATTACAGCACCGGTGAGAGCTTATACCACATTACCATGGAGACAGTCTAGTCACATCAGCCCCAGGGAGAAATACACCAGTGATTCACAGAGATATATGTCTTCACCCTCAGACCTCGTGAGACGTGCACCATATGCTCGTACGTACATCATATATGACAGTGTATTTTCTGATTGCATGTATTTCAGATAGAACCTGTTACGCTTAATAGTTTCTGCATGCCAATATGTAATCTTTGTAGATTGGTTAGGAGTACCAAAGATGCATTTTTTTTTTCAGCACTAGTTTTTAACTTTTTTTAGAATGAAGATATATGACAGAGTATTTTCTGATTGCATGCATTATTTAGATAGAACTTGTTATGCTTAATGACATCTGCATGCCAAAATGTCATTTTTGGGAGTACCAAAGATAAATGCATTTTTTTTTTTTTTTTTTTTTTTTTTTTTTTTACTCAGCCCCAGTGTTTGAAGTTTTTTTTTCTTTTGGAATGATTAAGATACAATTGAATTAATTGTTAAAACAAAATAATCCTTTATCTGTGAACTACAGAAAGATATATACATTTTTCTCAATCATCATTTGATATTTGATTAAAAGATAATGATAATGATTCAAAATTCTCACATACACTATGATCTCAGTTGGTGCAGAAAAGGATGTTCTATTAAAATACATCGATATGTTTTTAATAAGTGCTTTTGGTTTTCAGCTCGTACAAGAGAAAGTTTCTCTGGGTCTGCTGCAGGGAGTCCAATGTTAGATTATGGTAAAACAATTGGCATTCCAAACTATAACTCCATATGTGATCCTCACCTCACTGAATATTTTCAACGCAAATTTGGTGCTCCAAGACCTCCTTCAGGTGTAAGTATTATCAAGCCTAATTCCATCTTGTTATGAAAGTAAAACAAACTAGAAAAGCACTCCAAGAGTGCAGACCACTCCAAGGCAGCAATTTTTTATTATTATTATTGATTATTGATTGATTATTGATCCGGATCACCACCAAAAACTAATCATCTCTTCCTTGGCCCACTTCTGACAGCTCCTGAAAATTTCATCAAAATCGGTCCATAACTTTTTGAGTTATGTTGATGACAGACAGGCAAACAAATTAACAAACAGACAAACAGGGCTGAAAACATAACCTTGGTGGAGGTAACAAGCAAACAAACAAACAAACAAACAAGAGTTTGGCAGATTATACGCAATGCTTTTAATTTTTCATTTTATCACTTTAATTATGAGTCCAGAATCATAAGCTAAGGCGCTATAGGAAGACTTAAAGCATGCAAATTTAGAAAGGCTTGCAGTTTTAACCCGATCTTGATACATGCTACAGGAAAAATTTCTCCTGTCTCTCTAGCAGAAGTATCTAGGAACATCTAAAAGTAAACTAATGGATGCCTTTTCAAAATGATTTAAAGCATAAATGGTTTTTGTTCATTTTCAGATTCGCCCTAGATCACCCCGTGGCAAACAATACTCATACGCAGGCAGAGGCAACAAGAGTCCTCGAGGTGCTAAAGCTAAGAAGGGGGATGTTCTGTATAAAGTGGCAGTTACAACAGGTGACAAGAAAAATGCAGGGACTAGTGCTAAGGTAATATATTTTTTAATTTTTTTTTTTGTGCTTTTTTTATTGCTCACAATTCCATTGGAAGCAACTGTTAGATAGGATTTCTGATTGTTTTTGTTCTTTTCAGAATTTGCAATAAATCTTAATCTATTTATTTCTTTCAGGTATATCTCAGGTTAAAAGGTACAAAAGGCAAAATTCCTAAAACCAGACTCACCAAGAAGGCAGGGTCAGTTAAGAAAACCAAGGCAGTATCTTTCAGGTTTAATAAGGGAACCACTCATATCTTCAAAATCAAAGGTGCAGATATTGGAGATCTCAAGTCTCTTTCCATAGAGGTATGATTTCTACAACAACTACCATAATAGCACTTCAATAAAATTCTTTTTTCTGGTTTTGCTCTTTCATGTAATGTATTTGACAGTTCCAGATTAATCATTGCCAGATTACATTTAGATGGGTAGTATACTTTGAATATCTCTGATATTTACATACTTCTAATGTCTCTCTTTACCAGCATGATGGGTTGACCAAAGAAGATAGCTGGTTTTTGCAAGAAATTGAGGTGGTGAACACTGCTAACAAGAAAGCCTGGCTCTTCCCCTGTTCTCAGTGGTTGTCACTGTTTGAATCTGACTGTCAACTCAGCAGGGAACTTTACCCAAGGAGGCACACAAAGACTGGTCAGTTGCTTATTTATTTAAAAGAATTTATTATAATAAAAAGTTTTTTTCGTGTAGTGGGTGGCTCGAAAAATGTTACTTATTTCAAAGTTCAATTACTTCAACAGTTCACAAACATTTGAATTGAAATTTTGCAGTTTTTNACATTATGTAATATTATTTTATGCACTGTCATAATTTTTTAAATATTGAGACTTTCATCATGTGACTTTGGTCTCTCATGGTCCTGATACTGTAATCTTATTGAAGGGATGGATTGAGACCATCTTCTGGGTCAGCTTCCTGAAGACATTCGGATTTTTAAGTTTATATTGACTGATATTTATTTTTTTTCTGTTGGAAGATCATCAAAATAGAGGATGGATCAACAAAGATACTTTGGAATACTGTCAGAAAATATCTCTGGGTCAGCTCCTGTTATTGACCATGTTACCTGTTGCATGATTAAAATTCAGTGTTGACTAACAGTACTATTATAAGCATTATTTATTATTGCATCAAAATGGGCAAAATGACCTATTTTGCATCATTATTTTCTGTTTTTTGTCTGTACATTTGACAGCTTTGCTGTCTTGTTTATACATTATTTTTGGTCAACGCTTAAAATTTCAACTGTTTAAAATGTAAACAGTTGTGATATCATCATCAAATCAAAAACTGATGGGCAGGTGTCAAAACTGACAGACACTTGCACCTGTCAGAAGTCCCATAGGCCAACAGGGCATTTTTTTTACTTAGACTCCTAATTTTTTTCAGTGTGCCAAAGGTAAAAGAAGAAAAGTCATGAAATTTTCAGCATAAATTTTATTAAAAACATCATTTTTAAAATATCCCAAATTTCATTGCAATTTCTTTATGTTGAAGCTATTGAAATTTGAAATTAGTAATATTTCTTTTCTTTAGCTACCCAATATATGTGAGCAACAGAGATATATGATTGTATAGATATAAATCAGCACTGCTAACACAGTGTAATTCAGTTATTTTTGATGTTCTAGCAGTTTCAATATCTTTCCCAATCTATCTACTCACCTCATCACTGGCACATATCACACTAGAAACTTAGGACAGTATTAGATTTTAAAGAATTGTGCATCTGTCTATATAAATAAAAACAATACATATGTTTTTTGTTTTTCAGAATATGAGATAGTGACAGTGACAGGGGACTGTAAGGGTGCTGGCACTGATGCTCATGTCTATATCACTATCTACGGCAAGAGTGGAGTGACTCCTAAATTACAACTGAAAAATAACAGCAAGGACTGCTTTGAGAGGAGCCAAAGTGATATCTTCCATGTGAAAACCAGCTGTGTTGGGCCCATGGAAAAGATAAGGTAGAGGGAACATTTCTTTATGAAATAAATCTTATTATCTTTAGAAATGTAATTGGTTATGTTGTGGACAATGCAGATTTCTTGCCATCTGAATTCATGATATCTTCTAAAATTGATGCCTGGTACCACAAATAGAAAACATGTATTATTATCATCATCAAGTAAATATGATTCTAACTTATCATGTTGTCTTTTGTTTTGACCAAGTTTTTAAAAATTTATTTTAGGATAGAACATGACAACCTTGGTCGTGCCCCGGGCTGGTTTCTGGATAGAGTAAGTGTCCATGGCAACTGGATATAACTCGATCAATATAGACATGTGGTGTCTGCAGTGAAAATCAAGCTAATGGTGTATCATTGAAATCGCATTGAAATGACACATTTATCGGTAACATTGCAATAATGATGGCATGCTTACAGAATTTTAATCCAATTAGCAATAAACAAGCAATTATGGTTTGAGCTTTATTTCTATCTTGATGAAGATAGCAGTTGTTTTCCTTTGATCTCTCTCTCTGCATTTACATATAAATGAACATATAAATGTAGCAGTATATATGTAAAGTGCTGTTTGTTTTAAGGTTGTTGTCACAGACCAGAAACATCCCAAGTGGAAATATTTCTTCCCCTGTAACCAGTGGCTGGCCAAGGATGAGGGCGATGGACTCATAGCAAGAGATTTGATGGGGAGTAAAGACCCCATGGCCATAAGAAAAGGTATTTGCTTGTGTAGTCATTTTGAACTTTGATAGAGGTGGGGAATTGAGGAAGTTTGATGACTTAAATGGGGAAAAGAGAATGACAGGCTTAAATCCTTGATAGAAACAGTTGCCCAGGTCTTCTGCAGCCAAATGTGACAACGTTTATTCCAAAAGAAAGATCCATAATTACAACTAATAAAACTATAACTATGATGCTTACTGTATGACACTGAACATTATACTATGTCATGTTATGTGTTATTATATCATTTGTATCAATTTTGTAGCCAACAAGTACAGAATAACAGTGTTCACAGCAGACAGAAGAGGTGCAGGCACAGATGCTAATGTTTACATGACCCTGTTTGGTGAAAGTGGAGACACTGGAGAGAGAAAACTGGACAACTCTAATAATAACTTTGAAAGAGGACAGTAAGTGGCCATAATTACTATCAGCAAGCCAGTTGACAGGTTTGCTTAGAGACACATAATACTGTTGGATTGATGTATTTATTGAATGCNTTGGATTGATGTATTTATTGATCGTATTGTAATTCATATTTTTGTCAATTATTCTATATTAATAACTGCATGTACTTGATTGCTTTCTTTGATATTTTATGAAAGAAGTGTGAACATTCTTAATAGAAGATTAATAAATATAGGATACCATAACATCTGTTAAGGAATTGTATTGTAAATGAGATTGCATCAAAATATTCGAAAATTAAACATACTCTCTTTGATATTTAGGAAAGATGAGTTTCTAATAGAAAGTCCCAACCTTGGTCCCTTGAAGAGGTTGAGAGTAGGACATGACAATAAGGGCTTCTCGGCAGGCTGGTATCTGGATAAGGTAAGCTCCTTAGCACACTCATCTATGTCACCTAGCACACTCAGCGACTCACACATTCTACTGTCTTATCTAGCATTCATAATAGTCTTGCCTGACACACTGGACACTCACACCCAGCATCTGGCACATTTATCATTCTCATCTAAAAAATTCAACAGTCTTGCCAAACTCAATATAATTAAGGTTCATTCACCCTTTGCTACCCGAGAACCAAATGATGTCAGTCCCTCGCAACAGCAGCCATCCATAGCTGTTCAAAGTATAAAATTTAGAATAAAACTTCTGCTTATAGAATCAAATTGATGAAAAATGAAAGCATCTGTATTTTAGTGGGATTTTTAAAAGCATTAAATATGTTATTTTGTTAACATATCAATGTTATTGTCAAAAGTTGACTGCCTATTTCTCTAATCATTTGTGTACAATGTTTTGAAATTCTGCAGTTGGCTGGTGACCTTCATGGCTGACAGTAAGCTTGTATTTAAAAAATTTAAGGAGCAGACATTTGTTTGTCATGAATTATTAATCAGTCCAAGATGATTCATATTCATTCCAAGAAAACACAGGGTCCTGATGAGCTTCTTTATCTATAATATGGTATGTATAATTGCTGTATTTCAGATTATAGTAGATGATCTAGACCAGAGTAAAGTGTATGAATTCCCCTGTGACAGATGGCTGGCCAAAGATGAAGATGATGGTCAGATATCCAGGGAACTACTAGTGGGTGTTGGCCCACATGACCCTACACCAGGTAAGATATTCATTCTTTTTCGTTATTAATTTTTAATTGTAAGCCAATCAGTTTTTAGAATTTTGATTTCCCAGTTACCTTGTGGAAAACATTGGTGGGATTTATTATATTTGTTGAAAGTACTTGTGTAATGTGTAGTGAAAATTTGTCAAAAAATATCGCACTCATTGGAGGTACATAGACTTTAATTTTTGTGCATGTCCTCATTCATTTTTATGATGATCACTTTTCTTTGTTTGCTTCCAGGAATTCCTTATCAAATCCATGTAACAACGGGAGATGTGCGCCATGCTGGGACGTCTGCCAGGGTGTATGTGGAGATGTTTGGAGGGAAGGGTGGCAATGAAACCAGCGGGAAGATCTGGCTGGAGAATGGGAAGTTTGAGAGAGGAAGGACTGATATCTTCAATGTAGAGGTCCTGTCCTTGCTGAGTCCACTGTCCAAGCTGGTCATTGGTCATGATAACTCAGGGTCTGGAGCTGGATGGTTTTTGGAGAAGGTAAGCCAGAGAATGCTTTAAAGTAAAAAAAAAAAAAAAAAGAAACATTGTTCGGAGTGTGATGTCAAAAACAGGTTTAGTTCTGAGTTTCTTTGTATGTAGATCTATTTGAAGTGCTTTGAGTCATCTAAAACAGTATTTTTCTATCTTTTCCAGTATTCAGATATTCTGGTTACCTTATTTATGATATTTTGTTTGCGCTCTAGGTCATTGTGATTTGCCCACTGTCAGGCTATGAGCAGCACTTTCTGTGTGGAAAGTGGTTTGCAGATGATGAAGATGATGGTGTTATAGAAAGGACACTGTATGAGCATGAGTCTCTCAGGAAGAAAAAGAAGAAAAGTAAGTTTCATCAGGTTTGAAAATGATAAGTGGAAATATGTCACAGCATTGGATCCAAAAAATCCAAATTTAAAAAAGCAGATGGACTTTTTCAGGGCTTACTTTAGAAATTAATGTTAATTTTACATTATCTATTACCCTGTGCATCTGTAGACTTTTCATACATGTAGGAATGCACACGTCTTGAATATCAGTGCTCAAACTATAAATATACAGGGTAATTCATAATGTAAGATTTACGCAAGTTTACATATAATGCTGAACACACATCACATACACGTGTGTGATGTGTGTTCAGCATTATACAATGTATGTAAGACATGAAGCCAAGCATTTGTCACTTGATTACCAAGTAATAATTATTTCTTAATGTACCACTGTCTATTTGCTGTATTTTCAGAGGACACCTGGTTTGCGCGTATCTACACCAGTGACATACGGGGTGCTGGCACAGACGCCAATGTCTACATGGTGTTGTATGGAGACAAGGGGAAATCAGATGAAGTTAAACTGGACAATGAGACTGACAACTTTGAACAGGGCCAAGTGGACAAGTTTAAGATTGAATTAGATGAAGTGGGCAAGCCATACAAAATGAGAATACGCCATGATGGCAAAGGGTCTTTTGCTGGCTGGCATTTGAACAAGGTATAATGAAAAAATGGTGTTGATAGTTATTGAGTGATTTTCTTGATAGATTCCATAAGAGTCCACATTGCTCTTAGTTGTAAAAAATTATGGAGATAATATTTAAGTTAACTTTTTAAAGTAAACCACACTACTTTGGTTAGTCCTGATCTAAATATTGGACTTATTGGTCTTAAATGTTGTACTAGTTATTTAAACAGTAACAGAAACAGATGATTTATCTGAGGCAGTGTTCCAAGAATAGGCATAACTGCAATTGAAGTGAATATCGAAAGATGTGATTTGACCTTTTTTGTCTTCATTTAAGGTTGAACTGGAGAATATGCAAACCAAGAAGAAGTATGTGTTCAACTGTGACCAGTGGTTGGCTGAGGATGAGGGTGATGGTGAAATTATAAGAGAGATGCCAGCAGAGGGAGAGGATATCAAGAAGCCTATGCCATGTAAGTCTTCAGAAAAACCATTTGATTGAAACTGCATTTAGTTTAACACATATCCATACGAGCTTGACTACACAATGGTTTACAGTTTCAGTATTGTAAATTGTTTATTCATTTTTTGGAAAGATTAATGATTAGTCAGATATAGCTAGTGAAAGAAATGTGAATACTATTTTTATGCAGTTTTAAGATTTCATGCTCCACTCCTTCAACTATATAGTAAAACTATTGTCAACATGGTATAAATTTGAAGAAATTGGCAATGTTGTTTTATGATAAGATATCAGCTAGAAGTTAAATTTCACAATTGTATTATTATTGCTTCTGGAATGTTAACTTTTTCATTTTCTCTCCATATTTCATCTAGTGGTGACATACAATGTAGAGGTGCACACAGGCAAAAAGTTTGGTGCAGGGACAGATTCCAATGTCTTTATAAATCTGTTTGGAGAGTTTGGTGACACTGGAGAGAGGCCACTGAAGAAATCAAAAGCGAACATGAACAAATTTGAAAGGGGAAATGTAAGTGCTGGAGCTCTATATAGATCTAATTTTTATTCTGTAATTTTTTTTACACTCTTTCACACTTAGAGCCAAGTGAAAGAAATATGTATGCAAAAGATAAATAGAAGGTCATAAACAGAATTTTTGCACCTTTAGTAAGTTAGTATAAAAAACAAGATAAAAAAGGATTCACAGTTATAAATAAGTTTTTAGCAATTACAAAATTTAAATAGAATTGCTTTGAATGAATTTTTCCATTGCAGGTGGATGAGTTTATAGTGAAAGCAGTAACACTGAAAAAGTTGTCCAAGATTCGTATTGGACATGATGGCTCCCAGGCAGGAGATGGCTGGTTTCTAGACAAAGTAGTGGTCAAACAAGAGGGTTCAGACAAATATGACACAGTGTTTGAATGTAATCGGTAAGTGTAACTTTTCTTATTTTATTTGTACATGACACAGTGATATTTGAAACTTGATAAAGTAAACTGGGTGACTTGATTGCTGAATGGACAAGATGGGTGCAGCATCCACCATGTCATATTTATTCACCATTTGACTGCAGTATATATCTTCAGTTTTTAGTCCATTGGTTGCTGGTTAAGACTAATAAATAGTGTTAAACAAAATCTGCTAGTTAGAAGAGGAAATCTATAAAAACATGGAAAATCTAATAAACTTGTTTAAATCTCCTTAATTCAACAAACTTTTACTAGTTAGTCTGATGCTAAATATTTAAGTCTGATCCCTCATGCCAGTGGTTAATGCCACAGGCTCATTTTTTTTCTTCCACTAAACTTTTCCAGTCATCTTTCATATGTAAGCGTTGTTCTACTTCTTATTTAGTCAGTGAACTGAGGATCATTAGGCCCCCTGTCTATATATATATATATATTTACTGTTGAATTGAAATCTGGGGTAGAATAAGTGCATATATGTATCAGTCATTTATATGTGTTTTAGGTGGCTGGCTTCAGATGAAGATGATGGTCAGATAGTGAGAGAGATCACTGCAGGAGGATCTCAGATGCTTGCAAGTGAGTATCAAATAATGTAATATGTTGGTGATTTTGAATAATATATTCTATTTCCACTTTAAAGTCTAATATATTCTATTTCCACTTTAAAGTCTAATTTATTACAGCAATAGTTTTAACATTCAAATATAAAAAATCAAAAGAGAAATGTAATTTTAGCCAAATTGAATGGTTTCCATGTTTCATTCGATTATATTAATGTCATTCAACAACTGTACTTTTTAAACACATAAAATAACTACTGAATGATTATGCTAAGTTAAAGCATAATTTTAACCATATTTATCTGTAAATTTATACACTTTAAACTACAAGGGTGTATATCTAATTGGTTTGCACACATGACATGTTTTAGGCTGTGAAGATAAAGATGGTGAGACATATTCGTGCATGGTTTGAGAAATGTAACTAAATGTATTACTTACAGGTCCAGCTGACAAGTTTACTAGTAAACTCATTGCATTTGTTTATAATGTCATGTCTTGTATGGATGTATGTGTCACAGATATTTGTATTTTATGCACAGAGTCCCTTGGATGCCTGATCAGATACATATAATGAGCATTTTTGAATCACTATGTATGCTTTTAAATGAGATGCACAACTGTTGTTTCATGAGTAAGTTTTTGCTATTTCTTTGGATTGAAACATGGTCAAAATTTGCAGTGTTCAGAGGGTTGGCATGAAAAGTGCTGCACTATTAGTTTCAGGATTTTAACTTCAAATGATGATGGGTATTATATCATAAATCACCAATTAGGCTTAATGCTGCTTTATCTCATTTTGCATGTTATCAGCTATATATTAGATAGTGATGATGATATATGCAAAAGATGCCCCAAAAATCCTTAACCTTAATTTTGATGCATGGCCACCTTTTCAGCTGCCTTGATTTTATAGATAAGTTTTATGAAAATGAAAAGTTTGCATGTCAAATCCATTAAGCGCCCAAATATTACACTGTTTTTATGTGCATCTTTCTACATGTAATACAGGGTAAAAGTTTTAGCATTTGAAAAAGAAATTAACCTAAAGCCTTGTTTGTGCATTATAGTATACTTAATTTGTAATCTTAAAAAGTAATTAAATTGCCAGCTCAAAGTACAAATATAACAGAGTTTTGACTGTAACATGATCTACCATGGATAGCATCTATATATTAGTTTTTATAGCACAGTGGTTTGTCCCAATTTTAGCTAAAATTCACTGTTTAAGAAAATAATGTATAGATTGAATTAAATGTTAATTACCTTTATTATGATTTTTCTTTTTTTGCCCTATCTGATTTTCCCTTTCAGCTCCAGGCTCAACTTGAAACTATGGAATAATTTCTGAGTTAGTGACAGCCTATTATTAAAGATAAAAAATTCATCTTTTTCAGCTACAACCTATCACATCCACACTAAGACAGGTGATGTCCGAGGTGCTGGAACTGATGCTAATGTGTTCATCTGGATATATGGTGCCAAGAACAAAACAGGCAAACTACAACTCAAAACCTCAGAGAATTACAAGAATAAATTTGAAAGGGCCAAAACAGATGTTTTCAAGCTGGAGACCACATATGTTGGAAAGGTAATGTAGTACATGACATATAAGTTCTATGCCATCCATTGCCTGATTGGTGATTTTTTTCTTAATAATGAAGTCCATAAGGCCATCTTTCTATAAATCTAATTAAATAACAAAATTATGAATATAATCTAAAATTTTTTCCATGTACAGTCAAAGAAATATTTAAAAATTTTTAAATCAGATAAGAAATACACCATAAACTGTTAAAGCATACTGTACATGTGTAATAATTTTTTCAATCTTAGCTTTTATGGGACTTAACCAAATTACTTTTCTATTAGTCAAGTTAAAATATAGAAACATGTTATATTATCTCAACTGGATGTTAAATGATCTTCAGAAACTGATATAATACTCTACGTTTTACACACAGATTGAGCGTATCCGTATCGGTCATGATGGCCAGGGTGTTGGCGCAGGCTGGTTCCTAGATGGTGTTAATATAGATGTGCCTTCCTATGGTGAGCACTACGAGTTCTCATGTCATCGCTGGCTAGCTGAAGATGAGGAAGATGGACAGATTGAAATAGAGCTGGAACCAACAGAAACCAGGAAAGGAGACTCATGTAAGTGTAGGGTGAAATTGATTAGAGTAATGCCAAATTTTAGAACTTCTGCTCTATATTTTTTGTCTAATGCATTATTATTTGATTTATGTAGTTCTTGATTTATGAACCAAATCTATTATTCAGAATTTTTTTAAGATTTGTAAAGAGAGTCCATGTGAGTGTAAAGTAATTATTTGAATATCAAATTTAATTCTTTATATTCATGTAGCATTGTTAAGTGTTTAGATTTAAAATATGCCTTAGACTATTCATCATTGTTTACTTGTATTTTTTATTAACCCAGTAATCCCCTATGAGGTGACAATATGGACAGGAGATGTGAGAGGTGCTGGCACTGATGCCAATGTCTTCATGCAAATGTATGGAGAGACAGGGAAGACAGAGGAATACAAGCTGGACAACAAGACAAATAATTTTGAACAGGGCATGATTGAGAAGTTCAAGGTAACATAGTTGTGACAGCTAGAAGTTGTGTAAAATTAAATTACTTTCTTTAGGCAGGGGAAAGATGTGTGACAAAAGATAATTGTATATTGTGACTGGTTGAGACAGAGACTGAAGAGTAAGCTAAATAAGTTGCTGTAACTTAAAACTCCTTTCCACACAAATCAACACTAAGATTGTCTTAAGTTATCTTTTAGCTTTTATCAAGAATTTATCAAGAATATATTCTTTCCTGAAAAGCAGATCACTCTAGTAACTGGCCCAGCTTAAATCTATAAATATTTGTACTATGTTACTATATGGCTTTTTGAACAAGTGTTATCCAAAATTTACAGTTTTTCAATCTATTAGTCTTTGTGGATATTTCAAACATTATGTGTGTTGATTTGGTGTGAATTCACCCAATTATATGTATTTCAGTGTCTTAATTTTCATTTGATTATTCCAGATTGAAGCAGCAGACATTGGTCCTCTGGTGAAAATTCGTATTGGCCATGATGGTGCAGGAGCATTTGCTGGATGGTTTTTAGACAAGGTATTTTATATGTATATCAACACATGTAACAGCTATACATTTTACAATGTTTTTATATTATTTTAAAGATGCAGATCTAAAATACCCCCTTCTTTTGTACATATAACATGAATAGAAACCAAAGCAGCATGCTGAAATATATTGGGGGAAGCATAATATTTATAACTTTGCTTGGTTTGCTTTTCAGGTACTCATTCAGAGGACACCGGCCAAAACCTCCAAAAGAAACAAGAAACTTGCAGAGAAGGCCAAAACAAAGAAGAAAGTTAAGCGGAAGGACAAAAATAAAGATGAGGAAGAGGACGATGAGCAAAAAGATGATGTTGTAGATGAGACAGAAGATTACTGGTTCTTGTGTAACCGCTGGTTTGCTAAAGGAGAAGATGATGGACAGATTGTGAGAGAATTGATGGCTACGGATGAACAGGGAAAACCCTTGCATGATATGGAGGGTAAGGACCAGTGGAAACTTTATTTTATTATTATATATGACTACACATTATCTTGTTATTTAATATGGACAGAGAATTTGTTTGTTTGACTTCTTTTTTGAACTTAAATGAAATAAACAAAGGCCAGTAAAACATCAAGAAATTGTAATGAAACGTTAAATGTGATGAAAACTTAATGTGTTTAACTTAATGTGTAGTTTGATATCAATTTAGATTTTGGGTTGCCTACCATAGGATGCCTAATCATTTTATGTGCCTAATAATATCAATTCACCAATTAATATAAAAATATACTGAATCAATTATTTACATATACAGTATTACAGACAAAAATTTATTTCCTATTTGTAGAAATTGAGTATAAGGTGAAAGTCCACACAGGAGACATAATGGGAGCAGGAACAGATGCCAATGTCTTCATCAACATTTCTGGAGAAAAAGGTGATACTGGAGAGAGGGCGCTGAAAGATTCACAGAATATCAACAAATTTGAACGCAATGTTGTAAGTGCAATTTAAATGCCAATCAAAGACTTTTTAGCTAATCCTTTTATCATAGATTCAGGTTTCATTTTATGTTCATTTTGATAGTATACATTGTATATCTGTATTTTTTCATATAAAATTGACATGGAGATATTGTTGATAAACAAGCAATTATGATAAAAATAAGATTATATGAGCTTGTGTAAATATCAGTTGGTGAATGAGGTCACTATTTTAATAAACAGATCTAACAGATCAATCCTCATTTCTCCAGACGGATGAATTCATTGTAAAAGCCATAGATCTTGGCAAACTGAAAAAGGTGAAGATTCGCCATGACAACAAAGGTGGTGGCGCCGCCTGGTTTCTGGACAGTGTGGAGGTGGAGGACGTCAAGAGTAAGAGAAGGTGAGGCTTTATACAGACAAGGAGCAGATTAATGAAGATACTCTTTTTTACCTCTCCATTATTAGAGGACTGTAAATTTTTCTTTTTCATGTAAACAGTGAGGTACTAAAAGATAATATTTTTAAATAACAGACTTTCCTGTTAGTCTGATATGGTAAAGGGAATGACATACCAAAGGTCTAATCTATATTGCAATTATGAATTTAATTTGAATATTGTTTCATTTATATTTCCATATGACAAATACATTGTATCAAAAATATGGTTTTATTGCATGATAATAATACACCCTTTGTTTTTCTTTTGAAGCTACTACTTCCCCTGTCAGAGATGGCTGGCCACTGATGAAGATGACGGTCAGATCGCTAGGGACCTGGTGCCTGTGGACAAGAAACTCATGGGCTTGAACAGAAAGGGCTCATTTGCTGTCAGGCAGGAAATTGCACTGGAGACCAAAGGTATATTAATATGGGATTTTAGTAGGGCTGAGATCAGAAGTACTATTGGGATGACCATTTTAAAGAGCATGTTAATGCTGTGGTTGAAGCAGTTAGTATAAAAAGTTATGCTTGACATATTACTTTGTTTTATTTTAAAATGTATACGCAGTGTGCTTAACCAAAAATTTTGAAATTTACTGTTCATTTATGTTTTTTGTCTATTTTTTCAGCTGCCATGACAACATACCATGTGATTGTTGTGACAGGCAATGTTTGGGGTGCTGGCACAGATGCAAATGTTTATGTTGTACTCTATGGAGAGAAAGATGACACAGGTAAAAAGATGTATTTTTCTCAAACAGAACACCCCACCCCCAATTTATCTTGTTGTGTAATTTTCAAATGTGACAATCTCAAGTAGAGCTTGAGTATTTTTGTGTGTTATGTTGCATAACATTTCACTTATTTAAATGGAAAGATAAAAAAAAAACAATTTTAAGTTGTGGCAAACAAGAATAGATTAATTTTCAAAATATATTTTATTATTTTCTTGTCACAGGACAAATGTTTTTGAAAGTCTCCAAAACCAACAAAGATAAATTTGAGAGGGGGAAAACAGACGAGTTTGTAATTGAAGCAGTTGACATTGGAGAACTGAAGAAAATCAAGTGAGTAATCAAAGTTACATATGCAACAAAATTTCATCTAAACTGTAGTATTGTAGTAAAAAAAATAAATGTATGATTTGTATTCAAAATCTACAAAGAATTTAAAATCTACAAAGAAAACTTTCTTTACTGCAGATATACATTGATCTTTACCTACAAGTCATAAGCTTATTTACCTTGTATTATTATTTCAATTATTTCAGAATTGGCCATGATAATGCTGGTGGTGGTGGTGCCTGGTTCCTAGAACGTGTGGAGATTGATGCACCATCTTTAGGTAGAAAATGGTACTTCCAATGTGGACGTTGCCTGGCTTTGGATGAGGATGATGGACAGATAGAGAGAGAGCTGTATCCACAAGAGCTGGCAACAGAGGCTTATGAAGCTTGTAAGTATTTTTGGTCTGCTTGAAAAAAGTTCTTTTCAATAGTCATTGAAAGATAAAACAATAAACAAAGCTTATGTATCTATTGGAATATAGTACATTGTCATATATTCTCATTGAAGTTTAATAATTAATAGCATCATATAATATAATGCACATTTTATGCCTGATCATTTTGTTTTTCATTATATTATAGTGCATAACAAGGAACTGTGTAAATCAGTGCATGATGTAAAAATATTGAACCAACATGTTCATAAACACTAAAATTAATAATTAACATACCATTTAAAATTTCATTTGATCTTGTTTGGACCAGTTAATCAGAAATGCTCATTATATATATTAATGCTTTACCTTGAATCAGGTGTTCCTTATGAGATAACCACCTATACCAGTGACATGCGGGGAGGGTCTACAGATGCTGATGTATATGTTGTGCTGTATGGTAAAGACTCCTGTACACAACAGAAATCTCTGTGCAGTAGCAAGAGGGAGAGGAAGCAATCATTTAACAAGGGAGCTGTTGACAAGTTTGTACTTGAGGTAAGATGCTCATTGGCATATACATGCAAAAAAAAAAATTATTTTTATGATAATAATTGAAAAATTTCAATTGCCTCGCTTTTCCTAATATTTTATGTTTTAGAGAGTTATCATTTCCAGACACTTACAACAATGAACTTTGTGATATAAATCCAATGAACTTTTCAAAACTTTTAAATCAATATTTTTAATTATTTAAATTATACTTTTTTGAATTTATGTTGGGGAGGGGGGATTATTAATTCGTTTTGTGAGTAATTACTATATTAGTAAAAAGGAAAGCAAATCAATAGACCTATGCTTTTAATTGTAACTTCAAGAAACAAATAAGAAAACCATTCCTCAAATAATGTCAAATTATTTTTTTTAATTAATTTGTATGGTAATACCTCTTTGCCCTGGTACTGCTTTTTTCTATCTTTTTCTATAATATGAACTTTGGCTTTGGCAGAATGTAAAGTCTCATTTTCTCTGTATATCTCAACTTCTGTCCATTGCAGTCAGGGTCTAGACTACTGTGTAATGTAGCTGTCATTTTGTGAGTTGATCAACATTCTCTCATGTTCTTTATGTCAGATTTACCTTGAATTCTGCATATAAGTTCAGTATGTGTTCATCAGTTAATGCTTATCTGATATTGCAGGCTTACTAAGATGTTGCATGACATATTTCCATAAGCTCAATTTATGTACAAGTTCATGCTGCATTCTGGCTGTTTACAGGCTTATCTCTACAATGCATGGTGTACATATTGCCATTCTGGTCATTAAAATATTTCAATTTATGCTTTGTCTGTGATTGACATGGGATAAAATTATCCAGACACATTATCGGATTTTTTTTTATTAACGATAATCTATGCAATTTACAGATACATGAAGGCAAGAAGTAATCTCATTGCATTGTACCATGTTGCTCTAATTGAATTTAAGCAGAGCCATGATTTGATTTTGTTAAGATCAAAGTTTTTTTAGTCATTGTGTTTTACCTTTCCCACTTGGGTTCTAATTAAGATCCATTTTTTTCTTTGTGCATATTACAATTAACAGATGTTAGCATTCTTCCATCCTGAAATCCTGCACAAAAACTTTTGTTTCAGCCCATATTTTCATTTATTTTAAATGGCCTTATGTCTTTGCATATTTTTACCATCAGGTGATATTTTTTATTGAATAGTTTGTTTTGGATCATTATTAGTGTTGTATTTACCTCATTAGATTTCATAATTATTCTGTAAAATCTTATTCTTTAAGAGTACACAGCTATATCATGTTAGTCTTTTTAGACAAAATATAGATTTATTCAAGTTGTAGAAATATGATCTTGGTGTCCTGGTGTAGCTTATATAAAACAGCATGTGTTTCTCCATTTTAGCTTGAAGATGTTGGGGACACTATAGAAAAGATCCGTATTGGACATGATAACTCTGGCTTTGGTTCAGGTTGGCATCTCTCCAAGGTGGAGGTCAGGAGACTGAAGGACACTGGGAAGGTGAGTGTTTGGCCTCTGACAAAAAAATTAATTCATTAATTAATAAAATTAATAAATAAAAAAACTAAAAAAAATTTAAGGGTACCTTTCAGTTTTAATTATTTGTAAAATTATTACACTATATTTTTGATAGTGTTTTTTTGGAATTGCAGTATTCTGTTGAATATAAGTATAATTTATACTTTTCAAGAAGTATTTTTAGAAGTTTTTCCACTTCTGTCAAGAATGAAAATGGGCCCTATAGGAATGGCTTCAATTTTAACAGAAGAGTCCAAAAATACATTTTGAATAATCTCCCAAGTTGGTGACACTTTTCATTTTTTTTTTCTTTTTAGGGTTCTGTAACATATGTATTCCCGTGCAATCGCTGGCTAGCCAGGGACGAGGATGATGGAGCTATAGCAAGGGAATTGGTCGCAGAGAAAATCATTGAAGAGAATGTGAAGAAAGATGGTACAGTGAAGAAGAAAGAATTGGACACGGGAGAGAAACTGAAAAGTAAGTGTGATAATTCACTGGTTGGCAAACTTATAGGGTGACATTGTTTTATTTGTTTACTTTTTGGTCACTATCAATTTTACAAGTAACACTCAAATTAGATAAATTATATTTATAACACATTTATTTTATAACACATTTTATTGGTATGATGTGGTATTGTTATCATTTTGTTTTATTAATATGAATATTATTTACTATCTAACATATATTGATATTTAATTTTCAGACAAAAAATACATTGTAAATGTGTACACTGGGGATGTCCGTGGAGCTGGAACCGATGCCAATGTTTTTATCACAATCTTCGGTGACAAAGGAGATAGTGGAGAGAGAAAACTGCTCCATTCAGAGACCAACAGGGATAAATTTGAAAGGAAACAGGTATTTTCCAGATTAGACAATTTACAATATTTGAAATAAAATGCAGTTAAAATATTTTCACAGTAGCTATGATGTCCTGGTAAAATAACAGCTAAAACAGAAGTAAAAGTGAGTTCAGAACCCCTGTCTAACAGGATTTACATTTTCTTTTAGGTTGATAAGTTCATCTTGGAAATAGTTGACCTTGGCAAGGTGTTCAAGATGAAGATTCGCCATGACAACGCCAATCTGATGGCCGACTGGTACCTGGACAAGGTGGAAGTCATTGACCAGGATGAAAACGAGACGTACACTTTCCACTGTGAGCGATGGCTGGCCAAAGGGAAGGATGACGGCAAGCTGGAACGATCACTCTATGTAAAGGTAATTACACCATATACAATACATACAGTGCAGAAAGATTAATTTATGTGAAGCATTTTGAAACATGCAGGAGTTGCATGACTTGAATACTTCAGAAAATGAATCATGTAAAAACCAAACAGATTAAAAGAAAACAAGATAATTTAGATGATCATATATACTGAAACATATAGACTAGAACATATAGACAGAGATTTAGATAGGAACCTGTTAATTCAGTGGTTTGAGAGGAAATTTTAAATATCAAGATTAGATATATCATTTTCAATTGATTGTAATTGTAAACTTTTTTGTTTTTTTTTCTTCAGGGCTATGATGGAGACATGTCCAGTATGGCCACCATGTCCAGATTTGGGTCCATAGGAAGTCTAGACTCTGTCAAGAGCACAGATCCTTTCTCCAAGAGCCCACGTCTTTCCAGAAGACAGTCTGCCATATTGGAAAATGTCCCAGAGGGACCAAGTAAGTTGTTGGCATATCAGGTCGTTTTACCACAAACAGACATGTTTCTGACTACTTCCAACAAATATCTTTTTGTATGTGCATACCAGAGTGTACATGCATACATTTTTATTTGTGTGCACATATTTGTGTGTTGTCTCCTTGAGCTGTAAATATTCAAATATCTTAAGCCCACATACATGTATACATACTTTCAAAACTAACTCTGATAGACAAGATTTCCGTAATCTATAAATAACATTTTCATGTACTCATGCTTGATACTCTCAATATTTCAGCTATCCCGTACACAATCAAGGTGACCACTGGAGATGGAGATGACAATGGCACCAGCAGCAATGTGTTTATCAAGATCATGGGAGCCAAGAAAGGTCTCCACACAGGACAGCTGCCACTGGAGCTGGTGCAGAAGGAGAAGTTCATGCCTGGCTCCATTGAGACATTCTCTGTGGAGGCTGTTGATGTGGAGGAGGTGAAGAAAATAGAGGTGAGTTGATTGTAGAGGAGTTTGTTATGATGTTGTGGGTCATGCACGTGTACTAGTAGCAAAGTGTTATTGGTGCACTGTTTTAGCATCACTGTTACAATAATGTAACATAACATAAGCAAAATCAAAATCAAATTAACAATACAGGCATGCAATATGCAGCAGATGTAGATGCAAATTGTGTTTTTAGTGAGCAGTAACTGGTGCCCCGATCTTATTTCCGTGATGTACAAAGCACTAATAACAAAATCCAAAATTCGAAACACACACATAAAATATTTATTCAAATTAATCTCTTTTGTCTATCATCTATCATCAGTATTCATGATTTAATGTTTTTTCCAGATTGGTCATGATGGAGTAACCCCAGGGACTGGCTGGTTCCTGAAGGAGGTTGATGTGGACATGCCAACCAAGGGAAAACACTACTACTTCAACTGCAAACAGTGGCTGGCCAGAGACAAGGGGGATGGGAAAACCAGCAGGGTCTTCAGCTTGCAGGATGGGGAGAGTTCTATGGTCTCTTACAAACCAAGTAAGCATGATTCCATGGTTTGATGAGGAAAGAGGAATATTGTTGTGGTGATTCTTTTGGTTGGGGAAAACATTTTGATCACTCAGCGGAATCCCTACTTTTACAACATGGCAATCAGAACAACTTGAAATGAACTGGAGAAAGTCTATCATATTCTCTCTAGAGAAATTTTGGTTAATTTAAATGATACATATTTCATTTCAGTGAAGTGAAATTATAATATATGCAATTTGTGCACACCCGTTTTATTCCAAAGATTCTTTGTTAGGTTACATGCTTGTGAGTGACTGATATAAATCTGTGATTCAAATTTTTTTTCCTTTCTTCCAGTGATACCTTGTGAGTTGACAGTCTACACAGGAGACATGCAGGGAGCAGGAACAGATTCTAAAGTCAGCATCACAGTGTTTGGGAGTACAGGTACCACCCCAGAGATCATACTGGAGAAGAATGGAGAGAGGTTTGAGAGGGGCAAGGTAGACCTGATCAAGGTGAGTTATTGCCTTGGAATATTATTATGCTGAATTTCTGATGTTGGACAAAATTTCGGCTGAATATCAGAGGTCACTGGAAACTTACCTTTATATTATCAGATTGCCTAGTTGAAAATTGGGTCATTAAGGACTTTATGTTTGTCCTTGGCTATATGTTTACTTTGAGCTATATATAATTTTGCAAAATCAAATTTTCATGTTGGAAAGATATGGGTTACCATTTTCCTTTAAATCATTGCTTATTTCAAAGATGTTTGTTTAATGTGCATTGTCCACACTACAAATTTATTGAATGTCATAGTGAACTATATAAATGTACATTTCAGCTGGAGCTTGATGAAATTGGTGCAATAAAGAAGCTGAGAATTGGCCATGATGGAAAAGGCAGTCGCTCTGACTGGTTCCTGGAAAAGGTTGAATTAAGAAATATGGATACTGGTGATCTCACTGTGTTCAAGTGCAATGACTGGCTGAGTAAAAACAAGGGAGATGGGAAAATTTCACGTGACCTGGCAGCTACGGTCCGAGGAAAGCAACAGATCAAAAGTAAGTCTATTTGCTTCTATTGTGCTAACAATGTTGAAAATATGTTGAAAACAAACAAAAATATCTTTTCTTTAATTTCAGAATAGATGGTTGAAACTTTATAAAAAATCTTGTTTTTTCTCAGTATATTTATAAAGTATATACTGGTATAATACATCAAATAATTATATTCATTGTTTTTGTTTCTCATAATTTAGAAACAAATTACAAGATCAATGTCAAGACCAGTGACGTCAAAGGTGCAGGAACAGATGCCAATGTTTACATCATTCTCTTTGGTGAAAATGGTGACTCTGGGGAACTTCATCTCAAGACTTCGGAGACATACAAAGATCCCTTTGAGAACAACCAGATTGATATATTTACATTCAGTGACTTACTGAGCCTTGGGGAGCTCATGAAATGCCGTGTGTGGCATGATAACAAAGGTGAGCAGACTTACATAAATTCACATATATATGGATTCTTGTCATACACATTAGAACTCCACATAAAAGTAGTTTTAAAATCAAACTGAAAATGATATAAATTCTTTTTTTAATGTATTTTAATAGTATTTTAATAATACATCTTTAAAGGATGCTCAAGGTATTTTTGTGGTAATGAATAGCATTTTGATTTTCTTTTTCAATGTAAATACAACGGTAAAACTGAAATATATTTATTGTTTACCTTAAATATTATAAAAGGCTTTGGAGCTGCTTGGCACTTGGATTACATAGAAGTAGAAGACTTGGGCAGCAAGAAAAAGTACATTTTCCCTTGTGGTCGCTGGCTGTCTACAAAGGAGGATGACAAACAAATCATTCGGGAACTCTCCTGCTCCAGTCCCTCCACTCCAGGGTCAAAGAAAAAACAAAACAGTAAGTTCCTGACATATTATAAAATCTAAATCCTTTTGAAGAATTTTATTTTAATTTGTGGGTTAAAGCACAGTTTCCATGATATTTTTACAGAACAATAGCTAAGAGCAGAAGAAGGTGACATGAGAGACACCTAAATGTTACAGCACTATAACTCTTATCTTAGATGTTGCTTTGAAGGAAAATAATTGTAAATACATAACTCAGTTGATGACATTCTTTAGCAAGTTCAGGCTGTAATGAACATGTCTATTCAGACTGCTGATTCTATTTCATAAGATTTTTTTGACATAAACTTTAGTGGCAGCTTAGAATCTGATGAATATACATTGAGATATATGACAAATTTTCTAGCATAGTATAATGATATCTAAGAAATAAAAAGTAATTTTGATGTATCTCATATTTCAGCCTATGAGATTACTGTGACCACCAGTGATAAGAAAGATGGTGGCACTACCCAGAATGCCTGGCTGATCCTGGAAGGAGAGGACAAGAAGAAATCCAAAGAATTCTTGATGGAGAACAGCGCTAAAAATAAGATACTCAGGAGGTAATGGGCATTTGATTGTATTGCATAAGAGTTTTGGGATGAATGTAAATTTTTTCATGTTGTTGGAGTAAAAATTTCTCTTTGAGTTAGATCATCTGCATTGAATGTGATATTGGGCTAAAATATAATATAGCTACATTTTCCATATTTTACATGACTTAAACACTGAATTCTGATATGTAAATATTAATTTTAAAACTGATAATGGAAAACAGGCATCATAAATCATCAAGGGTCATAAAGAGAGAGAATGGAAAATCTCATTTTATTTCATCTATGTCAATTTTTTCCGAGAAGACATTTTTATTTGGATTTCTCAATAAAGCCAATCTTCCAATCAGCCTCCTGGACACATTTGTTATATTTATGATTTTAGGGGTCAAACTGATGAGTTCAAGATGACCAGCAAGAACCTGGGGAAACTGAAACGTTGCTACCTGGGTGCCGTGGAAAGGGAGGACAAACCACTGCAGGATGCTCAGGGACGGGAGGCCATGTGGCACTGCCATGAAGTGGTTGTCACGGATACTGCCTCAGGGAGCAAGTAAGAAAAATAAGTTACATAATAAAAGTTGTTGAATGAGTGCAGCGGTTGTGGTGAAATTATTGCTTAAATGTATGAAAAGGTCTCACACAGTGTGTCTGTATCTAGCCATTAGTTTCAGCAATCAAATGTGAAAAAAATGATGTTCGTCAGATCTAATAGTAACAAATGGTATGATTATATTCCTAAGATTCTCAGTTTTCCTATTGTAATATTCACTTTTGAGTAGTCAGTCCTTAAAAGTTTAAGATAACAATTTTTTTCTTTCTAGATATGTGTTCCCATGCAAAAGCTGGGTAAAAATAGAAAATGAGATAGACATTGACTCTGCCAAGATTCTTGAATTGAAGACAATGGAAGAGGGAAAAGTTAGTGTTGTCAGATGTAAGTTTTATATAAACTTTCAATATGGATTTTCAAAAATAAAATCACCTGTTTCTTAACCACATGGATAATGTAACTAAGGCATTTTTTAATTCTGTATTGAAAGAAAATGTATTAATTTAGTTTAATATATCCATTTAGTCCAAGTGAATAATTTGAGCAAATGGTAAAAATTTCATAGGTTTTTATGAACCTAGCTCTACTCAGTGTGTTCACCTTTACAGCCCTGGCCAACGTGAAATACAAAATCATAGTCAAAACTGGAGATGAGTGGGGAGCAGGCACCAATGCCAATGTGTTCATGACCCTCTATGGAACCAATGGGGACACTGGGAAAAGACAGCTGGACCAGAAGTTCAGGGATTTGTTTGAGAGGAACCAAACGGATGAGTTTGAGATTGAAGTATTAGATTTAGGTAAATGTTTTAATTTTGTGAGGCAGATTACATCTAAAAAAAGAGTTTCTTTATTCAAAGTGGTATATACGTAGGGAGCCAGGTTTAATGGAAGTTAGAAAAGTTAATGTGCTTTTTAACATACATTTTCCTGATTTAAATAAAAAAATATTAATTAAATGAAGTTAAATTTAAATTGTTATGTTTAAATAAAAATTGTCTGAAGTTAAAAGGTACACTTAACATAATCATTAACTGATTAACTTACAAAGAAAACAATAATTCATGTCAGTGCCTTTATTCTTTTCTTCACAGGTGAACTGACCAAGATGAGAATAGAACATGATAATTCAGGTTTCCGACCAGCCTGGCTGCTAGAAAAAGTGGAAGTCATTAATCAAGCCACCAACAAATCAACAATTTTCCCCTGCAATAAATGGTTTGACAAGAAAAAGGGAGATGGTGAATTGAGTCGAGATCTACTGCCTGCATCCGATAGTTAACAAATTTTAGGATTTGTACTTTTATGATAATTCACATTGAATTGAGATTTATTGAAGGCAGTTGATGACAGAAACAGGAACACCAGTTTGTTTTGTTATGTATTTTATCAAATTTGATTATGCAAAAAGTGCTACCACATTTATATTTCATAAGTTCCTTTTCATGAAAACCATCTAAATTCAGATTTCTAAATGTTTGAGATTTCATACTTATTAAGCAAACAGAGACTAAAGCAGCCTAAAGGTGAAATCCAAATTTCTGACTGGGTAAAATTTGCTGTCAGCATGTAGATATTCCGGTCTTACTGTACATATATATTATTTTGATAGATGTATATGTATATTGTTTGCTTTTATACACTACTTATATTCTTACTGTATGTCATTGAGAACTTTTGATAGCCATTTATGTAGCTAAAATTATGAAGATATTACACCATACTAATAACTTTCACATTGAAATGTAAGATTTTGAATAGATCTAGTAGAAGGTATAAGCAGGCCTTGATATATTCTCTAGAAATTATTTTTATAGCCCCAAGTTAATTAATACATGTTAACACTGTGTATATTGTGATGTGCTTATTAACCACAGTTGAGATCTTTGTCTATAGCTTTTCAGGGATGTGTAAAAAATGTTTATTAAGAACACAGTGCCTTGAAACCATATGTACAGTATACCAGTTAAACCATATTTTATATCAGACTGGTGATATACACAATGTTGGTCATAATGCTGTCCTAATTGCTGTGATCTTAACCATTTTTATAATCTTATAAAACTTTTTTGATTGATAATTATTTAGCTTGTTCAGACATGCACTGGTAAATCATTCACATTCCACTTCTGTACAGTCTTTGTATGTGTAATTCTCTGTGTCATATTTTTATACTGAAATCCATTTATGATCTTTTAGAAAGAACACTCTGATTATTTATGGTCACATATTTACAGCTAATTTTTAAAAATGTAATCTTTATTCTTTACAATGTAATTTGATTTCATTGTTGCTTATTAAGTCTTTTTTTAAAGCATTTGCAATGCTTTTAGTTTTATGTTCTGTATAATGTGATATAATTCCATTATGGCAACTGCTTTTAAACACTTTTGTGATTATTTCAAGATATATTTGACCAAGATAAATTAATGGATTATTCCAACTTCTTGGAGGTCACTGCCATTGTCAAATTGATAGTAACACTAAATTCAGTTAAAATGTAACTTACAAAACCAAAATCCACCAAAAGTTGCACGAGAAGTGTGCATGCTTAAAATACTGTTGAACTGTAGCAATAGGTGCTAGAGTGTGTCACAGTTATATTCAGTTATTTTACCAACAGTGGTATGAATTTAAAAAACCGTATAGGATACATAAAACAGATGTGTTATTGTTGTTATTATTGTTGTTTTTGTTGTTTTTTTTTATCCCAGGAAGTTGGGTTTTATAAACTAAATGTACAACTATAGTATTATTTTCAGAGATATCATACCACTTTTTTGCCATTTTAGAAGAAGTGAAAAATAGTCATCATCTTTTAATTTTCAACTTAAATGCCCTTGTCATTTAGTTAAATGTCATATATATGTATATCAATTTTATACATTATTGTATTTTTTATTATTATTGCTATAGCTGTAATTAAAAGTTACCAGTTTTGTGCAATAGTTTTAGAATTGAACAGCAATCTATTGTAAAAATATTTATCCGTCCAGAAAATAAATTGTTAGATGTTTACTTCAATGTAAAATAAGTGTTTCCTTTTCATTATGCTTGTGGAAGACTGTCAGCCATCAGTGAGATATATGGAATTTCACATAAATGGTCTGCTTAATTTGGGATACTGCTTAATTGCTATAATTTTCTTTACTTGTTCTTGATTGAATTCAAAACTGATGAACTGATGTTAGTCTTCCAATACCTTCAGACATGGAGATGCTTTTGCTATGACTTAATAACACATTAGGGTGTAGGGAAGAGTATTAGGTCCAAAATACCTATTAAAATTGTTTTAATCATGTGTCAACTTGTGTACCTTTATATCCCCTGTCACCTTGAACTTTGTCATTCATTTAAACACTGTATCCAAAGGTGTTTCTTACAAGACGTAAGCTTCTGTGTAAGTTCAGATGTTTTAATAATGGCATAAAAAATAAAATTAAAGCACACAATGATAAATTTATGTTATACGACAGTAAATTTTCCTTAAATTTTCATAACATGTCCGCTAAACAATGTATTAATGTACCTAAAATCATTCACAGGACTATGACCCATAAACCCAATTTTGATTTTTTTTTTTTTTTTTTAAATCACATCCATAATGGAAAAAGATACTGGTGACAATTTTACTTTCCCATCTTCCAAAATAATACCCAATGTTTTTCTGATTGAGAAAAATAGGTGATCAATTTTTTTATTTTTTTTTCATAATTGAGGTCAGTCGTGCTTGTTAACCCAACTTATGAACCCCATCTGGCCTGATGGTGAAAATTAGAAATTTAAAAACTCAAAATTGTGTTTAGAAACTGTATTTTTCTCAAAGGTTTTGAAAAGGATACAAATTGCTCACAAGGAGAAATTGTTATAATCTATAGAGAAATCTATTAATTTATATATTTTGTCTTTTCTTATTTATTTATTTATTTATTTATTTATTTATTTATTTTATTTATTTGTCTTCGTTTGTTTGTTTATTTATTCATTTATCTATTTTCATGCTTTATCAAGGTCTAAATAATGGTCATTAATCACAAATCATGTTTTATTAATTAAAATACAAAAAAATGTATCTATACTTTTAATATCAGGATGTTACTTTTAAAAGTGGATAATTCATTTGTCATTTTCGATTAAATTACCTTACCCTTGCGCGAGCTCCTCGCGCGCAGATAAAAAAAGTGACCTCTAGCGGGAGATCTCTTGATCTCTTTGGGTTGAAAACGTCCTTAACTTCCAGGCTAGTGTAAAGTTACTGTAAAATGGAAACACTTTTATATTAAAATAACACAGCATTCACTTATGTTATCACTAAAATACTAAAATGGAGTATCCATAGTTCTGAAATCAGTAGCACTATACTTCTATTTTTAAAAATCCAAGCACTGTCGTTGGGCTAGGGATAGTGACCCACTTCGCTTTGCTGTGATGCCATGGCGAGTGTGGGAGGGTTTAGAACGAAAGTCCACTCAACATTTTGCAAGCTACTACAAAAGCAGACTTACGATGTATTGTCCCATCGATATGGGACGCTTGCACTTCTGCTTGGTGGCATTTTGTTGCTAATTTCTGCTTTTCAGTTTGGAGAGGTAAGCCATACTATGCCGTCACGTGTCACATTGTTCTGGTACGTGTAACAGCTAGTAGTCTGTTGACTAGATGTACACACTCAATAGCGGCTGTTAACTTGATCGGTTTTACGTTTATAAACCTAAAAACCAAAGAAAACGAGAGAAGAATACCACGCTAGTCTACATTAACGAAAAAATAACGATCAAAACCGGTCATGTGTTTTTAAACGATGTTAATAAATTAATATATATATATAGTTGCTTGATGTCCCAAATAAAGCAAATTTGAACCTCAACACTTACCGAGTATAAGGTATAAGGTTTTTGGATTTCTTTTACAACACCCTCAGTATTGACTTATGTTTATTATCAGTTTTCATCATCTTAAAGACACTCCCAGCCTCTTCTTCCTCATCACTTTAATTAACTCTCTGTGGTGCAGTTTTGTGCACTTTTTCAGGCTTTTACATTTTATTTTTCCACTTGTTGGCATCTTCTGTACATGTATGGAATGATATGATAGTGTGCAGTCTGAATAATTCATGTTCTACATGTATTGTAGATGTACTGGTCACTCTGTCTATGAGTCTTATTTATTCTTCCACTATGTTCCTCAGGTTGCACTGGAATGGAGTCGAGAGAAGTATGCTGCTTTATCTAACTCCCTGACAGACAACATTGCTGGCAAGTCTTTTAGAAACAGGTACACATAGAGCATTTAAAGGATCAGTCTATGTCCGTATTCTTTAGCAAACAAATGGTCCTTTTTGAGATGTACATTTCAGTTTCTGCCCATTGTATGTACAACACATGTTGACAAATGACAGAATGCATGTACATGTACTGTAGCTTCCTATTCAGTACAGTTTATTCATTATATACCTTGTGAAGTGAAAAATATTGAATGTTTCATTTTCATACATATTTGATAACTAAACAATATGTAGGCAAACAGTCCTGTCCTTCTATTTATCTCTATTCCTCTCTGTCCCAGGTTGTGCCTGCCAGTGCCCATAGATGTGGTATATACCTGGGTGAATGGCAGTGACCCCAAGGTGCTGGATGGGTTAAGACTAGTACAGAGGGAACTGGAGAGGGATGTGCAATCTAATGACACTGGGTTGGTTAAAAACACGTTTAGCCTTGAATATACTAGAACTATTATATTTGTTTTGGTCATTTGTCATGACTTTATTCATACTTGATTATATGCCTTTCATGTTCTGTGAATAAGTTCATTTAATCTTAATTTAGTTTCATGGAAATTGAATTTGCCAAGGTGAGAGATGTAGCAACATAATTCTGATTTTTTAAAATATGACAAAGAAAATAAATTTTATGATTTGAATGAGTGGGATGACTAGATGAATAGTGTGAATAATGTGAATGCTGTTCTTTTCCAGAGAAGTATGCACATTCTCCCACTGTCTCCAGACCAGTAGTGTAGTGGTGGAGCCAGCTCTACCTGTTGGCCTGACTGTATCAGAGTTTGTGGAGATTTACCCAGCTTTTAGCAAAGCTGTCAACTTCAAGGTGATGAAATCGCCACAGGATGAACAGTTGAATGTCACTGTAGTGAAGTTTCAGAATGTAGAAGATGGTAGGTAAAAGAGTATCTTATGTGCCTCCATTGTGATATGTTGAGTAGTGCCTTTATATACGTAAAAAATATTTAAAATGTGACTTATTTGTGTTAAAAGTTTTGGACATTGCTTTTAGGTCAAGATCGACAACAATGGTGTTTCAAGGACACATAGTCACAAATGTGCTGAATCAGCTTTCAAAAATTTAATCACCAGTATTTTTCAGTTTTCCATCCTCTGTTGGATGTGTGCATTTTAATTGATATTTTTAACTGATATGTGCTGCATCTTTTTCCAGTTGCTCCAGTATTGAAGGAAGTAGTTGTGTTCAATGGAATCAACCACACTGTGAAAGAAGCATACCTGGTAATTTATCTAACAGTACATTGAAATAAATTCCGCATTTGTTAAAGAAGTCTCGTTTAGTTAAAAGATTCTAAATTGTAAATTAAATTGTAAATTATAATTTTGTACCTGTATAATTATTTCCCTCCTGCCAAAGAGGAAAAAAACCAAAAGAAAAAAATTGATTTAGATACTTAAATATTTCTTGCAGTCTGATCTATGAAAATAAATTTTATTTTTCCCTTTAACTCTTATTTAAACATCATTTATAAGGTCTATTCTTTTTGTTTAGACCAGTGACTGGACGGTCAGACACAGTATATTGCTGGATGACACCATTATTATGACTGGGTTTCCACATACCTACAAAGCTGATGAGCTAAAGGCCAAGTTTCCAAGTCAGTACAGCAAGGCCATTGAGAAGGTTAGAATTTTTTTTTTCAGAAAGGCAATATAACTTACCCATCTCCCCTTCATTTTACACAAAAATGTAGGTCAGTTTTTTGGGCTTATTTTTCAAGTTGCTTAGATTTAGCTTGATTAGTTTTGCTTACCGAGAATCCCAAAGGTCGCTTATCTCTTTTATATCTTAAATATAAGAAGATGTACCGAAGCTCAGTTTCTCAGAAACTCAGTTTAAACAGCTAAAACTCAGTAGTTGAGAGCATAGTCGACAAAATTTTCAAAATTATTACCTTCTTCAAGATATTCTGTAATCATATTTCTAAAAAATTTTGTTAAAAACGGTATCCATCTCCATTTGTTTATATTCTTTGACTGCTAGATCTCTCATGGTGTACTTTATTGATCTCAACTTGAATTGCATCAAAGATAAATTGTCTTGTTAAGTCCAAATACAAACTTCCTTTGTGTCTAGCCACATTTTATTGTTGACAAAATGAAATTTATGTTGAATTTTTTATGTTAATGTTATTTAGCTGGAGCTGTACAAGGACAATGCTGTGGCTGTCTTGTATGTACCAGTGAAACAAGAGTTTGAAAACTTACTCCAGGTATCAAAATAATTTTTTCATTATTTGAAATGATTCAGTAGTTTTTTAAATAAACAAAATACCAGTACAGTTCATACACAGTCAGTGGTATGTATGCTAAGATACAGGAAAATTCAGGTTTTGTTTATAAGGTACATGTATAATCTTTTTATTTTTTAATATTTTGTGTACATGTTATTCATATGTTATGTTTCTATTTTGTATTTCACTCCTTTTAAGGGAGGAGGGAGAGGGTAGGGTGGACATACAAATATAAAATAAACTTTTTAAATTTTTAGGATTCTAACTTCACCATTGATGGCAAGGAGCCCACTCTGCATGCAGCTAACATGGTCTGGTATTTCAGCATTGTAAGTCCGAACTTTCAGAATAAAAAGTAATATGACAGTCATTAAAATAGTGAAAGCTTAATCATAGATCCAGTTTGTCTATCACTGTTTATTATAAGACATTGTACTGCATATCCAACTCTGTCCATGATGACAAATGAGGTAAAACTTGTTGAAAAGATATTTTGATTAATTTTTAGGACTTGGAAAGTGAACAGATATCAGCTAACAGGTTTCAAGATAATGATGTAAGTATAGAAATTTAAGTTGAAAGTCCTTCATAAGTTGGAAATTTCAAATTAGAAGAAAATGTTAAGAGATTTAAAAGCTTCCTGTATATTATAATAGGTAAAAAGTATATATATATTTGAATTAATATTTTCAATCATATTCCTGTTTTTATAGCTGTGTGAGCTGCAGCTGTTTCTATGAATACTTTTTTAAAAGGATCCATGATTTCAATAGAGGTGTCACTTGTTTCATATTTTACAGGAGCTGCGCTACTCTCTTAGGTCTATAGAACTGCATGCCCCCTGGGTCCGCCATATCTACATTATCACCAATGGTCAGATACCGTCCTGGCTAGACCTAGAAAACCCACGGGTCACTCTGGTCACACATCAGGTTAACATGAGTACTCCATTCATTGAAATATTGTAAAAGTATTTTGGGGGTTTCTCTGTTTAGTATCACAGAGGGCAAGAAGAAAAATATGTTGATTGTTGGTACTCAAAATGATCAGTTTGAAAGGCTTTGCAAGATTGATTGCCAAATAAAGAAATAAAAGTACTTTTTTTCTGAATTTTAATTTGATGTAAATGTGAATTTTACATGTAAATGTGAATTTTCTTTTTGTCTTTTTTTATTTAATTGAAGTATTTTGGAATTACCCTCTGTTAGGGTTTGTCAGCATTTATAATTATCATTATAATTATCATTATAATTAAATCATTAATTAATTTTTTCCAGGAGATCTTCCCCAACCAGTCCCACCTGCCCACATACAGTTCTCCAGCCATTGAAGTCCACCTTCATCGTATACCTGGGCTCTCTGACAAGTTTATCTACATGAATGATGATGTGATGTTTGGAAAGGATGTCTGGCCTGATGATTTTTACACTCATGCTGGAGGACAGAAGGTGATTTTAAAGATATAAGGAGATTTGACATTTCTGAATTTTTTGTACATTTTGTATGTCATTGTAAGTATCACTGAATTTTTATGGAGAGACACATTGTGTTAGGACATACAGCCACCGCCTGTTCTATTGTCACTGTTGCTGACGCCATTGGTGTTCACCGTTACTTTCACTATTGGTGTTGTTGTAAACTTACCTTGTTTATGTTTAGTTAATACAATTGAAGGAAAATTGTGTAACATCATTCCAAAACCAACTCTAATTATTCATAGGACTAAAATACAGCTGGTTATAGTTTAATGAATTAGATGTAGATATACTAAGGAAAAAAGAATGGCTGTCCAAATCCATGGTTTCATTAAAATTATTTCACATCCTGATTATGCAAACATTATTGCCCACAAGTAAATTTGCTAATTAGGTAAGCTTTTACCCATTAGGTATATCTGACATGGCCAGTACCAAATTGTCAGGAAGGTTGTCCTAACACCTGGATCAGAGATGGTTACTGTGACAAAGCTTGTAACTCATCAGAATGTGATTGGGATGGAGGGGATTGTACAGGTATGTGAAGATGTTTATTACACTCACATAACACACTCAAACTATGGCACTTTCATACAAAGACACGGTCATTATATTAAGCAAATGATAACGACAAAATAACACATCAAGAATATAAACATTTTGGCCTGAAAGCTTTGGTAACATATGTGTGGTGTTCATTAGAAAAATATTCAAACTTGCAATCATCTGGTTAGCGGAATTCCCACGATTTGTGCGGAATTCCCACGATTTGTAATAGAACATTAACCAAGGCCGTAATTTTTTTTAAATTTTGGACCCTCATTTTCATATTGAAATAAACGTGGTTGTTGTAACACAAAAGCAGTTGAATTGCAGTACCATGACAGGCTACAACGTGTGTTATTGAATGGAATTTGGTTGAATTATGGCAGATAATTTATGAAAAATTAAAATCTCAATTTTGGTGCATATTTTTATTCATCCTTTATTTCCACATATCTTAATTTTTCGGTGAGACTTAAGTTGATTCAGTGCTAAGCTGCCTAGTGACATAAAGAGTTATAAATATATTTGATGTTTTATTATTTTTTTTTTAGGTGGAAATACACAAGTTGGTTCTAATAACTTTGGTGCACAATTTCCCCAAAACAGCTTTGACTCTTCAGAAGAATGTAAGTAAACAATGTAAATGCATTCGAATTTATTAATTCTTCTATTATATAATGCTACAGATACTTCATAGATAATGAACAAAATTTTTAAAAAATTGTTTAGGATGAATTAGAGCTAAATGATTACAGTCATGACTTATGTACGTGGTAGAAGTCATCAGTGTCCCTATCAGTATAGTTTGAGTAAGTGACTGTTTTGCAAAACTAATATTTTTCAAGATTACATGCACAGTCTATTGATTAGCACTAAGAATAGCAGACATGTATTGCTCTGCTTGCAAATTTAGTGTTATAAAAAACTGCATATCTTATCTCAAATAAATAAATACTACTACTACTACTACTACTACTATTAAAAAGTAAGACTTCTGTATATTCAGTGTACTGTAACTCTGGCTGTGCCAACAACTGGGTGGCAGACAGGTATTGTGACCAGGCCTGCAATGTGCTCAGCTGTGGCTTTGATGCTGGAGACTGTGGCAATGCTAACTTCAATCAACTCCACAAGGTGGACATTCTGCCAAGACAGCACCACTACAGGCTTCCTGGAGGTAAGAGTGGTCTGGATCAGTTGATGTGGGAAATTCGGATAAAGAATATTGCAAAATATTTTTCTAATATGTTGTGCAATAAATGGATGCTTATTAATATGGCAAGCAGCTTACACTTCTGATATAAAAGTTGGAGGAGCCAGTATCTTTTATGCAAAAAGATTGAATGGTGCAGTACTTGATACTATAAAAATTCTAGAATTAACTTATTTCACAGTGATAAGCAGGCAGAGGTGCAGCAAGTTAATACAATTCCAGTAAGTGTAGCAGAAAAGTTTCTAGATATAGACCTTTATAAGACCTTTCATATACACCCGTTATTTGTATTTTTCCAGGATTTCTGGTCTACTACTTTAACCTGACAGCCATATTCCCAATGGATTCCTCTGGTATCAGGAAAGCAGAATACGAGAAGCACAAGGTCATCAGAACAGCTGCTGTATCCAACAAGTACAAAACCATGACATTGCTGCTGTATTCAAAGCACAATGATACAGAATTGAATTTCAAGATTGCTGGCAGGGTGGGATTGAACCACACTATTGAAGTAAGTTGCTGGTTCATTTTATTATCAGAAAATTCTTTTTTAGAAATTGTGGCATATATCAAATTGTTTGAGAACATCTATTCAGCATGCATGTTTTCTCAAATTTTGTTCCAGACGATATTTTTCATAAAAATGAACATTTAGTGATTCAATTACTGATAATAACTTTTGATTTCACTTATATTTTCTCTTTTAGTTTGAGTTTAATGTGACTGTAAATACTTGGCCATTGCCCACAAAGAAGGCTGCCATAGACTCTACATCTGTGAATGTTACTAGCAGTAAGGATGCAAGCAATGACACTGTCAAAATGGAAGAAAATGTCACTGAGGCCCCTTTTAGCTTCACTGATGTGCCAAAGGAAATAAGGTTAACTTCCATGGAATACTGATTTATTTTGATGAAAGGAAAATAAATGATAACTAGTTCCAAGTTCAAAGTTTTTTAATGAACAGAGTGAATTTCAATGTTAATGTGAAAACTGGGAATGGTTTCCTGCATTTAATGGACAGATGGTACATACTTTGGCCAATGGATGAAAATTCACAGTTCAGTAAAGTTGTGGCCCTATTTACAACATATGTTGTAGTTATTTAGTTGTGCCTCATTTGCATTTTTTTCTGATTTCCATGAAGGAGTGCTTTCCCAGTCCAGAGGACATTGGAGTTAGATCTGGACAGGTACCAGGTCATGAACATATCAAACCTACAGCTCTCAGGAGAAGTTATGGTTCTACTAAAACAGCTGCAGGAGAGTTTTAAACAAGGTATACGAGAATTTTGGCATGCATATTGTCAACAAAGACATGTGCTAGCATGTAAGATTTGGTTATAGTAAATAAAAAAAAAAATTTTAACAGTAATTTGATGAATTTTAAGATTTAGACAAAAATATGTGCAAGCAGCTTGATAAATCTCAGACCAAGGGGGGGGGTGGGTAAAAATACTATAAGTGCAATTATAGTTATAAAAAACTTATTAATCTTTTTTTTTTTCAGGTGATTTGACAGACAAAGGTTTCAATATCAGGAAGGCGAAGTTGTTAAAACAACATTTTCAATCAGAGAATCCAGGTTCAAAACAAGTGGAGGTCACAAGTAAAACTAGTCAGTTAGAATTAAACCAAAGGAAAAGCCAGGATCAAAATTTCAAAGAATCACAAAATCTACATCAGAAATCACCAGAAGTATCTACTGGCCGTAAATTGACATCATATAATGATGGTGAATTTGGCTCATTTCCCTGGGAGAGACAGGGATTGTTTGCTCAGCTAATAGAGGTAAGTGGTTTCACACACACAGGGTCTTCCATCTCCAGATGTTGTCATATTGGCTTGTTCTAATTGGCAGTTACCCTTTTTAATGCACAAAATTGTTTGATGTTTATTTACTTGATGCTTATGAAAAGTGCTGAGGTTAAGATTGCAGGAAAATTTATATTTGGCCTATATATACATGTAAGTGTCCAGATTATTCTGATTCTTCAACACTTTTCTTTGATACAGTTTTTATTTGTGCCAACTTAGCTTTCCTATCCTTTTCTATTTACTCTGCAACATTCATTGCCAAACCATGACTACTAGCATTGTAGTAATCCTTTTTACCTGACATTATATTACAATTTCATTGCCGGCAGTCTCTTTTTCCCCATTTTAGAAGAAGAAAACATTGCAGGAAATGCAAAAGTACCAGTCAACTCCTCACCACAGCAGGAAGCTTATGGACACCTTCGCTGATTCTCTGAGACATGTTAATAAATTATACAACAAGGAGTTCGGGTATGCTGCTCGCAAAGTTCCAGGGCACATGCCACATATGATTGACAAGAACATTATGATGGAAATGCAAGAGAAGTAAGCTAAATCTTTTCAAAATTTTAAACATAGGTGTCAATTGAAGATGAAACCTGTGAATTTGAAAAATGTATTTAGAGTAGATTGTAGCTTTTAAATGTAACATTTTTGATGTCAGGATTTTATAAATTTAAATTGGCACATGCCAGAGCAAGATTTAACCGCTGAGAAGTTAAAAAAATGTCATTGTACACTCTGAAAACTCCATTCTCCATTTGCTATTTTCTTTGTGAAACACTTTGGGTGTGTGTGTGGGGTATAATCTTCTGCTTTTTGCTAAACGGCTACTAGGTTTTAGTTGGTAGATATGCCTCAACACATGACTCATCTATTAGATTTTCAGAAGAATGGGAAACCACATCCTCTCATAGAGTACGGAGCTCAGATGACATGCAGTTTGCTTTCTCCTACTTCTACTTCATGATGAGTCAGCCAGCCAATAGCTCTGTGGAGACATTCCTCAAAGAGATGGACACTGACCACTCCAGGTAATAAGGGTTAATAGATGAAAAACTGTGATTTTTTTATTGTGAACTAGCATTACTGTTAAAGAAAACCCCTTTCACTATTTATCATTTTAGTATTTAACTGCTGCTGAAGATATTTATTGAATGTCTAAAATCAAACGTTGGTTCAGAAAATATTGTATGATGTAACCTTGGGTCATGACATTATATTTTCTGTTTTTGTGAAGTGATAATTATCATTTTATATAATCAAACTATATTATCAATAACTGTTAAAGATTAAGTTTTATATTTATTTATTGGGTAACCTTTGTACACTAAAAATGTTATCTTCCAGGTGCTTTTCTGATCGTGAAATCCGCTTACTTGCAACAAGAATTTTTGAATTACCTATATTGCTTGAGGTATATAAATCCATTTTAACCATATAAATACCTCCCAGAGAGCAATGCTTGCTTCACTATTCCTTAGGAGCTCTCAGAATCTTAAGTGTTGAATTTAAACTGGGATATTTTTTAATTGAAGAAAGTTGCTCTTAGTCTTTTTGGTGAAATTTAATCTTTTTTCTTTAAAGGAAATGATTGCTTAAATAGAAACTGAATGAAGTCATAAAAATTCAACCATTAATTGATATGTATCTGAACATATCTACATTCAAACTCTTTTGTATTCTAGACATTGTCAGGCTTTGAAGAAGTGATAAAGAACTGCTCTAGAGAATTATCAGCAGAAATCCAAGCAGAAAATCCACCACCACCCACAGAACAATATTATGATACTGAGCTGGTCAGTTTTTTTTAAATTCATTTTTTTTACTTTTTTAAAACTTCTGTATTTGTGGTAAATGATAATTTTGAGCAAGCAAGTAAAGGAAATAAACATAGTGGAGTTTATGTGGTAAATGTGTTACAGTTTTGTACTAATGTAATGCTGAGCTTGATTGAATTCTAATAAAGATGTACTTCACATTTTACATTTACGTTTCAGCCCCAAGTCACAATGAATCTGATGCTAAACTGTGAACCTGTTGTTGAACTTATTCAAAGGCATCTCAAAGGAAGAACTAAGTACAAGTATGTATTGGTTGATATTATTCCATATAGCATCTTAAATGGCTTAAATTTCCCTAAAGTCCAATTTGTTATGTCAGTTGTTTGGTGCAATTAATATAATGCATTTGCTGCAAGTAAATATAGATGAAACCTGTCAACTTTCAGATTTGAGGAAGTAGGAGAGGAGGAGATTGCCTTTAAAATGTTGGAAAGTAATGTTTCCAGAGTTCTGGGCCAGCTGGATGACATCAGGAAGAACCCTAAGTATGTGTTCTCAAAATTTAACGGCTGATTTTTTATTGTGAGAATTATTTTAATTGATGAAAATATAATTAATTAATTTTTTAAAATCAAAATGGAAATGTTATTCAAAACATTATGTTATTGACAGCTGTATGTGTTTTCCCCTCTTCCCTTCCCAAAATAATTAGTAGAATTATAGACTCTTTGTACATTTGAAAAATTTTTGATTAGGGTTTTGAGGCAAATAGATAACGGAGCTGGAATGAGGACTGTCTCCTGTAAGTTTTGTTTTTTGTCTTCCAGAAAATTTGTGTGCTTGAATGATAATCTCAAGCATGGACTCAAAGAGGCAGAAACTGTAAGTGTTTGCTAACTTTTTCATTATTTATCACTGGTTATTCAGCAAGTCAGATAAATTATTAAACAGCAGTAAACCAGCCTCTACAGAGAATAAAAATATATAAGATATTGCTTATATTTGATCGAAATGTTTTTATGTATTTAATTAGTTTATAAGGAATTGAATGTATTTATGCTTCTCCTAGGTGCGAGCCATCCAGTTGGATTTCTATGAAACATTTTACCCTATTCCATCACAATTTGAACTGCCCAAAGAATATAGAAATAGATACTTATATGTAGAAGACTTGAAAGAATGGTAAGTATGGTCTATATTCCTTTCCATATTATACTCTGAGGCAACGTTTCATATGCTGAAAAATTTTTATATTTGAAATAAAGATGGTTAATAATTTTTAACCTTTGTTTCTTGTTACTGCCAGGAAGTTGTATCGAGATCGTCTCAGGTTCATGACGCACTGTGCCCTAGGAATACTCATCTTTATCAGCATATATTCTTTTTTTGCAGAAAAAGTAAGTTTACATTTATTATTGTTAACACATTTTACACTTATTCATTATGTTAAGTATTTATGTGCAAGATGAAAAAGTATTCTTTACAATAAATTTAATGAACTTTAGTAACCTTTTCAGGGTATTTTTTGGTAAATATTGCCAAATTATTTTAATTAAGTAACTTATTTACAGTTTACAAGGTTACAATTTTGCAAGAGCCTGATGGTTAGCTAACTGTCATAGAGACCTCTGAATTTCAGGTTGATATGTGCTATCCTGTAAATAATCCTGACATTTCATTTCTGATATCTCAGATTGAGAGTTTGGCCAGACGGTACTGGAGGAGAAGGCTACGAGGACAAGCAGTGGACGTCTGACTAGACCCTCAAAAGACAAAAGAACACTGATTAAATTGGTGGTATTTTGTAGCCAATTGACCATCACAAGATCATTTTTGTATGTTCTTTTATCATCGAGAAAGGGCATTTGTGCAATTGCAGATTTTGTGTTATTTTCTGTCGTAGGTGGATGTTAGAAAGGTATTCTTCTTAATTTTTTTTATGTTATGTATTCATTTTGTGAGATTCTTAACTGGAGTAGAAATATCACAAAGAATGTATATTTGCCGAGTGCTTTTTTCCTGTGCAATTTTTCAAACTAGATAGAATAATAAATTGATTTTTGAATGAAAATGTTTTTCTTTACACTTTTTGCATAATTTCTAATTTGTTATGACTTTAATCTTTCATTTTTTGGGGTATCTTTCAGCAAGTGCTAGGTAGGAAGAATATGAGATTTTACTAGACAAAGTGTACCTACTTTGGTATTTTGTAAAACATTTTCTCTGTAAAAGAACAATAATTGTGGCTTTCCTAAGTTTTTTGAAAAATTTTTTTTCACATGTTATTCTGAGCACTGTACTAGTGTTTGATGAGGTATTGTGTGGTATCAGGCATTTGGAGAGCAGATTGGCAGGCTATGCCAGTGTTTTTGAAAGCCAGTTTGCTCCACTAGTCAGCCTTGTCATATCTCTGTGACAGCCGGTGCTTGTAATAATAGTCTATATTTTAATAGCCATATGAGATCACAGTGCTGTGTTTCCTGTGCTCTGAGTTAGAAGTTTTCAAGTTTTACATGTTTTGCTTGAATAATGTTTGTAACAGGAGTGTTATCCGTAAATAAACAGTACATCATTTTTGTGTTGCAAGATACAAAAAAATATCCTAAAGCTGATATTAAATATTATTTAATAGACAAAAACATGTACAGTATGTCAGGTTTAGAAATGTGGTACAAAACAATATTTTAAAACTACATTACATTACTCGGCAGACTTGGAAATGTGCAACAATGAAAACAGTTTTGAAACTTTTGTCACTTCTCTTAATGAACATATATTTGTTCAAGTTCATTCCAAAGTTACTGTTACATTCCTTTATATATTATATACTGTTTTTCTGAGTAATTTTGCCTTTGTATTATGAATTTGGATTGTAGCAATTTGGCTGTTACAAAGCAGTTTTAATGTACTGGAGCTTCAGAAAAAAAAATAGTACGTAAGGTCTAATGATTGGGCAAAAATACCTTGGGTAAGGGTTATGGTTATTTTAAGTCTTTATCCACCTACAATTTTTGTAAATGACAAATTGTTAATCAAGGTGTAAAAAAATTTGCTTGTCTTTCTTTTATAATTTAGATGAGCGTACTCTGGATCCTTGAATTTTTTGTGCTTTTGTTTAAAAGATACTGTTGGTTGGTTGGCTTGGTTAAGAAAAGAACATTGTATGTTATTTGTACATGCAGGTACCATGGTATGGTTTATCAGTTGTCTTTACAAGATGGACTTAAGGGGAAAAGAAATAAAAGTTAAAATAAATTCTTTTCACTAATAACTGATTGTCTATTATAATTGATTGGCCATGTACCATTTTTGATTTAAAGTAAATAACTTCCTTACATTACACTGGGGTAATATGCATCTAAAATATTTGGTCAGCACTATACGTGAAAAAGAAATTTAAGATAATTATGCGCATGTATATTTGTTTATTTGTCATTGTGAGATAAAAATGTTCAAACATAAATATAACCATTTCATGCCCGTAGAATTATATATCAAAAACTATCTGCTAAGATACCGATTGCAGTAGAGACAACCATTTGTCTCCCCCCAGATGGCGCTATGGTACGGCTTCATTTGTCAAAATTTGGTGAAAACTGTTTACATAAAAGCATGCAGGATAGCCAGTGGCCTACATGGTGTTGTTTCATTTATGGGTGGATTGGGGTTTGAGATTCATTTTTCTTCTCTGATATATTTTGAAAAATGTCTAACGAAATGCGTCCCATGTAATTTTATTTTAGTAAATTGTAAATCGAGTTTCTCATATCAGATAATACTTACTGTTGAGTAGGAAAGGCGCTCACTTCATCCTGCCTCCTCCCCCCCCCTCCCAATGAATCTAATGCACTGAACCCATACACCAGAAAGGGATGTCACTTCTTCAGTCATGATGGATGTATAGAGAGGGCGCAAGGCGGTCTAGATACTAAGTATGGATATTTCAATTTCAACGTAGAGTTTCAGCTTCAACGTAATGCTTTAAGTAGTTAACCATAATGGAGGCATCAATAATATAAGGCATTTGATGGTAATATGTTTGTGATTCATGACTGAATCTATTTAGAATTTAGCCTGCACTCTTAAAAGTGGATTTCTGATTGGTCATTCCTCTACATTTTTTCCCGTGTTACATTTTGCTTCTTCTATTGCTTCATCTCAACGCGTCCCCGTGAAAACGAAAAAATGCAATTGTATCCTATGAAAACTATTTTGAACTCTCTTGGATTAAACAGTAATGGCAATAAAAGTTGAACGTGAGAAATAGTAAAAAAAGTTAATGTTAGGGAATGACCCATTTAAAATCATATACCATATTGGTATTTAGTGGGTGATTGGTGATATTTAAAGACGACTAATGTAGGTATAGTAATGCAATTCCATTTCTAAATTAAAATATTTATATTTCCCTACAGGGGCGGATCCAGGATTATTTGAAGGGGGGGGGGGGTCGGAACGACAGATCTCGAATTCGAAGCTGACCGTCGCCCCCTTGGCCTGCTCAAGGACCCCAAAATTTTTTTGGTGTTACGAGAGCAAACAGTGCCCTTTGATACGGTTTAGAACTATGATTTAGCTAGTCAAAATTTTTATTTCAAGAGGGGAATATTGGTGTGATATATTTTTCAGAAACCGAAGGGGGAGGGGGGTCAGGAACCCCCTAACACCCTGTAAATCCGCCACTGGTTACCATTTAGGGCTCTTTACATAATGTGAAGACAACTTAAAAATTAAAAATTAAATTAAATTAAAATAGAGACAGTGGTGGATTTTTGTTCTATGCACATACATATTTCAAGAAATTCAATACAACTTTGAATTTATTCAATTTAGTTTTGGACACTTCAGCGTGTGAAATGCACCTCTATACTGAGTTTGGGTGTAAAGCGTTTTCTTCATGGCATATTCCACCAAATAGACCAATTACAAATGTAGTGCTGTGAAAAAAATTAGTGGTTTTTTTCCAATTTTTTCCTGACATTTCTTGTGTGTTTTGCTAGGGTTTACTCTGGTGTCAGCTAGCAGGCTAAGGTGTAAAGTATGCATATTTTTTCAGGAGCAGGCACAGGTGTCGTCCAGTGTGGAATCTCTGGCGGAGGGAGCTACTGACTGTGAGCGGTGCAGTAGTTTGTTTTCAAACACGATCAACTACTGCCTTTAAGAAAAGCTTTTCAACAGTATATCTTTGTGTCATTGGGGGGTTATGTCAGTATGTCTGCTGTCCATGGTGTTATGAAATGTTTCATTAAATTTTGTTCATGCAGTTATGCAGGCATTTCTTAGTATGGTTGTCAATGGGAATTTATTTGGTGTTTTCTGCCCTGAATTCCAAAGGCGTGGTGCATAGCGATAACAAGAATTGGGTTGTCTTTTCATATGGTTTTTAAGCAAGACATTTCTTAATGTCTTCTGCATATTTTGATGAAAATTTTCAAGACGCACAAATATTCAGATGGGAAAGAAATTATTACAATTTCGACAATCTGGGTTTCCTCGTATTTATATATATATATATATATATATATATATATATATATATATATATATATATATATATATATATATATATATATATATATATATTTTTTTTTTTNCGGTGCAGTAGTTTGTTTTCAAACACGATCAAGTACTTTTCAACAGTATATCTTTGTGTCATTGGGGGTTATGTCAGTATGTCTGCTGTCCATGGTGTTATGAAATGTTTCATTAAATTTTGTTCATGCAGTTATGCAGGCATTTCTTAGCATGGTTGTCAATGGGAATTTATTTGGTGTTTTCTGCCCTGAATTCCAAAGGCGTGGTGCATAGCGCTAACAAGAATTGGGTTGTCTTTTCATATGATTTTTAAGCAAGACATTTCTTAATGTCTTCTGCATATTTTGATGAAAATTTTCAAGACGCACAGATATTCAGATGGGAAAGAAATTATTACAATTTCGACAATCTGGGTGTCCTCGTATTTTTATATATATATATTTTTTTTTTTTTTACCATTTACTTGATGGTCTGCATTCTAGGAGTATTCTCTAAGTATATTATTCATTCATTTTGGATCATGTTAAACATAAGACAGCCTCGACTTATTTCCTGCTTGGCTATTTTATGGACAAGCCAATGCGAGCTTAAATCACTCTATCCGGTGTAATATATCATTTAATTAATTAGTAGCAATTTAAGAGCCTGTCAGTTTAATTCAAAATTGCTAAAATTAATTTTCTCATTTCAGAAACCCACTGAGGTACAGTTCAACATGCGCCTGGTAGAAGCCTTACCTTTGGTTCAGATTCAGGAACTCTACATGAACGCCTATTCAGGCATTTATTTTATGATAATTGAATAAATATATTGGTCTGGGATTTTTTAATATTTTGATATGAAAAATTATGATAATGATAATAGTAATAGATAGAAAAGGAGTATAAAGATATAAATGTAATAACCGTTTCAGCAGTTTCAAATTCAATCTACATAATTTAATCTGTAAATATTGCCCTTGGTATTGCTTTGACGATTTGCTGTGGTACGTGAAAATATTTGAAAGTGAAATGGTTTAAAAGCTTTGCACACGTACATTGTATTGAAAAACGATAATATTTGAGTACTTAAAAATCTTAAGTCTGCTGCAAGGCTGTAGGTGAACCAAAAGATTTTCTATAAACACACATTTATAAAGTGTAATTACAAACCAGCTTTTTGAAGTTTAATTTTGTTTCTAAATTTTGTTCCATGTCATGATATTTTCAATGTACTTTAAAAGAAATTTATTCACCCGCGGGATTATCATTTCCTCACATTTCATAATGTAATTCATAGCTTTTTATAGGCCTTTTTTTTTGCTACCACCAATTTGACTATCTAAATACTTGTATATAAAATGCAATTACAAATTGGAATAAAATGATCAAGAGATAAAGATTCTGTTGCTTTTTAGTAAATGGCATTGGATGTAAAAGGAATTGGGCCGCTTTCTTTTCATGATATAGACCTGATTATATGCCTCCAAGTCCTATTTTTTAGAATTTATTTGCATACATTTTGCTTGGTCTATTCAAAATAATGTTCCAATTATTACCAATTCCTTCATGTATTTGCAAACCAATTTGAATCACAAGTGGTCCTATGCAGTAAATGCTATTACAAGCTTTCATCGTCTCACTTGGTACCCCTAAAATGTAATTGACTGGCCCCACATGTCACCCCTAAAATTTGAATGAACTCGTCCCACCTGTCACCCCTCAAAAACAAAATAGACTATTCCCACCTATCACCCCTTAAAATTGAATGGACTCTTCCTACCTGTCACCCCTTAAATTTGAATTTACTCTCCCTACCTGTCACCCCTCAAAACCAAAATGGACTCTTCCCACCTGTCACCTCTTAAATTGAATGGAGTCTTCCCACCTGTCACCCCTCAAAACCAAAATGGACTCTTCCCACCTGTCACCCCTTAAAGTGAATGAACTCGTCCCACCTGTCACCCCTCAAAAACAAAATAGACTCTCCCCACCTTTTACCCCTTAAAATTGAATGGACTCTTCCTTCCTGTCACCCCTTAAATTTGAATGAACTCGTCCCACCTATCACCCCTTAAATTGAATGGACTCTTCCCACCTGTCACCCCTCAAAAACACAATGGACTCTGTCCAGCTGTCACCCCCCGAAAACATAATGTACTCGACCCACCCGTCATCCCTTTTAATTAAAAGGACTAGACCCTCAAAAGCAAATGGACTCACCCAACCTGTCACGTTCCAAATCTTTTCTTAAAATCCCCAGTATATCAATACTACTACTTTTACTTCTGTATCTATTAGATTAAACTGAAAACGTCCTCAAAAAAGCGTATTTATTCAGGCAAAAAGGATTGTCGTTCACAAATGTCAGAGTACAGTTACAAATGATAAAATTAAATTTTCTTCTTCAATGTACATCGTAATAACGAATAATACAGTAGTAAATTATAATAAATAATCGTACTCGAATTTCAACTTGCGATCTGGTGAAAATGCAACTTTACCTTAAAATGTTAAAGTTGTGATATGTAAGCACTTTAAGATTATATTATGGCTTTTCATATTGTACTATAGCTTTAAATTATGAAACTATGGCATGACGTAAGAAAATTGAATAGAAACTGACCGGTCAAGTGGAATCAAATTAAAGCTTTATCTTATAAATATATTTATTTTATTATTTGTATCGATCAATCCTTACGGTATAATTTGATAATTAAAATAATCGATGTCTGATTTTAAGGAAAATGAAGCGCGATAAATCTTAGTGCGCCATTTCAGTATGTAGAAATTTTAATAGAAAGCTATCATTTTGAAAATCATGACTGATTGTCAACATGTAATTTTTGCATGTGCCAGTTCGTGTCTTGTTCCAAAAAAAAAAAATGGAAGACTAGGGCAGCTTCTATCAGTCGTATCTTGGCAAAGGAAATAGCAGTGATCTGAAATATGAAAATAACACATGTCATTGACATAATTAAATATCCAGCCATTTAAACTTAGCTTGGGTAAAATGATAATGCAAGAGACATGCAGTTCAAGATCAAATATTCTCCGATATTTCACAAATTTCAATGGATGTTGTACAACTATTTCTATTACACTACGAGAATGACATGGAAAAACACGACAGTATTATTGGAAAGCGTTCTCAAAGTAAAGTTTTAAACGACTACGAATAATTCCGTCAAGGAACGGAATATATTACTGAGTAAAGAGTTCATAGAAAGAAAATGACATAATGCATAATTTAGTTTTCTCGTGAACAATTACCAAATCTAATAATGATCGACACAACAGCACTCTTGTACAACATGTAAAAGACGGACATGTAAAAATCGGAACACATCCTACGGATGCCAGGAATATTTTGTCACTACGGAAACATACAAATTTCTCCATGACTTATCTGCTTCAGTTGCAAACATGAAAACTAATTCTCTTTAAATCAAGCGAGATTTTCCACAGTCCAGTTTATACTGTTCTTACTGTATGATAGATCAACAAGAATTGTTTCGAAAATACTAAAAAAAAAATTCCAGGTGTCAAATTTACAGGTACGCACAGTAAATCGGTTGTAATTTTGCTGAATCTGGACACCAAAAATGATATATTATATGACAGCTTTTTCAAAATCCAGTGAAACACCCAGACTAACAAGTAGTCAAGGCCGTGTGAAAATATAAGGATATTACTTCTTGGTAATTTGAACTCGAAGAAATACGGAAAAATTGTAAGAAACGTCTTTAGCATAAAAAACATCTCGATCATTATAAACGACACAGTGTCCATTAAAATTTCGAATTAATACATGCTTCTGACAAACTCTTACAAGTTGTATAAAACTCACAAACCTCGTATGCTAATGACATAGGCGACAGCCATGCACTGGTCTAAAACTATCGAGTTATGCAAAATAAACTTTACGTGTTTCCCTTCTAGTACGCCTTTGGTACTTGCTTGCTGAAAAGATGGTACTCACAAGACACATTTATTCCAATGAATGAAATATTCGGCCTTGCGACTTTACCACACCTATCCTGCGTCCTCTTCTTACACGGCCCAGCTGTAAAGTGACTGATCTGGATGATAGCTCACACTGCGCTGAACGCCTTATTATTATGTAAATTACACCAGGTATGGCGAATTTTGATTGGCTGTTGCTGTTGAAATTGTTCTCACAAGAAGGACGAATCTATGCAATTTTTCAGACTAATTACTAGATTTCGGTATTGCTCGATCTTGAATGTAATATGCTCTAATGCCACCGTACAATAATAAACATATGCATACAATATACACTGTTTGAAATTTGTAAAACGTATACATGTATCTGCTCTCTCAGCTCTCCTCGAATTGTTGGTCTCTAGTTTGCCGTTTAGATGTGGAGCCTGCTGAGCCAAAGACTCGACTTGAAATTTCATGTTCGTAAGATCGTCTTGTAGTAGTGTAAAAGGTTTTTTTTTTTTTTTTTTGCGATAATCTCTTAAGAGATTATTACAGAGTATAGCTATCTATGAAGGTCA